GTGTAAATAATTTATAAAACTATTGAACTTTCGGCGAAGATATCCTCGTAAAGAGACGATGACAATATTTGACAATATTTATTCGTTTATTTTCATATTCATTACATGCGGATATCAATATTTCTTGATACAAACTCATTTATTGATATTAGGAAAATCAACAAATTTATTAAATAAAGCGAATTTCAATGAGTTCGGTAAATAAAGTATCTCAGTTAACAGATCTTCTATAAACCACTTTACTTTCCAATGTAGAAGTCAACGCCGCCCAAGGGAATATTTATTTTAGACTATACCACGGATTACCAGTTGCATTGCGTTGTGGATTTTTCTCTATTATTCGTCTGCTAGATTGTTTTTACAGTTGTATTCTTGTTAAAAGTAACCAGTTATGTCAACAATGTGTTACTTAAATTCCCAGCGTCAATATTTTTTCAAGCCCCCAACTAGAGCTTTTAATATGGAACTTGAAAACGGAGAATTACTAATACATCACAAAAGGTATTCTTATCTGCGCTAATGTATTTATTGTTAAAATGAGGACTAATTCCTAAATTGGACGTCACCCATTATCTTTCGGCTAATCACGTTTTACCGATCGGTTCAATATAACGAATTTTGTTGTTTTTTTCGATATGGTGAAAATATGCGTACTTTTTGTCTCCATAATAGAACATTTCTTGTCCCGTTCATGACTACTGGGGAAATGCCAACGCTAGGTAGGTGTCAATGCGTCGAACACAAAACTATCGTTTAGAGGTTTAAAAGTCCCGTGAGAAAGAAATAAATTATAAACTTAAGGTTATCAGACTATCCCTTCCTAGCAAGAAAGAAAAATGAAATAAAAAAGTATATCAATTTCAAAACATTTCAAAACTTCTCATAATGGGTGAACAAAGTTTCGTAAATTCAACAAACTTCATTAAAAAGAAAAGAAAAGAAAAACGATCAGATTTTAAAGAAACATGTACATATTCGCAGTACATAAAGCGCTTTGTTTTTATTTGTTTACATTTCTTCCAAAATTTTGTTAGTTACTTTATGGAAAAAAGTGCAACACAACTTTTCATTGAGAAACGTATAAAATATTCGCAGAACATTCATCGCTTTTCTTTGGTTTATATTTCTTTCCAAAATTTTGTTAGTACTATAACTGACCTCGCCTACAGACCCATATATAAAATTTCTAAAGACATTTCACACTGTTTTAAAATCTTGTCAGATGTGTTTAAATGAAAAGATTGATACTGTGGAGAAAACAAGAAAATTACATGTGAGGCTTTCATGTAAAACAACGGAGGGGTTTATTCTAATATTCATACTTTTTTCCCCAACTACATTTGAGCCGTGTCACGACAAAACCAACATCCGCGCAGTCTGATCAGGATCCATGCTGTTCGCTTACCAACCCTATAACAAGTAAAGAAACTGATAGCGAACAGCATGGATCCTGATCAGACTGCACGGATGCGCAGGCTGGTCTGGATCCATGCTGGTCGCAAACCCATTATGTTGGTTTTGTCGTGACACGACTCATTTGTGTATATCTAATTATTTAATTTCATATGTTTAAATGTATTTTTCTTCATTTTAATTTGCTATAAGGATGTTTATGTACTTAATTGCAATAAAAGTTTGAATTGAAATGAATTGAATTAATTAACGGTCATAAGAATGGTGTCAAATTATGGCACATTTTTCTACGACTAAGGCATCGCCGGTCAAAATAATTCTTTAGTTTTAAAGGAAAATTGAAAAGCAATTCATTGTACTTGACAATGATATAGTTGAAAGAAAGGACATGGCCTGCTGCTGCTAATGGCGGTGGTGTTGGTAATGATGATGATGCTGAAGATGATGAAGATGTTGATAATGATGATGATCATAACACTAATAATGAAGAAAAAAAGAGACAATGGTAAGAACAACTACAACAACATATGTAACAAAGTCGCCTCTATCTTGATTTTATAATTATTGTTGTTAACTTCTGCTGGACCATGCATCCATTTAGTAGATATATTAGAATATTTCTATATGTATTTCAAAACGTCTTTGGCAATATCAGTATTAATTTCGAACATAAAAAACAACTTTGCTTTGCTTTGACATAAGTGGCATTCAAAGAAGGTTGGAGTAGTGACTTGCGACCTATTGTTTTGAAATATGTGCCTTACTTATCCCTGACAGCTAGCGATTGCTTCAAAAATTACTATCTTCATTGTAAAAGTGTTGTGTCAGTCACCTTTACTGATTGTAACTTTGTACATTTTCCTATTGAAGACCAATTAACCCATCATTACGGAATGTATAGTTTTGCTAATCACCATGCCGTAAAATTCTTTCAATTGTGTCCATGCATGTAATTACAATTAAATCGCACCGTGACGGTGACACGCGCAATCTCGCGCGAGAAAAGGCGGTGTCATTATTAGTTTCACACCTTCCGTAAAGTCCGAAGGTATTTTAAAGATAAAATCTTTAAAATATCATTAACAGAACATGACTTTTATTATTTTTTAGTAATATTATCCATTATTTACAGAGACTCTACATTTTTTCACATAGGATAATCATATAAACCATATTTATCATTTATCAAACGGTATTAATTTTATATTATTTTTTTCTCAATCTGTTAACGGACTTTATTTGTTATTTTTCTCAATTTGTTGCAGAACTTATCTGTGTTTTTCTTTTTTGTTATTCTTTTTATAAATAGCCAGTAATTAATACAATTTTGAAACGCCGATAACATGGAATGTTTAACGAAAATGAATCATTTGTTTTTTCTTGTGAATAAATATTGAATATATAAAAAAACATAATAAACAAATGAACAAAACTCTTTTTTTTAATTCGGCTGCTAGCTGCTGACGTTTTTGTTGTTGCTCTTACCGATATTATCTTTTGTTTCAGAATTATTTAAAGGGTTTTCTGTCAAATCTATCATGTAAAAATTATGAACATTGATGCACATTTTGCATGAAATTTTTGTGTCCTTTACTCGATTTCTGTACAGTATATAATATTTGTTCCAGCCAGTTTTGCGGGCTAAACGTATTTCTATTACAATCTATGATAAAACCTGTCACTAAAGGTTAGTAATGAAAATTGTTAAAAAGGCCTTATTCATAATCTCAATTTCGGAATATCTCGCTGATTTCATATCCGAAGTTTGACGGATAGGCGCCAAGAAGTTGCGATGCTTCATCCCGGTATAGTCAGAGATTTAAATACCAATTTTCTAGCTCCACGGTGCATTTGTCCTTTTTTATTTTAGGATTGTTTATTTAAATACGTTTAGTGCACACTAAACACGTTTTAACTTTTTGTAAGCAGATTGTAAAGTGAAATTAAAGTTCTTCTATTTTTTTTATTATCTCTCATTAAAGGCCCATCTAGCCCCGGAAATCCTTTTATTCTTATTTTTCAAAAAATTCTGTTCTTTAATAATTTCTAAAAATTTACTCATTGGTTAAAATTACCTGAACCTACTTTTTCTTCCGTTGGGTTTTAGCAATCAGTACAGCTACAGTTATTTATTATTTTGTAAGACAGACGAAATACTTCTATGTTTAAATTTTGTTAATTTTATGACAAGCTATTTCACACTTAGCACCACTTCATTCAGGTAACAAACATAAGACATGCTCTAGATCCATTATTCAAACGTTAAAACTTCATGTTTGTCCTTTTCAAAGAGGTAATTTTTATTTGTTTCATTTCAGAGGCATAATGTGCCTTTAACAGAAACGACAGAACAGAATCTCTAATTTTCAAAGGTCATCATTTTTTTTCCGAAGTATTTCCCCTTTACCGAAATCTTTGAATCAAGTGTGTTTTTAAATAGGGTATTTTTTTAACTATAGTAAATCAGATAAGAATGTTATTGGGGATTTTCAGAGATTTGTACACAACGTTTGACTGTATTAACAATAAAAAGAAAAAAACTTAGGTTGAGGTCACTTGAGAAAATCCACAATTCCGGTATCCGGAAAACTTTTACGGCCAAAATGTCTGTAACCAGCATAAATTATCATTTTTATCCGTATTTTGGTATTGGGACCCGTTTGACAAAAGTTTACATAAATTTTGTCATGCATCCGGGGAAAGGAATACCTCTTTTCCCACTTTATCCAGGACACGATGTTTTTTATTTTTTTTTGTAGGTTTTACAATTTACATCTCTTTACTTTATGAGACAATGTGTCAGTTTATAGGTCGAGAAAAAAATAAATAAAAAACAATTATTGATTAATTAATTGTGTTTCTGATTACACAGGTGTGTTTTATGAATTCTACTTCTAGTTCGAATACATCATTGCTTATTTAGTTAAATTGAAATTAAGATTTTGTTTCTGCAGAATTCATAAAGTGATTATTTACTTGGCCTATTTTAATATGGGTTCGACATTCATTTGATATACAATGGTAATTTCTAAATCTACCGTACTTATTTTGTTTGTACAATCAAATTAAGCTTTCTAGAACTAATATACATCAATGATTTATTTCTAATCAATAAAAATAAAACATTAATTTTCTCTCCACACATTTTAATGTTAAATTCTTAATAGTTGCCTAACAGCCTATCTCAAAACAGCGCATTGTAACGTTGAAACCCTTTCTAAACCGGACATAAAGTTTGATTCGGAGCCGTTCGTTTTAGAGGGGTTCCACTATTGCCTTGTAAAAGTATTTATGAATTTTTCATATTTGAACAGATTGCTATTCCATGCTGCTAACTAACAACAATTTTTCGTCACAGATCTAGATTGAAATAGCTCTCAGAGCAATTCAAGTTTTTATTAGCTACACGCACCCGGTGCTAAACGAGCCCCTTTTGCGATGCATAAGGGAAAGAGAGGGCTTTGTGCTTATAGTGTAAGCCTTTCTAACCAGGGATCGTGAGTTCAAGCCTTGCTGGGCTCGTTAAAAATAGAACATAACACTCACAACAGTACCTATGCTATTTATTTACTTTTACATTGTATATATTACTTGTAATTAAACTATTTTGACACAGGAGTACATTTTCCGAATCTATCCTTGGGATAAAACTTTTCATCCAGTAAATCTGTGGGCGTACACTGGAGACCGGGTCCACAGGGACAAAGACCGTGATAGTTCTGGGCAGTGGTTGTGTATTGAAGATGAAGGCTACACCAGGTTGCGTTTTCGTTCTTCCAAGGGAGGCAATAATGAACGGTGCCGTCCCAGTCCGGTGGGATTTGTCGCCCTTGAATGTTTCTCTTGCCGAGCGCGGGAGTTATTGAGCAACATAAGCGTTCATCTTTGCAATCATCGTTTGTAAAACAATCATAAAATCCTGCCTGAAATCATACAATAACAAATGTTGCAGAATAAATTTGGCAGTCATCAATTTAAATCCCCTTCTAAACTCCTAAAGAAAGTTAGATTTTGATATTAAATTTTGGCTTATCTAAACCCTGGAAAAATCCCCTCTAAACTCTTGAACTATAACATAGAAGTAAATGTGCACTGCTCGTTTTGCAACAGGCAATCCATGAATAAGGTTCGTGAAATTGATCCCCCGCACTGTTTTAACTAATGTCATCATTTGACATACTTTGTTTGGGAAAAATGGCAAATAACAATTGCGTACAGTATGTAAGCCAAATAAGGAAGAAAGTATTGCATTTATCGCGATTTTTTTTATCATATTCGTGTGGTAAGTGCTGTTAGTGACTAACTAATTGAATACTGGATATCACAGTCCATTCTTCCTCTTTACTTTAATATCATATGTTATCAGCTATTACTATGACAAGTCATCAATATAACGGCAACTGAGCTGAAACTAAGTGCGCATGGGTCAGATTTCAAACGTCCCTTAACTTCTACAGCATATATCTATTTAAACACCAGCACATACCACAGCACCTGGTCTGTGGAAAAAAATACTCTAAAAAGCACCCTGAACTTGAAACATGTATGCCGATATACAGGAAGAATTTGCCGATGTATTTTATAAAATTCATTCCGCAGTGGTAAGGAAATTAGCCACCTATCAAAAATTGTGCAGCCATAATAACGATCGATTCTTTGCACATTAGACACGATCGTCTTAAATTTCATACACTACATTGACGCACAGGCGCTAGTCACCTAATCAAATATTTTACATAATCGGTCTATATATGTATATTAAGATATCTTATTATAGTATATAGCCCATATAGAACATAAAAAAGATTGTATCAAGCACCTGTGCATTGACGTAAGTATCACTAATTTGAAAAAGGCAATCCCATAATTGAGCCGCGTCACGACAAAACCAACATAATGCATTTGCGACCAGCATGGATCCAGACCAGCCTGCGCATCCGCGCAGTCTGATCGGGATCCATACTGTTCGCTTACAAACCCTATAACAAGTAGAGAAACTGATATCGAACAGCATGGATCCTGATCAGACTGCGCGGATGCGCAGGCTGGTCTGGATCCATGCTGGTCGCAAACCCATTTTGTTTTTGTCATGACGCGGCTCATATTTCAATGTCTAAGCTAGTGTGAAGCGTCAGATGTCGCCGCGATGTTAGCCGTGCTCATAGAGCGTTTGTAAGGTCGCTATTGTGTCATACCAATGGTAAACAGTTGTTCATTATACGAGTTTTAGCTTTTCCAAAAATGCTAAGAATCGCCGTTCAATAGGGTATAAGATTCCTTCCTGCAAGAAACTTTAGTATAACTAACCTACGATCCCAATCGTCCCCACCATCTAAACATAAAATTATCATTATCAAAATTGTATTTTTTTCCTAACCATTTTTAAAGCTGCTTCGTAAATAAATTTCACAACATGTGATATGTCATATGTGTCCAACTGAATTCGGAGGATAACAACGTGAAACTGGGTTAATTTTAGAACATAGCAATCTGTATAAACTCTGCTAAAATCAAATTAAGGGTATCAGAAAAAGGACAAATCCTTGAATTTGGAATACCGTAATATTAATTTAACGGATCAAACTTAAATTGTTTAATACTATTTCTTTCAACTTGTTAAGCTTGTTAAAAGGAGATTTCGTTACTTTCTTAACTTTCTGTTCCGGTCGATATGATCTTATTGTGCATTTTATATTATTCTTAAATCCAGTATATGAGGGCCGACAACACTGACCTTCTTTTCCATGCACGAAAGTATGGAATGAGTAGGAAAATTATGAGAATATAACCAGTAATTTTGAAAGTGTTGGTCTCAGGAACAATCGCCCTAAACTCACGTTCAGTGCTTACATTATATAGTGTATTAAAGGAACTCCACTGAGGTCCAAAAGTCTAAAACAAAAAGTCTGAATGTTTACACAAATAAGCTAGTTAAGCAGAAAAATATGCAAAGATAGTAATTTAACGAATGGTCTGAAAGTTTGCACACTATGTTGTTCTAGACTAACATCAAATGGAACATTAATCTCGAAAAAAATTCATTCACGCCATGTCAAAAAAACCTCAGTGGAGTCCCTTTAATATATTTTAATTTTAACAGAAGACATCAGAGACATAGATCTACATCTCTGGATACCTCTACAAAAACAGCAGCAACAACAAAACAAACAAGCAAACAAAACAGTTACCTGGCAACCGGTCAGAACAGTCACAAATAACGCCAAAATGAAAAACACGTCCTTCATCTGGAACACTTTTGTTTGGTACTATATTTGTTTGTTATCTTATCACGGAGGTCATTCCATTATCTCGATTTTGTCTTGGTCTTATTGGAAGGTCATGTATATTTTTTTTCCATTTTATCTAGCTTAATGTTTTTTTTCTATTTTATTAAAAGTCTGTCGTTGAGAAAATTATATGTGTACGCATCAAGGTGCTCGCTCTTACGTTCGGCAAAACACGTGAAAGTTATTCTAAAAGCGATGACTTGTCTATAAAGCTCACGAACATAGAGTAGACGCTTGGTTAAATCCCTGAATACAGTAAAATGACACTTTTAAATTCTCATGATTGGATTTAATTCTGCAAAAAATGATGTGAACAAAGATGTAAGTCAATGCTTCTACATCAATCCTTTTTCCAGCCTATGAAAAAATACAATAAAATGGAAAAAAAGCACAATAAATGGAGACAAAAAGTTATCTCAGACGTGAACTAAAATACACTCAAAACAAACATTACACTTAACAAATCTTATAACTGTGCACGTATAAAAATCAAATTTTCTCAGATACTAATTAAGACAGGTCTCTGAAATTTTAACCAAATATAGTACAGATATGTGCAATGTTGGGTATCGATTTTTATATCAGGGCGATTCGTATTTACTGAGAAATAGCGAAGTGTGTAAGATTGCGCGAAAACCGAATTTCACATTTCTGTAAAATGCGTGTTTATAATGGGTGCAAAAAGGTCTAAATCTCTTGATTTCACTAAAATACAAACATAAAACATAGGATCACCGATAGGGTATAATACTACAATGAATTCCAGAGCATTATGTCGCTGTAATTTTAATATTTGCTTTATTGAATTTTAGTAAAGACTGGTTTATGTCGATCTCCGTAACGCGTTGTACCCAGTTACTAAAAGCAATGCAAACACGATATTTTCATTAATATGAAAGTACCAAGAAAGTTTGTTTCTAATTTTAAAGTAAAAACTTAGTCAATATGTTTATTTGAGAAAATATAATGCAAATTCATTTTCAAAATGGGCGCCCGAAATGCAAATTCCCTTGCGTAAAACTTCTAAACGGCCATTTTTCTTTCAATTGCAAAAATTCTGCAATAAATTTATGTTTTTTAGATGTCTTTATTTTAATAGAATCCTTGATGGTCAATAATAACTTCATTTAGCGCCAACCTGTCATCCTCACGTGCACTTTGTTGTTTATGTACATGTCACGGATGAACGCACACAACAAAAATAACCGTTATTTCTGAATATAGCATTTTAAAAATAAACCATTCAAACGATGAATTCCAAAATTTGGTTAAAAATGTCAAGTAATAAAAAAGTTATTCACATTTAAAAACTGCACAGTTATAAGTTTTGTTAAGTGTATATGAGCCGCGTCACGACAAAACCAACATAATGGGTTTGCGACCAGCATGGATCCAGACCAGTCAGCGCATCCGCGCAGTCTGATCAGGATCCATGCTGTTCGCTATCAGTTTATCTACTTGTAATAGAGTTGGTAAGCGAACAGCATGGATCCTGATCAGACTGCGCGGATGCGCAGGCTGGTCTGGATCCATGCTGGTCGCAAACCCATTTTGTTGATTTTGTCGTGACGCAGCTCATATAGTCAATTGTGTGCAAGGGATGATCGTAAGTTACATTTCATAATGATTTACAAAAGAAAACACACGCTTACACGGGCCGTAACCTACCACAAAACACACTGGTAGCAACAAAAGTTATCAGAAAAACTGTAGGACATCTTCAGAGTTATCAGAAGAACTCTAGGACATTTGAAAAAATCCGGCATCAATTTGTAAGCTGGGGATTTATGTTTGCAACTTTCCATTATCATTAGGTACAATGTAAATACGTATGGCAAGGAAGAAGATCACAAATGAACAGTTCAATTTGTACGAATGAGCAAATAATTTGGGAATTTTACTCAAATCTACCAGATTTTAAACAAGAGGCGATGAAATTGACTATAAAGTGTTTTTTTCTGACACATAATACAATATGTTAGGCAAGCTTAATCTGACATCAAAGTTTCATTTATCACCTCAAACTCTCATAAAAATCATCATTTTGACGAGTGTTTCTTTGGAATATACAAAAGTTTTCCGACGAAATCCTTGTTCGACAGGAACTCACAGACAAAGTGAGAAAATGCCGCAGCAGCGGCTCTTCACTATTCTGGAAAAAGAAGACGAGAAGAACTCCTGAAAAGTTATCATAAGAACTCCATCCTTCGTGTAACAGTGTTATGCCCAAAAAATACAAGAATATGGTGATTTGAGGGCCGATCTGTACAAAAGTGTACTGGTTTTATTTTTTTTAAAAGTACTAATAATTACTTGCTAAACATAATATATAAATATGTGCCTGTTCAAAATAACCTCGTATGTACGAACAGACGAAGGGTACTAAAAACGGGAAGTAGCTTATTTTAAAATCATTTATTACTAAATTAGGATGAACGGGTGACCTCCCCTTAATAAATATGCGCCATTTACATGTGATTTTTGGTAAACAAACTGTCATTTAATAGGAAATCGCGAATTTCACAACAAGAAGCGTGTTCGAGTGTAAGAACTTATGTTTTCTAAAGATATGAATAAAATGTTTTAACTTACAAGTAGTTGATTGGAAAACTGCGCTGAGATAGGTCAAAGGTCAACGGAACTGAATAGAACAGAACAGACCCAGGCTGATTTCGATTATCATTATCATTATGATAGGATACAAGTCAAACGCTTACACATTGTCATTCATTTCTTAAAAACATAATAACTTACACGGGATCATTATTTTTCGCCCGAAACATTCAAATTAGTCACAGTTTGTTTAACCAACGTAGTATAGATTAACAATTAAGTATTAAATACTAATTGATTTTAAGTTCCATATGTCACAGATATACATACTATTCAACTCCATGCATATGTACATGTAGGTGAACTGTGAAGAGAGAATTGGTTCAATTTAGTCAACTGGAAATGTCACTGTATCAGTCCAACTTATAATATTGTACTTGGATATTTATGAACAATTTCTTTCTGAGCGAGTTTTTGTTTGGTGATACAAATTAATGGTGAAGAAAGTTGTATGTTAACTACATGTTACAATATTAATGCTGCTTTATACATATATCAAAAGTTTGAACATGCATTCGAATTAAAATCACAACGATTCTGTCTTTAACAGTTTGCAGAATTTCATTACCATGGAAACGGACTACGATGTTGTGATAATAGGTGGTGGTGTTTGTGGGTGTTCCGTGGTTTTTGAACTCACACAGAGAGGTTACAGGTGTCTTCTTCTAGAGAAAAATGATACACTTGTGGCTGAAGCTAGCTCCGGTAATAGGTAAAAATCACAAATTACTGTTTTTATTTGTTATCTTTAGGTGCCACGTATTTCATATCAGTTATTTATCAACTGTTTTATAAGTCTCTATTAATGTTTTCTTGTATATATTGGAATCACGTGTTGTTTACATAGAATAAGCATTTTAACAAGAAGAGTTTTTACCTTAACCATCCTTTTTTTGTGAAAATAATTTATCATACTTGTACATGTATTTTGGATAAGTCCTTTATCAAAATTAGAGATATTGATATCAAAATACTGAAATTAGCTTGTAAAAAGTATAGAGTTTGATCAAAATGCAAGGCTGTGCAGCCTGGCATGACTATATACTTAGTAGTAGCCTTGGCAAGTCATTTTAGCAACTATGATGACTATCATTCAATCATACACACATGAAACTATAGAAACATTTGTGTTTTAATTTTGTTTCCTTTAAACTCAATTGAGCACAAATTGCTCAGATATGAGCATTTGTGATTGAAATGTGTCTGTCATTTTGTGTTAGTTGTTTACAGAATTTCTTAAATTAAACAACATTTTTGTTTAAACCTCCATTGAAGAAGATTTTACCCCATTTTGGAAAGATTACCTGAAAGAATGTTGAATTTTAATATTTAGAAACTTACAGGATACAATGTCTATTGTAGATTATTTTTATCTTATTCAGAAGAAAAAAATCTGTTTATTTTTAGTGGCATGCTGCACACCGGGTTTGATGCTCTTGAGAAAAGTTTAGAACTAGACTGTATCAAGCGTTGTCAGTCCAGGATATTTCAATTAACAGAAAAACTAGGGGTACCAGTCAATAAAATTGGTGCTACAATGGTAGCCTGGAACCAGGAACAGGTGGATTGTTAAACTGTAAATAATAGGAATCAATGAAAGAATTGTCACCACTTTTTTCACAGATTGCTTTCACCTCTTTGATAATCTTGTAAATTTGAATTAGTAGAACATTCACTAAAAAGTATTATATTTAGCGTATTTGATCGACTGATTTTTCTTAATCAAGATTTAATACACTGACATTTCAATATAACCAACAAATTATTTCATTTCTGGATACAGTATACCCCCATTTGATCACAAATTAGCAGGTTTTTATTAAACATAGACTTAAAAATTTCTCCATGATAACATTGTGTTTGATTACTCTTTCTTTATTTATTTTTTAACAGAAACAGGTAACAATGAATTTACACCCATAAAACAATTAATGATCAGTTTTGAATTGAATAAAAGACAGGATAATACGTGATGAGGACTTTATAATGACCTGAAAAAGAAATGTTTGCATGAAGTTAACATAAAAGTTTCTTTTTGATACTATAGCTAGCAAGATTTCCCTCAGTTGTCAGCAAATGTGCCCAAGCTGGTTTCAGTGATGTACATGAGCAGAGTGTTTCCCAGCTGTATCAGAGGGAACCATACCTCAATAGGAGGGCATTGGGTGCACTTTGGATACCAGGAGAGGCTGTCACTGACCCCTGGTTACTGCCCATCCTCCTGGCACATGATGCAAGACAGAAAGGAGCCCAGGTAAACTAAGTCTTTTAGAATCTGAAATTCATCGATTAAACAAGTATGGGTAAATCTTCTTTCAAAAAATTGCAAAGTTTGTACTTAAATGCATATTTCTGAAATTTTAAATGGGCCACTTTGGCCTCCAGTATACAAGGTTTGCATTTGCCACCAAAATAAAGGTCAGTCATCAAATACCACCAGTAAGGAGCCAGGTCATCAAATCCCACCAGTAAAGGGTTAGGCAGAAAAAAGCTAAGTAGTATTTACCACCAGTAAAGAGCTAGACTAGCATATGCCATCAGTAAAGACTAGGCTAGTATATGCCACAAGTTGAGAACTAGACTAGGATATGCCACAAGTAAAGAACTAGGCTAGCATATGCCACAAGTAAGAAATAAGCTAGCATATGTCACCAGTAAAGAGATAGACTAGCCTTTGCCACAAGTAAAGAACTAGACTAGGATATGCAACAAGTAGAGAGCTAGCGTAGCATATGCCACAAGTAAAGAACTAAATTAACATAATTATGTCACCAGTAAAGAGCTAGGCTAGCATATGCCACAAGTAAAGAGCTAGGCTAGCATATGCCACAAGTAAAGAGCTAGGCTAGTATATGCAATAAGTAAAGAGCTAGGCTAGCATATCGATGGCTGAACGCAACACTGGTCTAACTTGATTTTTACAAAATTTCAAGGAGGCTATAAAAACTTCATTAATTCTATAAATTGGACATTTTTGTTATTATTTTTAGATTTTTATATCCATATAAGTTAAAATTTTAGTGTAAAGGAGTTTCATAAATTAATATTGTTAAATAAAAAAGATATTTGAAAAGATATGAGTTAGATCAGTTTTCCATTTATAAATCACCAAATTTCAATGATAAATTTTCAGCAAAACTGGTCTAACTTGACTTAGCCCTATGTTGCATTTACAAAAAGGGTTCAATAAGGCCAAAAGAATAATCAATAAGTGCTATGTTTGAAAAAATAGGATGATATAATAAAAACAGCTGTAACTTTAACCATATTTTAGTATGTTTTTAAAAGAAAACAACTTTTCTATGGAAACCAACATGATGATTTATACAAAATTGACAATTATTTGCATAACATACTAGAAATCAGACATTCCAAAAAGTCAGTTGCTTTATCACATAAAAATATTTTTTAAAAATTCTAATTGTAAATTTTCAGTTCGGAATGAATGTTTTGCAGACATGTTGATAAGATTTTTTATATATAGCAATATTCAATCTAACATTAAAAATTGAAGCACATACTCATAACTGAAAAATAGAAGCAATTGTATCATATAAAACTCGCAACTCTAAAAACACAGGCAATTTTATTCAAAATGAACCTTATTTTTGCCTATTGGATCTTCATTTATATTTTCAAGTTTATTTATGTAGTCAGAATTTCCAGTAAAATGTTAACTTTAGGAACATTTGCTTAAAGTAAGGTTATCTCTCCAAGTTGCCAAAGAAAAAACTTTTGCCTCTCTTTGTAATTTAACTTGGCATGGCACTTGTATCTATAGCTTTGTCCACCTTCCTTTGTCAACTTCCATTATACTCAATTTTTTGTCAGATTTTAAACATATTTTTTCCCCATATTCCTATTACAGTAATTCATTACATTTCTCTTTTATCTTTTGTCATTCTTACTTTTTAATCTAATATTTTCCCCATTTATTAACTAGTTCATATTATTTCATAAACTATCATTTTAACCATTCTATTGCCAGCTCTCATCACCAGCATAATGGTATCAAAAACCCTAATTTCACTTCACCTTCAAAATGATCAACAGCATTTTTATTACCATCATTATCCTTGGCTTTTATATAAACAACATTGTCTCCACTAGCCCTTATTACACCAACATTACTATGAGTACTCATCTCACCACCACTATCTTCCTCACCACCTATATAAGCAGCATTGCCACCAAAGTAGACCTCATTACATCAGTATTGTCATCATTCACACTTTTATCACCAGCATTGTCATCCTCAGCACTTACATAACCAGCATAATCCCCACTTACTATAATTTCACCAATATTGTCCCTACTACCCTTATAATACCAACATTGTCCCCACTATAAACTATAATATCACCAGTATTGTCCCCACTTACCCTTATAATACCAGCATTGTTCCCACTAACTATAATATCACTAACATTGTCCCCACTAACCCTTATAATACCAGCATTGTCCCCACTTACTATAATATCAATAACATTGTCCCCACTAACACTCATTACCAGCATTGTCCCCACTAACTATGATATCACCAGCAAATTGTCCCAACTAGTTATAATATTATTAGCATTGTCCCCACTAACTATAATATCATCAGCATTGTCCCCACTAACACTCATATTACCAGCATTGTCTCCACTAACTATGATATCACCAGCATTGTCCCAACTAGTTATAATATTATTAGCATTGTCCCCACTAACAATAATATTACCAGCATTGTCCCCACTAACTATAATATCACTAACATTGTCCCCACTAACCCTTATAATACCAGCATTGTCCCCACTAACACTCATATTAATTTACCAGCATAATGTCTCCACTAACTATGATATTACCAGCATTGTCCCAACTAGTTATAATATCACTAACATTGTCCCCACTAACAATAATATCATCAGTATTGTCCCCACTAACACTCATATTAATTTACCAGCATTATTTCCACTAACTATGATATCACCAGCATTGTCCCAACAGGTTATTATATTACTAGCATTGTCCCCACTAACTATAATATCATCAGCATTGTCCCCACTAACACTCATATTACCAGCATTGTCTCCACTAACTATGATATCACCAGCATTGTCCCAACTAGTTATAATATTACTAGCATTGTCCCCATTAACTATAATATCACCAGCATTGTCCCCATTTACTATGATATCACCAGCATATTTGGCTCATCTATGATTTCGCAAGCATTGTCTCGACTTAGTCTAACGTTAACCCTCTTTATCAGCATTAGCCCCACTAAACATAATATATCACCAGCATTGTCCCCACTTTTTTCTTAAAAATTTCTTTTCTTTTCTTGTTGGGTTTTACACAGTAGAGGTTGTATGGTAAGACCTCAAGTACCAAGTTCTGTTGCTTCAAGTTTGTAACATCCATTTGTTATGGCAAAATGATGTCATCTTTAGAACGTAATTGATTCATAAAAGAAGCTTGGGAATGACATCATTTAAAAACATTGACTTGTCTTACATGGGGGATGTAAGACAGGTTTTTCTAGCACCGGTGTGAACAGTAGATAATATTGTCTGATATGCAAGAAAAAAATCTTTCCTGTTTCAGCTACATAATAATGAGCTCAATTGTGTTGGTGCACTGTAAAACCAAACCAAAAAATTTATTTAAATGATTACAAGCCTTATACATAGAGATACTTATAGACACTTCACTGAGGTCCAAAAGCATAAAAACTTAAGATTTGAATTTCTGAAATAAATCAACTCGGGCCACATAAAGTTACACAAGAGATGAATAGAAATTATACTTAACTAAATTGAAAATTTTATCATGATTCTATTAGTATCTAATTTGAGTTTAAAGCTGCATTAATATGCTTTTCAATATCCGGTCATTTTTATAGTTCACATAATTGCTCTCGAAAAAAAGTTAGCAAATGATCTGAAAGTTTAAGCAAAGTTATTTGTCCAGACTTTCATCAAATTGTACATAAATCTCAACTCCAATGATGCCAAAATAGGAGTCCTTTAAGAAGCAAATTGTATTAAATAATTATAAAATGTTGAAATTTTAAGAGGGTGGGAGATCTTGTTTCATCAGTAATAATAGATCACTTTGATTAAAAAAAACAACACAAATTGTCTTGTTCAACAGTGAATTAAATAATTCAATATAATAAATCTTTTTGAAAGGTTAATTTACTTTTATTTTTTATTCAATCTTATATGACTATGTAGAGATAATATAACAATTTAAACTTATAAATGTTCCTTGAAAACAAAATTCAATTAATTAAGAGCCTTGGATTTACAATTCTGCAATTTTGGCAACAAAAATGGGTAAAATGTAGAAATAAGTATTTAAGAATATGCCAGACCTAACTTAATACCTGCAAATATAACAATACTGACTTTTATTGTATTGAAATTTAACAGCAACACTGTGCTAACTGGAGTTAGGACAGTGTTATCATCCAATATGTAAATTTTGATGAATGCAACACAGTTCTAACTTGAGTTAGCTCTCTGTTGCATTTAAGTTATACTCACATTTGAGATAGAGCAAAATGCCAAGTGGTAAATAAAACCCATAAAATTTCACAATTATTTCTAATATTTTATTTACTGATGTATTTCATGCAATTAGGCTAAAAAATGAAAAAAAGTCATTTTTGAAAAAAAATCAAGTTAGACCAGTGTTGCCTTCAGCCATCGATATGCCACCAGTAAAGAGCTAGTCTAGCATATACCACAAGTAAAGAGCTAGACTAGCATTTGCTACCAGTAAAGAGCTAGGCTTGCATATGTCACAAATAAAGAGCTAGGCTAGCATATGATTCTAGTAAAGAGCTAGGCTAGCATATGCCATAAGTTAAGAGCTAGCTAGCATATACCACCAGTAAAGAGATATGCTAGCATATGACACCAGTAAAGAGCAAGGCTAGCATATGCCACAAGTTAGGAACTAGGGTAGCATATGCCATAAGTAAAGAGCTAAGCTAGCATATGACACCAGTAAAGAGCTAGGATAGTTTATACCACAAGTAAAGAGCTAGACTAGCATATACCACAAGTAAAGAGCTAGGATAGTTTATCCCACCAGTAAAGACCTAGGCTAGCATATACCACAAGTAAAGATATAGACTAGCATATGCCACAAGTAGAGAGCTAGGTTAGGTTAGCATATCCCACCAGTAAAGAGCTAGGCTAGCATATACCACCAGTAAAGAGCTAGGCTAGCACATGCCACCAGTGAAAGCCTAGGCTAGCATATGCCATAAGTAAAGAGCTAAGCTAGCATATACCACAAGCAAAGATCTAGGCTAGCATATGACACCAGTAAAGACCTAGGCTAGTATATGCCACAAGTAAAGAACTAGGCTAGCATATGCCACCAGTAAAGAGCTAGGCTAGCATATGCCACCAATAAAGAGCTAGACTAGCATATGCCACAAGTAATGAACTAGGCTAGCATATGCCACCAGTAAAGAGCTAGGCTAGCAACCACAAGTAAAGAGCTAGGTTAGCATATGACACAAGTAAAGACCTAGGCTAGCATATACCACAAGTAAAGATCTAGACTAGCATATACCACAAGTAGAGAGCTAGGTTAGCATATCCCACCAGTAAAGAGCTAGGCTAGCATATACCACCATTTAAGAGCTAGGCTAGCACATGCCACCAGTGAAAGCCTAGGCTAGCATATGCCATAAGTAAAGAGCTAAGCTAGCATATACCACAAGCAAAGATCTAGGCTAGCATATGACACCAGTAAAGACCTAGGCTAGTATATGCCACCAGTAAAGAGCTAGACTAGCATATGCCATCAGTAAAGAGCTAGGCTATCATATGACACTAGTAAAGAGCTAGGCTAGCATTTGCCACAAGTAAAGAACTAGGCTAGCATATGCCACCAGTAATGAACTAGGCTAGCATATGCCACCAGTAAAAAGCTAGGCTAGCATATGACACCAGTAAAGAGCTAGGCTAGCATTTACCACAAGTAAAGAGCTAAGCTTACACTGTCACCAGTAAAGAGCTAGGCTAGCTTATGTCACCAATTGAGAGCTATGCTAACATATGCCACAAGTATTGATTTATGCAAGCATATGCCACAAGTAAATTACTTGGCTAGCATCTGTCATAAGTAAAGAGCTAGACTAGGATGCCTAGGCTAGAATATGCTACAAATAATGAGCTAGGCTAGCATATGCCCCTAGTGACTTGCAAGCAGGATCTTATCATTAACATTTCATTGTAAAATCTTCCTTTTGTTTCTCTCTTTGAAGCTGATTTCCTCAGCCAAGGTTGAGTCATGTGACTGGGATGGTACTGTATGGAACATACAATCAACACATGGAACATTCCGTGCCAAATGTGTTGTTAACTGTGCTGGGTTATATGGTGATATAATAGACAGACTGGCTGGCAGATCTCAGTTCCGGTAAATGTTTTAAACAATACTTGTGTTTGGTTTTAAATCACATCAACATTATTAAATGAGTCGTATTGTAACTTTCAAGCTTTTTACTAAATGAAGATAGACCTCAAATATCATGATGTGCATTAAGCAATAACCTGCTGGAACCGAAAATGATCAGCCTTTGCCACTAGTATAGAGTCTGACCAGGTTGCCTATCTGTGCAGTCTGACGTGCTCTATACTGTTGGTAGCTCAATTTTTGTATTTTGATACTGAATTTTTTTTAAATTTGAATAAACTGTTTAAATTCAAAGCAGGGCAAATCCGTTACACAAATTGCAAAGGTAAAGTGTTAGGCAGGAGCTGGCATCTGATGAGAATAACTATTATAATTATTATAAATCATCATATAAATGTAAAATCTGTCTCAGGATTTGAACCTATAAAGCAGTGTCTATTCTAGGAGGGGGATGGGGGGATTCACTTACATTTTTGAGAATTCCCCCCTATTTTTTCAGAGGCATGGGGGAAATTTTACATTGAGAAAGAAGGAAAAAAGATCAACAAATATAATAAATTCTCACTTTTCGATAAAATTTCCCTGTTTTTCAAATCTTAGAAAATACACTGCTATACAGTTGTGGTAACAGATTAGCTATCTAAGCCTAAAAGCCTACAGTTCAAGTGAAAACCACACTTTCTTATAACAACACAAAGCAGACTGCATGGATCTTCATTAAAAATAACAAGATTTTAAAAATCAGCAGTGACTATTTCCTCCAAGATTATTTCCTAAAATTTTGTGCTTGTTTGGCTTTGGGTAAATGCAGTTAATTAATTTGTAAATGTTAATTGGTCTATTATCAAAATGGTCGTTACCTTTAAGCTGCTCAGGTTATAATGCAAACAACCTTTTATACACATCCATATCACATGTTAGACATATTTAATACAAATTTATAATACCGATGAATTTATTTTGGAAAAAAATGAAAATAACTTTATGAAAATTGACAGTACTTAGCCGTGTTTACAGATTATATAAATATCACAATAATCCAATGGAAAGGGACATGCATTACCAACGGCAGTTTTATAATACTAAAGTGAAACAAAGAAAATTTTTGAAATGTATTTAAAAGTAAAATATTGCAAGGTGAGCAAATAAAGTAATTTACATACATGTATTTCAATCAGCACTTACAATCCAAGAAAATTACTAAAAGGTGGTAAACATATGCAAAAACAGTCCTTACTGCATTAGTAACACAGTAGAAATATGGTGATAAAATAATGCAAAATCAGTCTTAAACCGCACATAACATGTAAAATTTAACTTGGATCTTGAATGTTTTTACCTTTCTTCAAATGTTAGTACATTTTTCTCAATATTGATTTTCTTGAAATATTTTGGCTCATCTGGAGGCGAGCAGCTTTAACATATCCAAAACAAACAAATATCAAGTTATTATATTGCAGTATAAAGCCAAGGAAAGGTCAGTATACTATATATGACCACTCCGCTCACACATTGATAAACTCCAGTATTGTTCCCGTACCAACAGATATAGGAAAAGGTGTCATAGTCTTTAAATCAGGTGAGAATGTAAAATACTATGATTAAATAGAAGACCAAATATTAATAATTATTTGTTACTGTTTCTTGTGAAAGAATTCAAAGCAGGGTTTTTACAATTGTAGACACCTTACATGAACCTCGTTTATTCAGTGCAATCAAGTTCAAAAGTAATGTTACTAGGCAAATTTCATATTTCCTCATAGAGCCTTTGTTTATGAAACAAAATGTTGTATGTAAATGTGAATGATAATATGTTAATATGCTTTTGAGATATGAAATAGGTTTTAAGTGCCATTGATAATGTGTAAATTGCATTCTTTTGGTAACTTTACAATATTATACTGTTAAATACATTTTCAAATTTTCATGAAAATTAGCATGAATCTGGAGGCGCGTGCTTTAAAAAGTAAAATATTTGGTAATGTATGTTCATATGATAGTCAAGCACCCTCTTCCCTTGAATCAAAGGTACACAATAAAAGAATTTTCTCTCTCTACTTTTTGTCGAAGAGTAACGCATGAATTACCGTACCTGTTGCATGTGATGAAAGTGAGAGATTCAGTCCATAAATCTTATAATACTTTTTTCAGTGTACAATAACGTGATTGTTGGACCAACCGCCGAAAATGTTGAGAGTCGACAGCAAGCTGTAATAGATGATAATATCTGCGAGCGTTTATATTCTGTAGCTAGAGACACTGTGCCTGAACTTAATAAATACAACATAGTTGGCCGATACACTGGTGTGCGACCTGCCACCCAATACAAGGATTATGTGATAACTGCTGATCAAGATAGGTTTGGATTTATGATAATTATTACATAAAATATTTTTAATGATAATTATTAAAATATTATATAAAATATTAAATGTACAATCATTATTACACAAGGTACTGAATTAACAATTATCATCATATAAAATTTAAGATTTGAAATTATCATTACAAAAAAATTTGGATTTAAAATCCTCATTATATAAAATTTTTAAATTTCAATTATTTTTTAAAATTATTAAATTACAATTATTTTCTAAAATATAAAATTTTGAAGTGATTGAATTGAAATAATTACAAACTTTTGAATTTAAAATTATCATTACAAACAATTATCATTGCATAAAATACTAAAATTATAATTATCATTCATAATTTTTGTTTAAATTTTAAATTATCAGTAGGTAAAATTTTTCAATTAAAAAAATTATTACACAGACTATTTAGTTTAAGATTATAATTACATAAGATTATTATAATTTTACGCTTATCATTGCATAAAATATTGAAATTGAAATTATCATTATAAAAATATTAAATTCATTATCATCTTTCATCATTGCATAAAATATGGAATTTACAATTTATTACATAAATAATGAATTGATAATTATTATTGCATAAATTGTTATATTAATAATTATCATTACAAAAGATGCTTATTTTGCAAATTATCATTGCATAAAATATTGAAATTTAAATTATCATTACAAAAATATTAATTTCATAATTTTCATTGCATAAAATACAAAATTTACAATTTTTTACATAAATGTTGAATTACATAGATTATTGAATTTAAGATTATCATTACATAGAATTGTGAATTGTCAATCATTATAACACATACATTTTTAAATTTCAAATAATCTTTATATAAAGTTATGAATGTACAATAAAATTTTGAATTTAGTTTTATTCAGTATAGGTTTAACTATATCTTTTGACATTTTATATACAACTTAATAATCATATACTGTTTTGTTTTTCCTAAGAAACTGGATAACAATTTAAGATGTTTTATATAATTTATATAAATAATTATTAATACTGTTTTGTGTTTCTTTAGGAACTGGGTAACAGTAGGTGGGATCAGATCCACAGGCCTTTCAGGTTCTCTTGGAATTTCCGAACTGGTAAGAGAACTTGTTGAAACTAGGATTGGACTGGAACCAACACGTGGACAGTATTTGACAGTGTCTGCACCAAATGTGACATTCACAAAATATGGCACCGCGGTAATTGATGGTCATGAATACAGTGTGAAACATCCACTAACGTTTGTGGGAAAAATGCAAAATTTATCTAAAATTTAAGTCTGATCTAAAAGTTCTTTGATGTACAAATATGCTCTTAATTGTTATAAAATAAAATTTGTTTCATGATATGCCAGTATAATAGTTTATTTTTCATCATATATACATGAATAACATTATATATTGTAAAAACAATTATTTGAGATATGATCCTGCAAATTAAGTCCATTTTCTTCCAATGTTCAAGACTGGCTGTTATACATGCACAGTTAGTTTTGTATTTGAAGACCACGCCTTAAAGAAATATAAGACCACACCTTTAAGAAATATAAGACCACACCTTAAAGAAATATAAGACCACATCTTAAAGAAATATAAGACCACACCTTAAAGAAATATAAGACCACACCTTAAAGAAATATAAGACCACACCTTAAAGAAATATAAGACCACACCTTTACTGTTGTTTTTTTTGTTTGTTGTTTTTTTCAAAGGCAAAAATTCATTGTGAATGAGGATGTTGCTCCTCTATGGGCATATAGTTTAGTGAACAGGTGAAAGTCAAAATAAGCTTTATTTTGTCACAATTCCTTTCAATTCCAACAATTACAGTACTTTGCTTGAACGATAAATAACTCACATAGCCCAAGAAATTTCAATAAATATTCATTGGAATTTGCCTGAAACATTCAATTTATAAAGAGTGGGGCAGTCTTTAGGCTGAATTATATTACATCCGAAACATTTTCCATTGTCATCTGTTGGTCAATCACCTTCATTACAGTTAATTTTCGAAAGATGTTAGTCAGTTGAACTTAACAATGAAAGAAATGACCATAATGTTACATTAAAATATAAGGATTATTGTAAAAAATTCTACCTTATTTTTTAGCCTTGGCATCACTACTATTTTTTTCCCCAGTTTATGGGAAAATATTGTACTTTGTTACACATATACAAAATGTACGTTATATTATATTATAAGTTGAGGTAAAAACCACACCTGGAGTTTTTTCCATCTCCTATTACAACTAATGCAGACTCCCAAGTTTCTTGTTCTTCTGTTTTTTATGCTCCCCCCCCCCCCCAACACACTTCTTGGGGCATTTATATGTTTACCTTTGTCTATCAGTGTGCCTTTACACTGATCAAAAAGTTGCATGCGAGGGCATCACTGTCCTGGAGACACATTTTTTTTGTTGTTTCTGTACAGTTATATGACCCCCAATATCTAATATAGTTTCTCAACAGAAAAATAGCCGCAAATTTTAAAAACAAGACTTCCTCCTTAATCACAGTATCGATACCATTTAAACTTATAAGAAGTTTTCATTGGTTTATGCTCTTTCAAAGAAGTTATATAAAATACTCTATTCCATACCAAACTTGGACTGCCATGACAACTAAAAGAAAAACTCTTCAGAATCTTCATAAATTGACCGGTACATTATTAGTTATAAAGATTGTTGACAGGTTAAATGGCCCTATACAAACGGCTATTTGTAAATATAACCCGAGCCGCTAAGCGAGGGTTATATTGCAAATAGCCGTTTATATTATTAGTTATAAAGATCGTTGACAGGTTATATGGCCCTATATAAACGGCTATTTGTAAATATAACCCGAGCCGTTAGGCGAGGGTTATATTGCAAACAGCCGTTTATATACGGCCATATAACCTGTCAACAATCTTTATAACGAATTTATAATACAGCAAGCATCATTTTTAGAGAAAAAAAAGATTTCCTCATGAATCGACAGCAGCCGTTTATATAAAACTATATAAACGTCACGATTATCCAATGAAAAATGACGTTACAAACGTGCAGTATTATAAACGGCCATATAACCTGTCAACAATCTTTACAACGAATTTATAATACAGCACGCATCATTTTTTAGTGAAAAAAGTAAGATTTCTTCATAAATCTACAGCAGCCGTGTATATAAAACTATATAAACGTCACGATTATCCAATGAAAAGCGATGTTACAAACGTGCAGTATTATAATATGTATTAAATACTTACGGACAGATGCCCTCTGAAAATATGCCTGTGACAGAAAGTGACAATTTTGTTATAATTGTTGAATTATTTTGATTAAAACCAGCAACCTGATCTCTTGTTGTTTGCCAAATTGTGCCCTACAGGCCACACTTACAAGTCTGGTCCTTAAATAGAGATGGCCTATGTGGTCAGGTTCTTTACTCTCATGACATGTACGCAAACTAACCATCCTTATTGGATTCAACTAACAAACTAGAAATGTGTCCATAGCACACAGGTGTCCCCACACGCCACTGTTCTGTCAATCTTATGACTCTAGGTCAAATAAATTTTGGACTTCATGTGCCACAAGTTGAAAATTAAAAATCTTTTACTAAGTAAAGGGCAAGAACTTAACAAATACTGAAGAAATTCACAAGCAAACCCCAAGGTGCATAAGTATACATGCTGACCAACATTCTTGTAAACTTTCAGGCCTACAAGTCAAATACTTTTTGAGCTATGCATGAACAAGTTGAAAATTGCAAATTTATACTACTGTAAGTCAAGGGCAATAACTCTAACAAAGCAGTGATGTTGATCATTATTCCTGTAATTTAGTGATGTTGATCATTATTCCTGTAAAGTTGGTTGATTCTAACTCAAGCACTCAAGGAACAAATAACACAACATAATGAAACGTTTTTTACTAATTTAAGGGCAATAACTCTACAAATACTGGATAAGTCCACAAGCAAAACCCAAGATGCACAACTACATATGCTGAGCAACATTCCTGTAAGGTTTCATGACTATGTCAAATCCTTTTTGAGCTACATGCAACACAAGTTGAAAATTGCAAAAAATTTCTAAGTCAAGGGCAATAACTCTAAAAATACTAAATAAATCCAGATGAAAATACCCAGGGGCACAACTATACATGCTGATCAACATTCCTGTAAAGTTTCATGACTCTATGTCAAATCCTTTTTGAGTTACATGCGACACAAGTTGAAAATAGCAAAATTTTACTAAGTCAAGGGCAATTTTTCTAAAAATACTATATAAATCCACACGAAAATACCCAGGTGCACAACTACACATGCTGATCAACATTCCTGTAAAGTTTCATGACTCTAGGTCAAATATTTTTTGAGTTATGTGCGACACAAGTTGAAAATTGCAAATTTTTACTAAGTCAAGGGCAATAACTCTAAAAATACTATATAAATCCACACGAAAATACCCAGGTGCACAAACTACACATGCTGATCAACATTCCTGTTAAGTTTCATGACTAGGTCAAATATTTTTTGAGTTACGTGCAACACAAAAGAGAACGGATGTACGGACGGATGGACAGACAAGGGGAAATGTAAATGCCTCCCCCCCTAAAGTGGGGGCACAAAAATCAAAACAATTTTGCACAATTTCATATAATTTTATTGCACTGAAATATACACAGGAGTATTTTTTCTTTATTGAGACAGCTGGGTCTCTTCATAACAAGTGTTATAAAATAGTAACATGATATTGTTTATTACAAGCATTGATTCATTTCTTATTTTTAATTTTTTTTGGCGGGTTTTACGTTGCATCAAAATACAGTATAGGTCATATGGCGACTTTCCAGCTCTACTGGTGGAGGGAGTCCTTGTATGCCCCTCTGTGCATTATTTCTGGCACAAAGGGGCATCTGAGTAGAACCACAGACATTCTGTCAGGTACCTGGTGGATAGCTTCCCCACATGAAAAAATTCAAAGATTTGAACCCACAGCGGTAAGGGGCAAATCAACAACCTTAACCACTCAACAACAAATGCCCCTATTTCTGTTTTCAATCCAACAACTCATTTAGGAAATTTTTGCATGGTAACCATCAGAAAATTTGGAATATTCAACAAATCTGTCAAAATATTTTTTTTTTTTTCAAATGATTATCCTCATACTGTCTTTATACAAAGTTATATATGCCTAAAATACTGAGAAGACAGAGGAAATCATTGCAATTTTGTTGGAATTTTGAAATTCAAGATTAAATTTTAAAAAAATTCAACAATTATTAAATATTTTGAAAAAGCCTAAAACGTTTTGTTTTTTTCATCCTCAATTTTATGGAAAAAAATCACATATTTGTTCAAAATTAAAAATGAACCATTTGTTGAACTAACACTTTTGTATAACCATCAAATCTTTGTATGTAACTTTTTGTATTTGTACAGTCAAACTTAGATTATCACCTACAAGTACATTGTATATTATTGAAGGCCATAGTTGTATTACTTCATTCCAAAAACTATGGTACAAAACTTTTTGTCAATATAGAGATGTTAACAAAAGGTCACAACTGTTATCATCACAACTGGCCTTCACATTCAGGTTTGACTACGGACGATCAACAGATATTTCAATGGAAGACACGCCCTGTTTCAAACTCTTGTTACATTATTTTGATCCTGTTACATTATTTGAGGATTTCATTTAGAAATGTATCCACATGTGATAAAATAGTCCATAAATCGGTTGCCATGGATACAACAACACAATCTGAGGAGGTGCTTCGACAATTGAGCAGAACATGATATTGAGGTGGCAGAAAGATCGCATAACACCAGTCCTTCCCTGAAAATAAACATATCATTTTTTTTTAAAAATATACACCTGTCAATGACCAGGAATAATATAAACATACTTTTTATATACTTTCCAATCCCTGTCATATAAGTTTACTCATTAAGGTATCGAAAGTGAAAAAAAAAATTGTAAAATTATTTTTAGTTGAAGGAGCACACCCCCAAGATGAGTAAAAAAGGCTTTCAAATTATCAAAATAAAGAATATTAATAATATTGCTTTTCAGTTTCACTTTCCAAGTTTTACTGTAGTAATTATTGCAAAATGTGACATAAATCAATATTTTAATCATCATATTTCTACCCCTGTTACTTACAAAGTTTAGGGATATGTCTGCACTTATTGGCATGTTTTTGTTAATTTATGAAAAATGTAAGGCCCTGCCCTAAACCTTTGCCATTCTCAATATCTTAAATTGACTTGTCTGTCTGTCCATTTAGACACAAGGGGATGAACCATTCATGATTTTTAGGGAAAATTTTCAACAAAAACAATGTACTGACTGAGTAGTGAACAGAACTGGGCATGATCTTAGTCTGCACTGGTGGCATTAGTAGAATTTGTTGTTTCCAGCAAGCTTAGGATTAATTTAGCTATGTAAAACCATTTCATGTTTACCCTTAATAACATTTTTACAAATTATAACAGTTTCTATATTTTTTAGCCTAGCCTTTCTTTTTATTATTTAACCCTTTCCCCCATGAGCATATTGTGAAAAATGGCCATTTTCACTGAAAAGCCTACTCTTACAAGTTCAAACTGCTATGAAACTATGAAAAATGCTTCAATACTAATCAAACTTGGCAAAAATGTTGACTGGACCATTGCCTTTGTAACGACATGCTCAGTCTTAAATTTCCTGTTACCATGGCAACGCGGGGACATTTCAAAATTGCCAAAAATCACTATTTTGCCTCGATTTTTTCCATCAAAATTTATTTCAAAGTGCTGCAACTTCTCAAGGGATTGAGATAGAGTCAAAGGCTTTTCAGCGTTGGTTACACGTTACCATATGATCGACCTGGGGTCATTTTAAGCCTCTCACAAGTCCAAAATTTTCTTGGCGATGAGGGGGACTCCGCCCCCCTTCTGGCAACCCCCTGATGTATCTTTTGGATGGGGGAAGGCGCCGAAAAAGTGCTCACTTTTTTAAGCAACATTTCTCAAACGAAAACATGTGTTTAGGGCCCAAATAGGACATTTTTTCACTATTTCAGGCCTAAAAAAAGGGGGGGTCGAAAGTGCGTTGTTTCGCGTATGGGTTAAAGACTTATTGTTATAGACATGTTAGTGTTCCCGTACCCGTTGCCTTGCACGGTGCTGTTACTGTTACTATCAGCTAACTTTAATATTCACCATAACTTTATTATTTCTTGGTGTATTATCTTCATACTTTGCCACAATAGTCCTTTGGATAAGACCTTCAAGTACACCAGACTAACCTTGACCTTCATTCATAAATGACCTTGACGTTTAAGGTCAAATGTCTAAATTTTGCTTGATTGTTGCCAAGTTTTTGCCATAAATAGTTATAACTTAGTTCTTTTTGAATGGATTGTCTTCAAACTTATGAAAATTGACATGCTGTTTTAATAAAACAATGCCTACCTTTCTCTCCTGTATAAAGAAATGGTAACAGATGTTTTTCATGAACTTGTTTAAATCTCTCCATAGTGATGTTGAATAACTTCACAGATTCTACACCAACCCTGTAATATACAATGTAAATAATGGAACACAATGGCATAGTTACCCTCACATAGAATTGAAAAAATCCAACTTTTTTTTTCAATAATATGATGCAAAAGACATGTTATAAATTAGTCATTTTCTTGTCCTAAAGGGAAAGTAGAAACAAATTTTAAATCCCACTTATTTTGATAATACATGTATGGTATACAAATTTGTCATATCTTTTATATGTTTTCTCAGAAACAAAACTTTAAACAAGGATTTTTTGCTTAAATTCTGTTAAAGTTTATAACAGGGATTTCAAAACTATTTAAGAACTCAACCTTTACTTGAAGTACAAAAGTCATGTAACTTAGTAATTGAACTTATAAAAGTTAATGTGATTTGCTTTTAAATCTACAACTATACACATGACGCAGTATAACTTAGTAGATCTATTTAAAATATATTAAAATATTTTAATTACAGGTAATGATTATATACTATATTATCTTTGTTCTAATATGATGTAACTTGGCCAGTAACTATTGAAACTCTATTAGGCCTTTAGGCTCAGGTATTCAATTTCCAAAAATACAAAAAATATTTCTTCATGTTTTCCCCAATATTCAAACATATTTGTTCTTAAAATGTCCAAATACAAAATGACATAGGCTAATGCAAAATTAAGTGGAAATATTTTAAAACATTTACTCACTCATCATCTATTTTTCTATTCAGGACCCATTCCCATAAAGTTGTAAACTTTAATGTTTGTATATCACAGTAATTATATGGCAGTTTCATCATCTGATGAGAAAATTCTACATATATTGAATCTATAACAGTACTGAATGTCTTTTTACTATCACTGGAAAATTCAACACTGAAAATAGAAAAAAAAGATGAAAATATTAACAAAATTTTATTTGCAGATGACCCATATAATAACTTAATTCTTGTAAGTTCTTACTATATACATACATTGTAAAAATGAAACCCATAATCATGGAAGTTTTTCTCTTTTGGTTGCCATGGCAACCAGAGTTCTGAATGGAATGAAATTCTTAGCACAATTTTGTCAAAGGTTCATGCCAGGAACAAATCCTTCATAGTTTTGACAACATTAGCCCAAAAGTTTAGATGACACACAACCAACACAGCCGGGTCACAATAGCTGGCTTTCAGCATGGTAATGTGGAACATAAGAAAATAAAATAGAATGGTAACAATATTAGAAAATTGACAGTTGCAACTTTAGAATGGGAGAATGTTTTCCCCACCAGACATTTAAGTAATTATGAAATTCTTACCTACAGCCGAGAGTTAATGGCAAGGGTAATTTTGGAACTACTTTTAAAACAACATCTTGATGTCCTGTATGTAATATAAAAATAGAATTAGCAGTCAGTGATGAGCTCAAAATATTTATGATCAATTTTGACAATGAAAATAAACAGGCTTCTCTTACAAAAATTAAAACTTTTTGGGAAATATTTCCCAATTACAAAAGCTTAAAATTCAACAGTTGTAATAATCAGACATAAAATTATCGACAAAAATAAATCATGAAATAATACAATAAAATGCTGAAAACTCAAAGGATGGTGAATAACTGAAATCTATATCAGCCATGGTCTTATAAATTTAAATTTTATGTAAGGCTTTGTCTTGTATTTGAATTTTATTCAAGCCAAGGTCTTAAGAAGTTAGATATCATAATATGCCATGGTCTTTTAACACTTAAAATTGAAAGGAAGCCATGGTCCTTTAAGATAAAATTTCATTAAAGCCATGGTCCTACAAGTCTGCATATTGCATAAGCCATGGTTCTGAAAAGTCAAAATATTATAAAAGCCATGGTCCTATGTTTAGTTTTCAGCACTGTTTATTTACCTGCATCAGTCAAACAAGCTATGTGTCTATCTGAAATGTAAGAAATAGAATTAATGCCATAAAGTCAATACGTATGGCAAGAATCACTCCTAAAATATACTGTATGCATGTGTATATTGACAGCCTGCCTGTAACAAAATGTTAAGTTGTGCTTTACATATGAGCCGCGTCATGACAAAACCAACATAGTGCGTTTGCGACCAGCATGGATCCAGACCAGCCTGTGCATCTGCGCAGTCTGGTCAGGATCCATGCTGTTCGCTCTCAGTTTCTCTACTTGTAATAGAGTTGGTAAGCGAACAGCATGGATCCTGATCAGACTGCGCTGATGTGTAGGCTGGTCTGGATCCATGCTGGTCGCAAACGCACTATGTTGGTTTTGTCATGACGCGGCTCATATCAGTTTTCTGCATGAAAATATTTGTCTCAGACATTTACCAGAACCTTAAGAGGTGATATTTAAAGGATCCAAATTCATGCAACTGCCTTAATCATTAGACAATAATGAAATACCATTGAAACAGATGCTTTATATTTATTATATTTATCAACTAAATAAAGTTTTTTTTTGTTGTTGTTTTATTTTACTTTCATAATAAGTTTAACGTACTTGGTATAGGTTGAAATGTAGGAGATGACTCAACACGAATGCTGACAGCATGAACTGTATTAAACAACGTCTGTTCTCTCTACAATAGAAACAAGTGTTACATCATATACAACTATTCCTATTGTAATGCTCAATAGTATAAAATCTTTTCACAGTATTTAGCAGTTCATAAATCTCTCTTGATGCAAAACTGTTCTTCATGTAATTTGAGCTACAACAGTTTTGCACCAAGGTCTTGAAAGATAGATGACAGCTTTATGACAGCTCTTTGTGAAAGCAGTCGAAGTTTTGTTTTGTTACAATTCAAAGGAGGAAAATGGCACCATCTGGTGCTTAACATGTCGATGTTTCAGCATTTTACCTTTGTATAAGTCCAGTGTTTCTAGTTGTTAAAATCTTGACCTGAAATTTTGCTTAGTAGCATTTTTAATGTGAAGAACTTTGTAGATATTTATTGGGAAAAAGTTTGAACAGATAAAATAATATAAAATGAGATTAAAATGTTTATGACTCAATCATAGGGAACATTTCAAAATAAGTATTGACTGAAAAATAAACAGAGTACATCTATGATCAGACGACACACTGGTTGCATGGGAATAATTATTTCCGTTACCACCAGTGACATTAAATGTAGACATGTTGATATTAAACAATAAAGTCTATTTCTTGAAAATCAATAATAAAAATACGAATAATGAATGAAACACAAAAAAACGAATTTATGAAATTTCAAACTTTATTACGTGATTGTGAGAATTATATTTGTTTATCCTTGAAAACACATGCTTACACTATCATATGTATTAAACAAGAAATTACCAGTTTAAGACGGCATTTGAGGTTAAGACAAACTTCAAGTGTCTTCAACTTCTTCTCATACCCCAGCAATATATCCTCAAGGTCTGTAGAAAAATACAAACTAATAGGCTAATACATAGAGGAGAATTACTTAAAGATAACTATACTATGCTCAAATTTGCTTTAGAAAATATTGATATATAAAATGAACATGTTTTGACTTCACACAAAGTAGATATGTTATGTTTCAACTTCTACACACTATAGGTGGTCATAATATGAATATATAAAGTCATTATAACAAGAGCTGTCAGAAGGACAGCGCGCTCGACTTTTTTAGTGCTTGCCTATAAAACAAAACTTTGACAGTTAAGGGCACACAAGACTTTAACTAGGAATTTCTAAGTACAAATCAAGAAACATTTTCACAGAGTTATCTTCTCTTGCTTACAGATAGGTCTCATGATGGCACATAAGAACTCCAACTTCCAAAGTAATATCTCAAATGGTTAAGTCAACAAGTGGACAAGAATGAAAATCTTAACTGAGTTTCTAAGTCAAAAAGGGCCATAATTCAAATAAAATCCTTAACAGAATTACCTTCTCCTGCCCATGTTTTGGGACCATGATGGTAAACAAGTATTCCAACTTTCAAATTAATATCTCAAACAGTTCAGTCAAAAAGTGGACTGGTACTAAAAACTTAACCAAGATTCTAAGTCGATAAAAGGCCTTAATTTTTAAAACAAATCCTTGACAGAGTTTACCTTCTCTTGCGTACAGATGGGGGTAATGATGTGAAATAGCATTAAAAGTTTCAAAGCAATATCTCAAAAGGGTTAAGGCAATAAGTGATTTTACCCATATTCAATGTATTTTCTAAGTCAAAAAGGGGCATAATTCTGTCAAAAACCTTGACAGAGTTATGTCCTCTTGTCTGTTGATGAAGGTCGTGATGGTAAACAAGTATGGTCAGTTTCAAAGCAATACCTCCAATGGTTTTGAAATAAAGTGAGGTGGTACAAAAAACTTAACCAAGCTCAATACACTTTCTAAGTCAAAAAAGGGCCATAATTCTGTCAAAAACCTTGACAGAGTTATGTACTCTTGTCTGTAGATGGAGGTTATGATGGTGAACAAGTATGGTAAGTTTCAAAGCCATACTTGTAATACTTCTGAAATAAAGTGGGGTGGTACGAAAAACTTAACCAAGGTGTGACGCCAACGCTAACGCCGACGCCGACGCCGACGCCGGGGCGAGTAGGATAGCTCCCCTTTTCATAGAAAAGTCGAGCTAAAAACTGGCAGTTTTTTAAAGAAAAGACTAATTTTACTTGACCTGTAGTAGGAAACGCAGCTTCCAACACATAGTTTATTCATTATTTTATTAAAAATTAGACATATTCGGTAAGAATTTCATAGATTTTAATAAATGTCTGTTATCTAAATATTTTACACAAGGAGCATAATCATATTGTTTAAAGATCCATTATGCCTCAAAAATGCTATAACTTTTATTTCACAAAAACTATAACCTTTTGGTATTCTGCAACAGTTTCCAAAAAAACACACACATTTGCCATACTCATAGATGAACTGTCTTTGCTTCTTTAATTGCTTTGCTGGCAGTAGGTATCAGCATAGTGAATTAGTATTTTGTATGAAAGTCAAAATACTACTTTGTTTACATTTCGCTACCTTTACTACACATTACTGAACATTAAGAGCTACTTTTTTTCAGCTGTTATGTCAAACATGCTCGAAATCCATTATTAAAACATTATTAACCCATTGTTTGACATTTCTAAAGATTTATTAAATATGAATTTCTGATGCATAATGTGCCTTTAATTTTATTATCTGCCTATTTTTATGCAATATTTCAATTAAAAGCTGCTTTTCTTCAAATGTTTTAATCTTTTTAAATTTATTGATTAGAAATGGTCAAAAATTTTACTACATACACAAGAAGAGGAAATCTGTACTAACAGCTTAGATACAAGACAAAGTCACCTTTAACTTCACACTTTAAATACTTTTCACCAAAAAACTACATTTGTCTTGATGCAAAGGGCCTCTCCTTTCAAAAAGCAAATTATTACATAATAAAAATCAAAGTTAAACTATACACATACCTTTACTTGTGTCACCTGACATATCTTCAGACTTCAATGTACATGTTGACGATTCAACAGATATCCTTTAATATAAGACATGGGAAATGATATCAGTAGATGTGGCAAGGACATAATACCAGTCTGACCTAATCTAACAGGCCCTAAACCAATGCACAGCCCAACTGTACTTGTATCATCTTAGTGAATATTTGTCTGGGACAGTTCTGAACAATAGCCACCGCTGAGTGGAGGCAAAGTGAAAAAAATATAATTAAAATTCAATCATTTGACAGTCAGTCATTAAAGGTCAAGGTCATATCTAGATTATTCCACATGTCTGTTCGGTCATAAGTGTTCATTTGTTCATTATGAATCAAATCCAAATATAAATAACAAAGTTATGACAACTTAACCAAAATTCAGTACTTTGACCTTGATGGTCAAAGCTCAAGGTCAAAGTCAGTTCAACCTTTTAGAAGATTATCTATTACTATCAAACAATGTTCAACTTTACAATCCTTCAAAAACACCTGTAAAATTTATTTTCTAAGTCTACAGTTAGATACATGATGGAAATTGACCAATTTATTTTTTAATTGTTGTAAATGCTGATATGTTTCTTTTTTCTCCTTTTTTTTATAAATCACTACGAGTTTATCTACAATTACTATAATTAATATGAGTGTCAGTCGGATGAATAAATAAAAATATCTAACCTTTACATTCAAGAATAATATATATATATATATATTTTGTTTTTTGTTTTTTTTTTTTGTTTATACAAAAAGATTTTAAATTTTGTATAAATCTACTTTTTTATTCTTTGTTATTGTTAAATCAGAAGGCGATACTGAAAATAAGTATACTTCTTACTGTGTAAACTTTGTATGTTACCTTCTATAAATAAAGATTTTATTATTATTATTATTATTATTATTATTATTCTTGTCCAAAAGGTTGTTTTGTCCAAGTATGAAAATAACCCATTGATTAATTACCAAGTTACAGCCAAGTATAGCAATAGGCAGTGAAAATTAATTAATTTGACCATCAAAGTCAAGGTCATACATAAATAACAAAATTATGACAATTTAACCAAAATTCAATAATTTGACCTTGATGGTCAGGGTTGTTTATAGCTCAAGGTCTAGGTCATTTCAATCTTTTAGAAGGTCTTGTCCAAAATGTTGTTTGCTCAAACATAATGAAGATAATTCATCCATTTATTACCAAGTTACAGTCAATTATAGCAAAAATCAGTGAAAATTCAAAAATGTAACCTTCAAGGTCAAGGTCATAAAAGAGCCAAGGTCGGTTTGAGTTTGATATACATGTAGGTCTTATCCTAAAGAATGTTGTGTCATAATATGAAGTCAATGTATTCATTAATAACAAAGTTATAGCCAGTTACAACAAAACTAAAATATTTCAGATGATAGTATTTAGTATGCTTTTAGTATGTTGTTTGCAAATATGAGATACATGATCTGATATTACATAAAGAAGATGATAAAATGTTCTAGAACAAAATATCATTTTTCATTACATAAAGGTTCATACTAAATCACTGAGAACTTTACCAACATTTTTTTTTCAAGAAATATTCCATCCGAATATACATGTACAAATTATACATTTCTATTGTTTTTAATTTCTTATCAATACATGTATTTAAAATATATATGGAAATATATTCCCATTTGAGACCTATCCACTTTAATAACGATACAGAATTTTATACTCGTAAAAATAACATGTATTTTTCATTTAACCAAAATGTAACAAACTATTATCTTCAGGAATATTGTTATGTAATATGAAATGCTCTGTACCTTTGCCAACTAAAAACTGGGTCATCTAGAGGTATTATTTGAGCCAGGGAAACCTTATCACTGGTTCCTGAAACATAACACATATACTTTACATTACAGTCAACATAAATTGCTGTAGTTGTCAAGAAATTCAAATATTACACTTTTAAAATGATTAATATTCTAGACTAAATAACCTATATTGACCTACTTGACCCTTTGCCTGCTGACTGCGACTGATTCTACCCATGTGCAGTGCTGTGCAGTCTGCTCATGTTTCATTATTTGCTATTCCGTAAGTAGATAATTATTTTGAAAATTTCCCTAACAATGATGAATGGTTTTGTCCAGATTTAAAGATGGACAAGTCTATTTAAGATATTTAAGTGTAGTATGGGTTAAGTACTCTATTCACAGACTGGAAATGAAACTGCAGATAGCAGCCTAATGTTAACAGAAAATCTATCACAATTTCATTAAAATTCATAAGAAAATCCAGCTTAACCCCCCCCCCCCAAGGATCAACAAAAATCCCTCAGTATCATTTGGTAAATGACATAAAAACCTGAATGGACTAACAAAAGCCTCTGCTTCCATTTCATTGGTGTTTTCAAATTTGAGGAAATTAGGGGAGACAACTTACCTGGAAGAAGGGAGGTAATAGCTTCTGTCATTGATTCAACATCACTCAGATTTGCTTTCAATACTGACTGCACCTGCAATACAGTAAAAAGAGTGATCATTATTTTATGTAAGATGATGATCCTCCATTCATGATTATTATAACAAATCAGTTTATACAGAATTTATTTTAGTTCGATTGTGTAGGAAAGACACTCTTAAATACCTGGAACCTACAAGTGCTGAGCAATGACTGTGAAATTTCTTGCTCAAGTAAACAGCTGGGTTTGAACCTACATTATAGCTAGCAATTCTTTTAATTACTGGTCAGATATGTTAACCATTTGGACAAGCTTTAAATTTAAAGCTTTACAACACTATTACCTTGTATATATTAGTTTATCAAGTAAAATATTAACAGTTAAAAACTACTGATGGTGAATTCAACGGACATTCACCTCTTGTACTGAATCTTGTGTTTGACCATATCCATGATCCATTTAAACAGAAGGGGTGTATCCGTTTAAATGGGTACGATCGGTTTTCAGCTAGAAATCAGTTAAAGCAGGACGCCTCCAGATTCATGCTAATTTTCAGTATAATATTGTAAAGTTACCAAAAGAATGCAATTTACACATTATCAATGGCACATTCAACCTATGTTAATTACTACAAAAAGGTCAAAATATGCAAAAGTAGCCCTCACTGCATTAGTAATGCAGTAGAAATATAATTATAAATACTGAAAAATTTGTCATTAATCGCACATAACATGTAAATTATTACTAGAATTTTAAATCTTTATACCTTTCCTAAAACCTTAGTACATTTTTCACAGGTTTGATATTATCGAAATATTTTTGCTCATCTGGAGGCGTGCAGCTTTAAGAAACTCAATAACTGGTAACTGAGGTTGGTATTTGACAAAGTGCTGATTAAAAAAAAAAATTCTAAAACATTACTTTAGTTTTTAATAACAATATTTGACATTCTATTTATATTTCAGTTGTTTTCACCGATTGCGTGCTATCTGATCGTGTACGATACTGTCCTAACATAAAATTGTTACTTTACAGTTGGACGTCTATTGTTATCATTGTTGAGTACAACAAAATACGAACAAAATGTCATATCTTGTCATGAAGAAATAAAGATAATGTAAGAAATTAACTGGCAAAAGTTGAGGGTAATTTTAAGCCTAGCCTTGTTGCAATATTTTCGGTATAAGTGGGCACCTGATTATAACCATCGACCATCCGTAACTGTGGATTTTTGAGAGTCATCATCTAAAAAAGATCAAACACTGAACTTACCTTAGTGTCTGTAGCTCCGGTGATTAACGCATAGTAAAATCTTGCTTTATCTTGTACGTCAGTATCACAATAACATGACATCATAAAGTAAAGTAGGTCACCTAGTTCTGTAAATGTATATATCATAAATTTTTGTACGGTCTTCTGGTCAAATCTATGACGTTGTTTGGAGACTAACAAACTTTATTTTTGTTGGGTGTAATACACAAAGCCAAATTATCAAGGTCATGTAGCTTTACTGGTAGGGGATTATTTCATGTGCCCGACTTCTTGTATAATTTCAGGCACAAACAGGCACCTGAGTAGAACCTACAACATTCTATAACCCAGCTGGGTAGCTTCCTCACACAAAATAATCCATAGTTCCTGATGGGGTTCGAATACACAGTGGTAAGGGACAAGACAGTGGTTTGAAGTCAATGACCTCAACAACTTGGACATGGGCGCCCCTTACCTACGAACTGTAAGCGGTGATAAAAGACACCTAGTGATTGTCTTTTCATCATTTCAGGAACAAGAAATTGTTCACCAGCACTATTTCTGGAAATTTTCCAACTTATACAAAATAAGGACCATGCTTTTTTCCAGTTAAAGTGACATTATGCTCATTTCTTTGCTGACAAGTTGAGTTGAATTAGTAATATTTTAAGGAGATTGACTATCATAATGGTGATTGACCAATAATTGATAATGAAAATGTTTAGATTGAAAAAAATATATAAACTACCTTAATTATAAAAAGAATGTCTCACTCTTTTTAAAACTTGAATGTTACAGATACATTCTAAATGATGTTTATAGAAATATCCTGGGTTACGGAAATTATTGACTATAATTTTTGCATAGTCAGATAAAGAACTGAAAATATTTATTGAAGTTATTTTGACTTTAACTTGCGCACCCACCATTTACAATTTGATGGACATTATGGTGAACAACCTAATGCACGCTTGATAGATACCACATTATTTTTAACACGGAACAGACAGCTATTAGGAAAGTGGTATGTAGCCAGTGACCTAAACAATAAATAGCCTTGAAAGCCCCGCAATGAGTGACATTATACTAAGCTTGGTTAAAAGAGAAACAGTTTGTTTCGGGTCTAACTGCTACTTATCTTGGTAAAAAAGAAAAACAGTTTGTTTCGGGTCTAACTGCTACTTATCTTGGTAAAAAAGAGAAACAGCTTGTTTTGGGTGTAACTACTAAGCTTGGTTAAAAAGAGAAACAGTTTGTTTTGGGTGTACCTACTAAGCTTGGTTAAAAAGAGAAACAGTTTGTTTTAGGTGTAAAAGTAATCACTGGAACTTTGGGTGTGAGATTAATCACCAGGTCTTGGGATGTGAGATAACTCACACTGGAACTTTGGGAGTGAGACTAACCACCGAAACTTGAGATGTGAGAATAAAAAACTCTGGATTTTAGATTAATCACTGGACCTTGGGGGTGTGAGACTGACCCCCAGAATCATTTATCAATGAAACTTTGGGTGTGAGATTAATCACTGGAACTTTGGGTGTGAGATTAATCACTGGAACTTTGGGTGTGAGATTAATCACTAGAACTTTGGGTGTGAGATTTATAACTAGAACTTGGGGAATGAGACTTATCACTGGAACTTGGGATGTAAGACTTAAATCACTGGAACTTTGGTCATGAAATTAATATATGAGATCAAAATATGAAGATTATGAAAGGAATTATTTTTATGTTGATACATCTCTGTAAATACTGAGTATGACACATGTAGTTGGTACAAGTATACTACAATAATGAAATAGCAAAAATAATTCTTGAAACACTTTTTAATCAATTTTTCACAAAATTTTCAAACAAAAACAACAACTATTTCATACAATATTTTGAGCAATTTGAATGCAACAGTTCAGAATGTTGGTTTTCGTTAAAATAAGACAAACAGATAACAAACCAATGTATAAAATCATTTACTATACAATATAATGTACACTCTTCAAAGTTTCAATATACATGAAAAGAAGTACAAAGTAGAGTATACAATTTATGTTACTTTAATATACACAGTTTATAAACAACCTATGGTTCACAAGGTTTTATACTTAAAAGTTTCAGGTATTTCAAATTACAATGTAGATACAAGATTTTTGCCCTATATTTTGTCACTTTTGCCACTTTTATTATTTCCCCCCAATCCTCTGGTTTAGAGATTTTGTTCAGGCTTTAAATCAATTCTATTACAGAGTCTATATAATTATATAACTATAGCATATGTAATAAACAAATATCCCTCATTCAGATTAAGATATTTGAAAGACATCTCCGTCGTTAAACAATACAAAATGAAACTATGATATCGACTTTTTGATGTTGCATAACTTCCTTATCAGATTCTGTTGGAAATTTAAAATTTACTGTTAATAATTATTTGTGTTTGAAGTTTAACTGATGTGATGGTTAATGTCATGTCACATGAAACGTTTGTGATGTTGTCAAGTGACATTGAAAGTTTGTGATGTTGTCATGTTACATTGAAAGTTTGTGATGTTGTCAAGTCACATGGAAAGTTTGTAATGTTGTCATGTCACATTGAAAGTTTGTGATGTTGTAAAGTCACATGGAAAGTTTGTAATGTTGTCCTGTCACATTGAAAGTTTGTGATGTTGTCAAGTCACATGGAAAGTTTGTAATGTTGTCATGTCACATTGAATGTTTGTGATGTTGTCAAGTGACATGGAAAGTTTGTGATGTTGTCAAGTCACATTGAAAGTTTGTGATGTTGTCAAGTCACATGGAAAGTTTGTGATGTTGTCAAGTCACATGGAAAGTTTGTGATGTTGTCAAGAGACATGGAAAGTTTGTGATGTTGTCAAGTCACATGGAAAGTTTGTGATGTTGTCAAGAGACATGGAAAGTTTGTGATGTTGTCAAGAGACATGGAAAGTTTGTGATGTTGTCAAGAGACATGGAAAGTTTGTGATGTTGTCAAGAGACATGAAAAGTTTGTGATGTTGTCAAGAGACATGAACAGTTTGTGATGTTGTCAAGAGACATGAAAAGTTTGTGATGTTGTCATGAGACATGGAAAGTTTGTGATGTTGTCATGAGACATGGAAAGTTTGTGATGTTGTCAAGAGACATGGAAAGTTTGTGATGTTGTCAAGAGACATGAAAAGTTTGTGATGTTGTCAAGAGACATGGAAAGTTTGTGATGTTGTCAAGTGACATGGAAAGTTCATGATGTTGTCAAGTCACATGGAAAGTTCATGATGTTGTCAAGTCACATGGAAAGTTTGTGATGTTGTCAAGAGACATGGGAAGTTTGTGATGTTGTCAAGAGACATGGGAAGTTTGTGATGTTGTCAAGTGACATGAAAAGTTTGTGATGTTGTCAAGTGACATGGAAAGTTTGTGGTGTTGTTATGAGACATGGAAAGTTTGTGATGTTGTCAAGTCACATGGAATGTTTGTGATGTTGTCAAGTCACATGGAAAGTTTGTGATGTTGTCAAGAGACATGGGAAGTTTGTGGTGTTGTCAAGTGACATGGAAAGAGTGACATGGAAAGTTTGTGGTGTTGTCAAGAGACATGGAAAGTTCATGATGTTGTCAAGTCAGATGGAATGTTTGTGATGTTGTCAATTCACATGGAAAGTTTATGATGTTGTCAAAGACAAGGGAAGTTTGTGGTGTTGTCAAGAGACATGGAAAGTTTGTGATGTTGTCAAGTCACATGGAATGTTTGTGATGTTGTCAAGTCACATGGAAAGTTTTTGTGATGTTGTCAAGTCACATGGAAAGTTTGTGATGTTGTCAAGTCCACATGTAATGTTTGTGGTGTTGTCAAGTCACATGGAAAGTTCATGATGTTGTCAAAAGACATAGAAAGTTTGTGATGTTGTCAAGTCACATGGAAAGTTCATGATGTTGTCAAGAGACATGGAAAGTTTGTGGTGTTGTCCAGTCACATGGAAAGTTCATGATGTTGTCAAGTCACATGGAAAGTTCATGATGTTGTCAAGAGACATAGAAAGTTTTTTTTGAAGTGTAGTACGGGAAAAATCTGTGTTTCAAAAAATAATTTGGGGTTTTATACAGGAAATTCATTATGTTTTTAAAAGTCAAAAAAAGTTAAATTGGTAAAAGGAATGGATTTGGGGATCTTAAAAACCTTGTTTTTTCCTTGGAAGAAACAAAAAACTCGCTCTTCGGTTTTTAAAAGGATTAGAAATTTTGAAATAAGCTTATTTGCTTCCTTCACAAGCAAACTAAAAAAATTTTTGTACAACCAATTAAGTTTATTAATCAAAGACAGAAGCCTCCTGAAAATCTTTTTATCAAATTAAAATCATTTTTATGGTTTCTCATTTTTTTGTCAAAAATGAAAATAAGCAAAATGCAGAATTCATAAAGGCCTAAAAATTTTGTTTCATTTTGTTACTTTAGTTTATATTTGAAGCATAGGTGTTTATGGTATTTTGTTATTGCTGTAGCATGTGTGATGTATCATTATTATAAATGTATTTAATTATTTGTTATGGTAATTCATTGTTGAACTTGTGAAAACACAATGTAATGTTATTGTACTTTTTCTGCCATTATAGGACCATTTTTCTGGTATCTGATAATATCACTATTGATGCTTATTGGTAATGTTTCTATAAATTTGGGTTATAGCTTTTTCATGCTTTGGTTTCTGGTAACCCGCGTTTGCACTAGGCTCTTGAGAAATTTTTATTTTTTCTTCTCAAACATTTACATCACTTTATTATTATTTGCTTGTTTATGTTGATGTTATTTGTGTAAATTCATTTCCTGTATCAACTGTTTCTAATAAGGCGCGTATAAAGGTCACTGCAGTACGCAAAATGTTTTTTTATTGTTGTGAAATTCCTTCTTCTTTTATGTTCCGTCTCTCTCGACACTGCCACAGGAAGAGTACAGTAATTGCCAGTAAGAACACAGGTTGTGCAGCGTCGGAGCATATTGCAATGATTCCGTCCGTCCGATCCAGAACAGTCTCCTGATTTCCAGCCACAATCCTGTATATATCCAACAAAATCTGTGGCAATAAACAAACAGCATAAACCACCAAAAACCCTGTAATGTTTTTGTATGGTTGCAACAAATACCTCTTGCAGTAGTCTTTAAATTGTACCATTTCTTCTTTCCTTTTCTCTACTGAGTTTTCTGTCTCAATTTCTGAAGTATTAGCAACCTCCACTGCGATTTCACTTTTTGTACCAATTTCAGTTTCCATGCCATCTCTGTCGGATTTCAAATTGACACTCATATCAACCCCTGCCTGATCATTTTTCTTAATATCACTTAACACTGCCTGATTATTTTTCCCAATGTCACTAAACACTGCATCTGTTTCCAGTTTGTCAGTTCCCACAGCATCATTTTTATCAGTCTGTGTCTCAACGTTAACAAACAAGCTGTTGCTCTCTCTTACCTCCTCATCTTTCAATTTAGCCATTTTAACATTGTCATCAGGCATAAACTCAACCCAATTGATACCGTTTAGTGGTGTTTTAGGCACATCGATGGACTTTGATCGTGCATTGTCTTCAATACCACCTGCAATGTCCCTAGCTTGTTGCGTTTTAGGCATATCCACAGACTTTGATCTTGAATGCTCTTTGATATGACATTCAATGTCTGTAACAATTGTATCCATACTTGAGATGGAAACATTAAAGTCAGAACAGTGTACATCTACATTCACAGACAGATGTGGATCACTGTTTTCCCTTGCAATCTTATTTGGTTCACTGACCAGAGCAGTAGGTTCTTTGTCCACGTCTTCAACAATTATCTTTGGACTGTTGAAAACCTCTATCTTCTTTTTCTCAACCCCTATGGAATCCTTCTGTACAGCTGCAGTCTTTGATACATCAATCTCAGTGCCTTTTGTGCTTTCCATTCCTTTTTCTCTGAGAGTAAAAGTTTCTGGACATTGTGAAAAATCCAAACATTCAATGGACTGTCCTCCATTTATGCTTGACCTCCCTTTATAGCTTAAACTGGACCAATTGGTCCTAGACTTTCGGTCAGTATGACTAGAAGGGCCTTTTAAGCTCTTTGATTTCCTTAGGGGTAATTTTATATTCTTTTTCCTTATTTCTAGTTTTTTCAATTTTTTGTCATTGAAGCTTGTTTCTTCTTCAACTTCTTTGTCTTCATTACTATCATCAATAAGATGGGCACTAAGCTCACACTGTTTCTGTGATGCTAAAGCTTTGAACAGTAACTTGCTGGGGTCAGTCATGAAGAAGTTTTCAAGAGCTTCAAATACTTGATCCTCCATCATCTTGTGTGATTTCTGCTTCCTGCTCTTCCTTACAGCAACATAAGTTTGTGATCTTGGTTCCTGAATCTCTGAATCACTCTTGATTCTTCTTCTTGTGGCTTTAAAGTACAATAAAACTGATCAAATACAGGAAAGCATAATTGTAACAAAGCCAGGAATACAATGCTGTTATAAACACATGATTATACAACAGCTACAGCCAGAAATATCTCTGAATAATAGTATAAATACAGCAAAATACATAATTATCACAAGTAAGACAAACACAATTTAATCTTCTTTTCTGGAATTTGTTACAGTTGTATTTTCTTATTTATGCAACTAATACATGTATATTATTTTTGAGATAATTATTATCCCTAAAACAAAATAATATACATGTACAAGTTGCATAAACAAGACAATTCAATTATATCTTGTTACCATTTTGTTCAGAAACAGACTAGAACATTTGAAGATCCACTGTACTGTGATGACATGAGCAAACTAGGTATAGGTCTACTAAACAATGCTGCACAGAAAATATCCAACCCTTAGGCCTTGTGATTTCTGACAAGATATTTTAAGATTTTTTCTTATGTAAGTTTATGTAAAATCAAGTGATCTCCAAGGCGAAGCCAATATTGACATAAACAAACTTGGATGAGGTCTAATATAAAATGCTGCAACCCAAATATCTACATTGTATGCATTTTGGTTTCTGTAAAGAAGATTTCAAATTCATATAACTTCTAGAAAAGGGTCCCTCAGGGCCAGATCAATATTAATTTGAATAAACTTGTTAGAGGTCTTCTAGACAATGTTGCACACCAATTATCTATACTCTAGGCCAAATGGTTTATAAGAAGATTTTTTCCTTATATAAATCTATGTAAAATTATTTATCCTTTGGCCATGACTGAACACACTTGGTAGATGTCTACTGCACATCAAATATTTAGTCTCTAAACCTTATGGTTTCTGACATGAAAGAATTTAAAGTCCCTGAAAGAGATTCACACCACAGGGGTAAGGGACACATTGCTCATTGTCAGCCACATAAGCTCCTAACCACAGAAGATCCCTTTCTCCTTAACAAATCACAATTAAGAAAAAATATCAACTTACAATTAAAGCCCAAGTTTAGTCTTCTCTGTTCATGGCCATCTTGCTCTTCAGAAATGTAGCCAGAGTTCTCATGACACGATGAGTCTTTACTGGAACTGTCCTTCTCTGCTTTCCACCTTGAACTTCTCTTCAAAGAACCATTTTGTCTATAGAGTAGCCGTTGCTTCCCATTCTCGTTGGCCTGTGGCTCGAACCTTTTGTACCCCATGGCTTGTTCATCTGATTTGGCAATCAGCTCAGAGCTTGGTGTTTCTACAGAGACGGATGCCTGTAAACCTTCCTCTGTTTGCTCAATGTCGCCTATATTTGTATCTGCATCATTATCCATTACCCTCATGTACTCAGGTATAACCATAAGCTCTTTTTGTCTTGTTTTATATCTAATAACAAACATGGCAAGCAGTAGTGTTACAGACGTCGTAAAAATAATAACACCATGCTGAACTAAGTCTATCACCGCAGCTATATTTGCATGTCCTTCGTATGCATTTCCTTTCCAACATTTATTAAGGCTTCTAAAACTTACATGCTGACTTAAATGGGGCACATTGTTGATGAAGAAACACACAATCAACAAAATAAAACAGATGATGTGAATTCTCATTTTCTTCCTCGCAATTTCAACAAGGTGCTGGGTCGTGGAAGCAGTCAACCATGTAACATCGATAGCTAAACTGACCAAACAAATTCCAACGAATGACACCAGCGTGCTGTACAAAACATAAATATAGTAACACGTTTTACCGGACTTTGATTGGTTGTCGCTGTTGATAAAATTATCGAACAAATTCAACACGTTCAATATACATATCAACAGACAAGAGACGAGTAGCCAGGTGAAGTAGACAAGATGGTGGCTGAACATTTTAATCTTTTGATTGTTGATCTTGTGAATGGCTCGACCTAGGAGGGTCAGAGCTGGTAATACAAATGCCGCAGCTATGATAAACGATAAGGTAGCGAAGCCTTTTTTCACGTCAATTGACTGCTTGATAATCTCATTCTCTGAAATTTAAAACAAGTTTTGATGAGACAATTAATTCTTCTTTTTGAAAAAAATTAACATTTCTGAAAATGGCAGGTACTAAAAATCTGACCATTCATTATAAAAAAATAATCTTTTAACACAATACATGTATACACTCATGTACATGCAATAGTGCACATCATATGTCTTTTCAGATAATATAGAAATATTTGGTCTCTGCTTTAAAATAAATTGAAAATTGTATTTTTGTGCTACCCTTTGCCCGATTTGAGTAAAAAGACTTGCAAAACTTTTCAATTTTTGGTAATTTTTCACAGAATAATTAGGCGAGCAATTGATCTGAAATTGAGCACACAAATTATTAGTCTAGACCTACATAAAATGGAACATTTATGTCGAAATAATGTTTCCTGTTCCATCATGTAAAAAAACCTCAGTGGAGTCCCACAAAGTAATGAATGGACTCTTCAAACCCCTTCAAACAGGGCAAAACCATTACACAAAATTTTAATTCAGCAGGTTTATGGGTCTTAAAGAGTCAACCATATAGATTCCCTTATAAATGACATATACCAATACATAAAATTTAACATACTCTGGTAAAACAAGGAAATTATTATACCTTTCAGGTAACTTATTACCTGTACATGCAGAATGAGAATGAAATGAAAATAAAAATAGCAAAAAGACCCCCCCCCCCCCCAAAAAAAAAACCCCAAAAAAACTTACCGTTCTCGTAATAAATGTCAACAGCCTCTGTAGTAGTATCATCAACATAATATTGGAATCCACGTCCACGATTATCAAACCAATATCCATTATCTTCAATTGTATCATTTCCCGACATTATTGATCAAATATTTTAATAACCACAATCTTGGCTTTTAAAAGACGTTTTCTAAAAATAGCCTCAATGAATTTCGCCTCCAATCTCTTAATTAAAAGCATAACACACAATTATTTGAAAATTATAAAAATTTTACGATCAGCCTTTCAACAGAAAGTCTCTAGTGTATGGAATCAAAATACCTGGTTATCAGTTTTTATATATTATATCTAAGCTGCATTTATGGTAACATAATGTCTCTGACATACTCTGTACACCTCTTATAATTACCAATATAAATAAAAGGCCATAGAAATTGAGATGCAAGTTTTTCAGTCCTTATATTTGATAATACCTTGATATGTTTTTTTTTGTTCTTTTTTTTGTTTGTTTTTTGTTGTTTTTTTTGAGAGTACACAGATTCTGTTCATCTCCCAATTATGTCAAAGCTGCAAGATGTTGTCATGTAAATTAATTGACACGTAGATTAAAGATCCTCAAAAATTTTTTTTTTCATTTTACGCCATTTATTAAGCAACTAAATTTATTTGAACAAACTTAATAGAGGAAATCATAGATCACATCTTAGATAAGGTTTAATGAATGGTCCTTAAATCCTTTCATGACGTGATGTTGAAAGATACTGCAAAAATCATTATTATTTGTGAGGCACTAATTTTCATGGTTTTCTAGGCTAGGTCAACCCATCAAAAAATAAAAATAAACAGTTTTTCAGAAATAAAAATCATAGTATTTTTGAAGCATAGTGGGCCTTTCATGGAAATAAATAACTTTAATACATGTACACTTTCAATATCATTTACCACGAAGAAACCAAAAACAACAATTTCACTGGCCTTAATTAAGAGAGGCTTTTTTATTTCAACGCAACATGACAGACTTGTGCATGTTACCAGATATTTTGTCATACCAGGGGACAAAGGCTGGTCATCATATATCTCTGTTCCTCGTGATTAATCATAAGTCCATGCCACCAGATATTTCGCTTTTACAGTTAACAAAGGAATAGCCATTACAAACTGAAAATATCATATATCGACATCGGGGAAGACTTTACAGAAAGAATATCTGTTATTGACTGCTTATTTGGTTTCTATAGTAACTTGTTGTATCCAGAATAGTGTGAAATACGGATATAATATAATTACATATATAAACACAGCTTTATATGAGAGTAAATTATATTAAGGTGTATCTTTAAAATCATAAACTTCCTGGCACAAAAGTTTTATAATCAAAGTATTAAAAGCACTTTAATTGAAGGTCTGTTAATGGGGGCAAAAATATGATCAGAGCCTAGCACTGTATATTCTTAATTAAAGCTTTTTTCCCCCTTGAAATTTGTGGATAACAAGCATTCTAAAAGCTATTTAAAGTTTTTTTTCTTCAATAAAATTACAACATAATGTGGCATTAAATTGGCACTTGAGATACATAGAAAGAGCCTTCCTTATAATTAAATTTCAAACACAGATATTATAATTCTTTTTATTAAATAACTATACGTTATTAGCCCTTTAAAAAAGTACCTGCCACGTTCAATAACACAATGGCCCGCCTTATAACAGAGCTAATATCTATATCACTTTTTCGGCCCCGGGCCGAAAAGTGATATAGATATAAAGCCCCCATTTGAAGTTATTTGATTGGCTGATATAGCAGGGCCAAAAAATGATATAGATTTCTGCAAGAAACTGGGAAATGGCAGCCATTTTGTTTTAACTCGGTCTATGTGTAGATGCCGACAGGTTGCATAAATGAAACAAAATATTCTCATTTTCTAAACATTCACGTCATGATTTAGTAGTGTTTAACTGATTGTGATATAAATTTACAACATGTACATTTCACAAAAACACAAACAAACAGTAGACAGTCTGACATTTTGTTGTACATGTACAATTTAAGTTACAAAACGTAGCTTTTCCAAACAAACCTCGGCCTTGGGCCAATACAATTGCCCTCGGACAAATAACAGGGCCAATATCAAATCACTTATTTATTAACATATAGTATTGACTTTACGTGCAAGTACTGTTTGTACTTATTGGGTGATAACTATTTGTACTGTATTGACTTCATGGGTGGAAACTATCTGTACTGTATTGACTTCATGGGGGATAACTGTTTGTACTGCATTGTCTTCATGGGTGGAAACTATCTGTACTGTATTGACTTCATGGGGGATAACTGTTTGTACTGCATTGCCTTCATGGGTGGAAACTACATTGTATCTGTACTGTATTGACTTCATGGGGGATAACTGCTTGTACTGCATTGACTTCATGGGTGGAAACTATCTGTACTGTATTGACTTCATGGGGGATAACTGTTTGTACTGCATTGTCTTAATGGGTGGAAACTATCTGTACTGTATTGACTTCATGAGGGATAACTGCTTGTACTGCATTGTCTTAATGGGTGGAAACTATCTGTACTGTATTGACTTCATGGGGGATAACTGTTTGTACTGCATTGACATCACAACTGATAACTGTGTGTATTGACTTTATGGGTGATAACTGTTTGATCTGTACTGACTTCATTGGTGATAACTGTTTGTACTGTATTGATTTTATGGGTGATAACTGTTTGGACTATATTGATTTCATGGGTGATAACTGTTTGGACTATATTGACTCAGGTTATAAATGTTTGTATTGACTTCATAGGAAATAACTGTCTGTACTGTATTGACTTCATGGGTGATAACTGTTTGTACTGATTTAACTTCATTGATGATAACTGTTTATATTAACTTCATGGGTAATAACCTGTTTGTACTAACTTCATGTTTAAATCAATTGTATATAAATTATATAATTTATCAAATGTTTGTATCAATTTTAAAATAACACTTAATGCAAAATTAGAATCAACTCTGAAATACCGTCACTGGCTTAGTCATTCAAACTTTAAGCTTGTACAAACATTATAATCAGTAAATACATATTGTAAAATTTTACTTTTGAATCATTGAATTTACATTATATAACTCAATTTAAAAATGGTATCATGAGATAAATTGTTAAATAATTGCATGTCATTTACATATTAAACCTTTACAGAGTGTAAAAGATAATTAAATACTATACTATCTGGTTGGTGTGTTCTTACAACTGAGTTTGAGGTCCTTGTGGTAGAGTTTGACAAAAAATGTCAGAAAAATTAGGGCTCAACTCCATTTTACAATAATTCACTTACAAGCAAGGGAGGAAACAATTACTTCACAAATAAAACACTTTATTATACAGGAGAGTTATCCATCCTTATCTAGATAACAAATGGATAAATAATACTAAATATGATACAAATATGACACACTAAACACATGAAAACATTATACGAGGCCTAAAACCAGGCCTAAAACTTGTTAACATTTTCTCCCTGCTCTGTCTAAAATCTCAGTATTTCCATTAGACAGAGCATATTCTGATCCAATTTCAGACCAATTTAAGGCATGAATTCTGAGTTTGAGCTCAGAATATTTCTTTAAAAACTTTTTTCATTTTCCAGTCTGTTGATGATTCAATCACAAAATCTTGGCAATATGCCACAGGGCATTGTGAAAACTTGGTTGGAATCCTTTGAGATATGCAGAAGTTCTTTCAATTATTTAAGTGAAAAGCTATACCTGGTGATCATCATTTTTTAAACATTCAATCAAGATACTGTACCAATAAGCTTACTGGGGTCATTGACTAGCTTTGTTTCAATTTGTGTGTACGCTGATTTCAATGGATGGTAGGGGTGTCCTGGACAATACACCCCAAAGATATTTTTATTTGCTGTGCTTGTTGGAGGTGCATTTAATTATATAATTATTCAATGCAAGTTAATATTAAGAGGATTATTAAGAGCAACAGGTTGACAAATAAACATTTTGAGCTGGTGTTTTTTCCCCCTGCTTTTTACAAAAGTAAGTGTACGCAACAATGGACCCAAACTTTAGGAAGCTACACCATGACCTATAAGGAGGTTGGTCAATCTACAAAAATTGCCTGCTTGTGTACTGCAAGGACATGACAATCCGGCTAGTCTTTTCAATATGAGTGCACAACAGTGGCCATTTCTAGTTACAATGTAATATTATAATAAATAACAACACTACTACAAATTTTAAAAGTTCTACATTAATCATGTATACCAAATAGTCATACTTCATTTTAGTTTATTCAATTCATATGCTCAAAAACTAGTCTGTCGTAATTTGACTTGATACAATTCTATTCAATCTTCGCTATAGCAGATTCAGTTCTTCCGTATTATATATACATGTAGACTATTCTCTCTTCAAGGCAATTGGTTTACACAGAATTTGAGCTGCGTCACGACAAAACCAACATAGTGGGTTTGCGACCAGCATGGATCCAGACCAGCCTGCGCATCCGCGCAGTCTGATCAGGATCCATGCTGTTCGCTTACCAACCATATTACAAGTAGAGAACCTGATAGCGAACAGCATGGATCCTGATCAGACTGCGCGGATGCGCAGGCTGGTCTGGATCCATGCTGGTCGCAAACCCATTATGTTGGTTTTGTCCTGACGCGGCTCATTTATTAAACAGTAAGGAAAACGGGAGGAGGAGAATAATTCAATTTAGTTTATGTAGGAAGCTAAAAGCTTACAGACACTATCTCAAAAGGTTGTTGCTTTAATTTCTCATGTACACAAATTATCCTGTCTTCAGATGAGCTATATCGATAAATTTTTATAAAGTGGATAGCTTCTTAACATGAAAGAAATCAAAATACCCAGGAAAACTCGACTAACAGCAATGAGGGGCAAGTGGTTCAAAAACAGCAAATATATCCACTTGGCTACACATGAAAAACAAAAGAAAGAATGATTATATTTCAAGAAAATCTGTAACTTACCAAGAAAACAGAACTGTGTACCATGACATATTATGATATTTCTGCAGATGTCGAGTATACCGTGACCTAGTTTCCAACTGCTGTCGTCTATAGTCACGGCATTCTCGGCAAGGTAAGTTAGAAACTTCAGCGTGGGCTGCAAATAAAAAACATGTAAAAACTCAGTCTAACAGCCTTCACACTATACTCCTACCAAGCAGATTGGACAATCAAGTGCATTATTACACGATATATGCACAGCATAAAAAATTCTAACACGTTATGGTATATGTCATCATATATCTATTTCCTAAATGTATCCCCGAACCTCATTAATACTCTAACGCAATACTTGGGCAAAAACAAATAAGGGAAATAATTCAACATTATACAGATCTGATAATCTTTTTAGTGGTCACCTGCTTTAATAGATCTTAATTAGCATTATAGATCTTAGGCCGCACATCTTCAAAAATATATACCAGAAGTTTTGCCTAAAGTTTACACTGGTTTCACATTTTTTGTCCACCTTTGTTGGTCATATTTTGAAGGTTATATCTTGGCAGTCAGTCAACCTATGCAGCTTTTCTGTATAATTAACTTATAATCACCAATTTTCATGTGATTTTATTATTGTGACCAACAACTAATCCCACATGATTTCGTGACTCCGAAGTTAGAGACAAGTGACTTTGTGTGGAAGACAGAATAATACATCATTTAAGTTTTGCTACATTAATGACAAATCATTTCACATTCAACCATGCTTTTCTAGTGTGATAAACCTCTTATATGCTCTACATCCATTACAAGAACATTATAAAACACAGGTGCCTTTTCTTAGGAGGAAAAATGAAAAACAGACTTGTGCCCCCTTGGACTTATAACTCCAAGACATTTGTCTCTAATTTTGTCAAAGCTGATATATGGCTCTTTGTCTGTTTAAGAAGTGCTAAAATTGGCTCTTTAAAATTTTGAAGGGAATATATTTGTCCCTGTATGTCACATTTGCTGTATAAATAATGGATTTCATGCAGAAACAAAGCACAAGTTGGTGGGTGGGGGACACACCTCATGTTTAAGAAGGGCTGATATTGGCTCCTTAAAATTTTGAAGAGATGATATTTGCCCCTGTATGTTACATTTGCTGTATAAATAATGGATTTCAAGGAAAACCAAAGCACAAGTTTGGTGGGGGGGGAAACACAAACTTACCTTTGGATCTATTTCTTTATGCGCACCAGCCTTCTTCATTATCTCTAGATAAAAGTGGAAGCTACGGCATATCTGTTCTTCTGTTGCCATGACAACTTGCTGGTGTAATAAAATCAATGTATCCACGTACACCTGCCTGTACAAAAAGTATACAAATTTGCTTTAGATGGTAAGAAAATTATTACATAAACTGAATCATTGTGACTCAATAATTTTTCATAAGGTTAAACTGTCTATTTCCAAACTTTTCATTTCCCTGTATATTGCCTTACTTTTAAATAAACTTAACTACCTGTTTTTATATACATGTAGGATTAACAACCTACATTCTTTGGCCTTTCAAATTAATTTTATGTTAGACACAGACAAAAAGCAAAATCGTGAAATATCTGAAAGTTCAAGAAATCTAAAACTCATTTATTGCATTTTAAACTCTAATATTGTTTTAAATCTATTCCTGGCAAAATACGTATTAAAATTATAATTCTTGGATATTTGACTGTTTTTTAAGTTTTTCTTGTTTTTCTTTAAAGAGACATTATGCTTATTTTTTCACTGTCAAGTTGAGCTGAATTAGAAATATATTTCAAAAGACTTCTATAATGGTTTTTGACCAATAAATAATTGATGATGAAAAATGTTCATGACAAAATTCAAAAGCTCCTTAATTCTGAAAAAGACTGCCCCACTCTTGATAACGTCACATTCTGAGTGATAGTTTCCAATTTTCTATGGGTGGTGTGGATTATTGAGCATTTTACCATAGTAATATATATGAGCCACGTCATGACAAAACCAACATAATGCGTTTGCGACCAGCCTGGATCAAGACCAGCCTGTGCATCTGCGCAGTCTGATCAGGATCCATGCTGTTCGCTTACCAACCCTATTACAAGTAGAGAAACTGATAGCGGACAGCATGGATCCTGATCAGACTGCTCGGATGCGCAGGCTGGTCTGGATCCATGCTGGTCGCAAACCCATTATGTTTGTTTTGTTGTGACGCGGCTCAAATAATTTGAATCAAATTTGACTTTGGACCCAAAAATAGGTGCGGCTGGCAGAGTTCAAACCTATTAACTTAAGTTATTGACCATAATAAGAAAACTAAATAAAAAAGGTTATCAAAAGTCACTGTGACCTTGACCTTTAACCTTTTGACCATATGATGGGTAGGACTCCATGGTCAATACACTTAGTTTTAATGGTAGTTTTATGATTATAACAGGTCCTAGTATGCTGACTCTGACGCAGACACTCACAGGGAGCCGGCACAGTGTTTGGAGAGCATGAGAATACACTAGAAAAAATATCTCACCATCAAATATTATAATTATAGTCTATTAGAAATTGTAAAGAAAAAAAAGTTTTTTTGCTAGTGTGTCCAGATGCTCAAATAAGCATTTCATATGCTATCCAAACACTGTAATGGCTCCTTATGCAGACACTCAGGTAAGTAGAATGGTCCCATTTTTCTTTCAATAGTCGATCTTAAAATCTTACCTATCAACATCAAGTGTTCTAATACTGTCCGCAAAGTCTATGGAGTGTGGAATAAAATGTGCAAACTCCGATATCAATCCTCGTACAAATCTGGAACAATAATTTCATCAACTATAAACTTGTAACTAAAATTAGAATATGCTAAAATAAGAGCCGGTCGAAACTGGTGATTTTCCCTGAATAGGTTTTGGACTCAGACGGCTGGACAGACAAAGCGGCGACAATATGCTATCACTTAGGTGAGCATAAAAATCTTTCATACATAAATTATAACGGCTGTAGCAAGGGTCTTGAATGTCAAGGTCAAGGTCAAGATGTCGTGATTTAAGGTTTAAAATCGAGTCAAACTTATCATTACTGGTGAAATACATGTACTAAATTAAAATCTTATCAAGGATATATTTGTTTGATATTAATTTTAATTCAAGAAGAGTAATTAATATTGAAACATATTAATTTTAATTCAAGAAGAGTAATTAATATTGAAACAAATATTTTTTCTGGTACAGATTTGTGTGTTACAAAATACACCCATTTATCTTAATTAATAAAATGATAATCTGAAAAAAGTAATTAGAAGACATTAAGCTCCCTTCATCTTTGGTTACAAATGTCATGTAGGTACAACCATGTATTCAAAACTAGATCAGCTATAACATGTGGACTTAAATTGTATCTGTATTCCTGTGTTATACAAACATTAAATTAATGCATTTTATCTTCTCTGTCAAATCACAGTCATGTTTAAATCATGCAGCCACAAATGTTTCAATCACAGTCACATTCATGTTTCATTCACACAATCACATTCAGGGTTTAATCACACAGTCATATTCATGTACCAATCACACAACCACAAATGTGGTGCATTCACACAATCACATTCAGGGTTTAATCACACAGTCATATTCATGTAGCAATCACACAACCACAAATGTGGTGCATTCACACAATCATGTTCAGGTTTTAATTACACAATCACATTTTATGTTTCAATCACCCAATCACATTCATGTTTCAACTGCACAATCACATTCATGATAAAAACATGGACTGTACCATAAACTGTATATTTAAAGAATAACAAAACTAACATATTTATTTTTTGTACGAGATATAACATAAACTTTAAGAAAAGCATAATATTATACCTTTGAATATCTTGGGAGAAGGAATTATTATTATGGTATGTATATATAAAGTATAGAGCTTTAAACAGAGATCTAGCGGCCAGACCACTCCCTGTATGCCACACCATCTTGTGCAAACATCCTAGACTACCTAGTAAAATAGAGGTTTCCACACCTGAAATAATATAATAGTATACCATACTTTGTGATGTTTTTGATGTGGTTAAATTTTTCGCCAACTTTCGCCACCCTTACAAAATGGCAAACATATGAATATCAGGGACAGCAAAATCAATTGTCCATATCATACAGGCTGTTAGACATTCTGTGCTATTTAAGAGAAGTAGGGGGCCATGTAACTGTTAACAGAACAGAAGAGAACAATAGAGTAAATTCAGTAACAATAGAATTAGGGGCCATGGCCCTCTACAGTGTTCGAAATTAGCAGTAGTCCGATAGCCCCTGACCACTAAATTTCTCCTCAGGCTACCAACTTTTCACAGTAACAAGCCCGACCAGGCTACTGTAATTTCATAGGCATTATTTATTTATTAACAGAGCAACAGATAAGGTGTGTATTTGCGTATTTATGCAATTAATTTTAGAAAATACGCAATTGATTTTTTAAGAATGCGTATCAAAACCCATTAAAAAAAATAAAATACGCGATTGTCTTAAAAACCCGTGCGTATTGTCATTTTCATCATCGCAAAATTTATCTGTCGTACGCTCGTTGTTTTGGACAAATTATATCGATATGCATGCTATCAATGCTAACTAATCAACGGTCTCCGGTCTTTGACGGTCCCCGGTCTCCAATGACCCACTAAGCCATGTCAATAAAGCATGAGACCGTCAATGTGTCTACTCAGGTCGACCGTCTTTAAAGACCGGCAGAGACCGTTGATTTTGCGGAGACCGTCATTAAGTAGGTACCAGCTGTATCAATAGATGCTTTGAAAGCAATATGGCGTCGTGCAAAAGGGAAAATGATTTGAAACAAAACAGTCGTAATTAATCAAAAATCAGTCAGAAAACGAATTTGTTAAAAGTATTATGAAATATAACATGAGCATTTTATATAACAAGAGCTGTCCGTAAGACAGCGCGCTCGACTTTTTTATTGCTTGCCAATAAAAAAAGTTTTTGCAGTAAAAGGCAATACAAGAATCTCTGTATTTTTAAAGTGAACAATGGCCATGAGCATTAAGATATTTAGTGAAGAATTATTTTACTGAATTGTGTGATACCCTTGAACACTGCAGCAAAGTTTTTTAGTGCTTGCCTATAATACAAAACATTGACAGTTAAGGGCCATAATTCAAATAAAATCTTTGACAGAATTACCTTCTCCTGGACATGTTTGGGAATCATGATTGTAAACAAGTATTCCAACTTTCAAATTAATATCTCAAACAGTTCAGTCAAAAAGTGGACTGGTACTAAAAACTTAACCAAGATTCTAAGTCGATAAAAGGCCTTAATTTTTAAAACAAATCCTTGACAGAGTTACCTTCTCTTGCGTACAGATGGGGGTAATGATGTGAAATAGCATTAAAAGTTTCAAAGCAATATCTCAAAGGGTTAAGGCAATAAGTGGATTTTACCCATATTCAATGTATTTTCTAAGTCAAAAAGGGGCATAATTCTGTCAAAAACCTTGACAGAGTTATGTCCTCTTGTCTGTTGATGAAGGTCGTGATGGTAAACAAGTATGGTCAGTTTCAAAGCAATACCTCCAATGGTTTTGAAATAAAGTGAGGTGGTACAAAAAACTTAACCAAGCTCAATACACTTTCTAAGTCAAAAAAGGGCCATAATTCTGTCAAAAACCTTGACAGAGTTATGTACTCTTGTCTGTAGATGGAGGTTATGATGGTGAACAAGTATGGTAAGTTTCAAAGCCATACTTGTAATACTTCTGAAATAAAGTGGGGTGGTACGAAAAACTTAACCAAGGTGTGACGCCAACGCCGACGCCGACGCCGACGCCGACGCGAGTAGGATAGCTCCCCTTTTCATAGAAAAGTCGAGCTAAAAATAAAACAATTGTGCAAAGTTCTAATAAATTGTTAATCCTATTTTTTTTAAACCGTTTAAATTTTATTGATATTGAAACCATAAAATTCATATCTTCATAATTAATACCCAATTGATCTTGAAATCATAGGGTATCGAGTTTTGGAATACCCAATTAAATGGAGCCAATACCCAATTCCAAAGGAAATGATGGAGTAATACCCAATTCACTTTTAAAGCTTATCTGTTGCTCTGCGGCAATATAAATGAATAAATGAATCGTGCTAGTGAAAGTCTTTTGGGCTAGTAATTATTCCAATCTGGTAGTCCGACCAGCCTAGTTGATTCAAATCCTAATTTCTTACACTGCCTCTATTAAACAAAAGAAAATACCAAACGAAATGGCCCCTTATTCCATTTAATTGGCACGTCGGGGCATCAAAATGGTGTCCTGGCAGACTTTTTTTACCTTAATAATAAATGAATTTTTGCTTGATTTGTGATAAAATATTAATTTTCTCTATCAGAAGAAAGCAAAAATGATAGCAACCACAGTATTAAAATGTTTTATTTTAGTCACAAATGTCCATTATCACCCAGGTTGTCTGACAGCCTGTATGGACAAGAGGAAATTTTCAAGAATTTATGTTGAATCAGATTTTGCCGGCCCTGAATTTATGACCTAAATTACATACTGTGACATGTATAACTATATCCAATATTGAACATCGTAAAAATGTTAATATTCCAATAACTATGTCCAAACATGATCACCTAATTAACGCCATCTAGTGTTAACAATACCTATGTATCTATACAATGACTACAAATATGCGTTTATGAAACGGTAAAGGTGTTATCCTTATTATTGTTGCACTTGATTTTGTCACACCAAATTGCTGGAAAATATAATTATAACACTTATGTTTGTGTCCCAGTTTCTTTCGACAAATGATGTTTTTGTAACACATCCATATATTGTTTTTCACAGTGTTTAGTGATATATTAAGGCTTGAGCTTTAATATACGAGAATGGAAATGACTGTATAATTAACTGTCTGGCGATACATTTTATATTGAGGGAAAGTATAATATAATTGTATTCCAATTATACAAATTTAATTGAGTCACATATCATCACCTTAGTGCAGTAACTGGATAAAACTTTATATAATTTTATAGGAGTTAACCTATTATTGCACTAAAATATTGTTTTGTTCTATAACCAACATCTTTTCCTCAGGACATGAAGACTCTTAAAAAATTACTCTTTAAACTTGTGTTATTTTTTGTTTTTTTTTATTAAATTACTGTTCCCATTTTTTGCCACTGCTGTAGAATTAAAATTACACAAAAGAAAAACAAGATTGCATTTGAGAAAAATGCTATGCCACCGCAATTATACAACACTAAATAGTAGTGTTGGGAACAGATTTTTTTTGTTTCTATACAATTTTGAAGATTGTCATAATACATAGATCCCTAACCTATCTAATTCTTATTATCAGATTAGTGGTTAAATCTGTTGTTAACTCAATAAAATATCAGAGTAGGAATATATCAATTCACTAGAGTCTAGTGAATTTGGTGGTGAAGGTCATATTTCACACAGCCTAAATTTCATGACTACATCAAAGGACAACACAGTAAGACACTTTGTCAAAATCTAGGCCAGCTGAAATCAAAGTTCACTTTACATCTTAATCTGTGCACATGGTTCAAATTTCATAGCTGTACATCAAAGGACAAGAAAGTAGGTCACATCATCCAAATCTAGGTCACCTGATATCAAAATTCAATTTTACAACTAAAACTGTGCACATGGTAAAAATTTCACTGCTGTACATCAAAGGACAAGAAAGTAGGTCACTGTCTCCTTGGGCAAGGAAACATTTTGGACCCAAGGGTTTAATTCAAAACAATCTTGATACAGGTCCACCAAACAACATTTCAAGTCAAATACATATATATATGTATCTAAGCTGTAGCTTTCTCCCATTCAGAAAACATTGTTTTAATTTCTGTTTTTACTATGTGTACATAATGAGAATCACTGCACCCGGGCAGGGCCAATTTTGACACCAGGGGAAAAATTTGAAAAATTTGAACATCTTTGGTAAAGGACCTATAGATGATATTATATAGCAAACATCAAAGCTCTATGCCTTGTACCTTCAGACAAAAATATTTTTTATTTTTTTACTATATGAACATAATGAAAATCAATGACCCCCAGGGCGGAACCAATTTTGACCCCAGGGCTATAATTTGAACAATCTTGGTAAAGGTTCACTTTGCAAAGTCTCATGCCATATATTTAACCTCTAGCCTTTGTCAATTCAGAGAAGAAGATTTTTCAATTCAGGGAAGAAGATTTTTCAAGTTTTTACTTTATACATATAAGGAAAACTATCGCCTCTGGGGCAGGGCAATTTTAACACTAGGGGCATAATTAAAACAACTTTAGTAGAGGTCCCATAGATGATATAATATACCAAATATCAAAGCTCTAAGCCTTGTTCCTTAAGACAAGAAGATTTTTTATTTTTTTACTATATGTACATAGTGAAAATCAATGACCCCTGGGGGTGGGGCCAATTTTGACCCCAGGGCTATAATTTGTACAATCTTGCTAGAGATTCACTACATAATGTTTCATGCAAAATATCTTAACTCTTGCCTTTTTAAGTTTTTACTATATACATATAAGGAAAACCTATGCCCCCGGGGCGGGGCTAATTTTGACACTAGAGGCAAAATTTGAAAAACTTTGGTAGAGTACCTATAGATGATATCATTTAACAAATATTAAAGCTCTAAGCAGACAATAACATTTTTTGATTTTTTACTATATTTATATATTGAAAATGATGACCCCCAGGGCTGGGGCAATTTTGATCTCAGGGCTATAATTTGAACAATCTTGCTAGAAGTTCACTTCACAATAATTCATGCAAAATATCTAACCTCTAGCATTTGTCAATTGCTAGAAATTTTTTTTTAAAGTTTTTACTATAAGTTTTTACTATATACATATAAGGAAAACCAATGACCCCCGGGGCTGGGCCGATTTTGACCCAAGGGCTATAATTTGAACAATCTTGGTAGAGGTCTACCAGACAATGCCATATGCAAAATATCTAAGCTCTAGGCATTTTGGGTCTTTACAATAAGGTATTTTAAGTTTTTACTATATGAACATATAGTGAAAATCAATGACCCCCGGGGCGGGACCGATTTTGACCCAAGGGCTGTAATTTGAACAATCTTGGTAGAGGTCTACCAGGACAATGCCTTATGCAAAATATCTAAACTCTAGGCCTTTTGGGTCTTTACAAGAAGGTATTTTAAGTTTTTACTATATGTACATATAGTGAAAATCAATGACCCCCGGGGCGGGCCGATTTTGACCCCAGGGCTATAATTTGAACAATCTTGGTAAGGGTCTACCAGACAATGCCTTATGCAAAATATCTAAGCTCTAGGCCTTCTTGGTCTTTTATATAAATAAAAGAAGGTATCTTAAGTTTTTAGTATATGTACATATAGTGAAAATCAATGACCCCCGGGGCGGAGCCGATTTTGACCCCAGGGCTATAATTTGAACAATCTTGGCAGAGGTCTACCAGACAATGCCTTATGCAAAATATCTAAGCTCTAGGCCTTTGGGGTCTTTACAAGAAGATTTTTTTAAATTTATTCTTATAATTCCTTTTGGTTGCCATGGCAACCATATTTCTGCATGGAATGAAATTTTTTGAACAACTTTGGAAGCCCTTCACCCAAGGATCAATCCTGCCAAGTTTGGTTGAAATTGGACTAGTGGTTTTTCACAAGAAGATTTTTTAAGTTCACTATATAATCTATATAACACACACACACACACACAAACAAACACACACACAGGTGAATCGCTATATGCCACCGCATCGCAGATGCTGCGGTGGCATAAAAAATTGCTACCATTTCGACTAAAACAGCAAAAATATGTTGACACTAAAAAAGTGAAAAACTTAGGTATAACAAAAGCTGTCCGAAAAGCAGCAGACTTGGGTGTTTCTTGTAAATTTACAATTACGTTTCCTCAGTAACAGAGATAAAATTGATGACAAAATATATCAAAGTTAATACTTTTTCACAGATTAATCAAATTAATCCAAATTCAATTAACCCATATGAATTTGGCCTAATTCCAGTGATCTAATTTCTTTACTGAGAATACCCAATGTCATTAGCAGGCAATGGGCAAAATAAGAATAAGTTTGCTTGTAGAAAATATTAAGTTTGCTTGCACTCATTAGGCTATAGGAAATATTAATACTAATTTGTTGTAAATTGTAAATATTAGCCTCATTTAATACAATTTAAACACTTTAATAAATATTGATACATAAGAGGTCAAGAAGAAAAACTTGATTGTAATATTACTCCTATTATGTTTTGGAACAACATAGTGGTTAATCTGTAAACATATCAAGGACTAAAACCTAAATATCATTCCGATGAAGTTTGTTCAAAATCTACTGAGAAATGTTGTTAAAGGGACTCCACTGATGTATTTTGACATGACAGGACTAGAAATAATATTTCCAGATTAATGTTCCATTTGATATATATATATATATAATATATATATATATATATATATATATATATATATATATATATATATATATATATATATATATATATAAAATATTATATTAAGCAAAAACGCTAATTTAAATTTGCCGTAGCTTTCCACCTTGCGGCCTTCTTCAGCAGCATTTATTTTACATACAAAATATATCAAAACAAAACAATGGAAGTGACGTAACATCAATGAATGACGCCCCCCGTGGTATTGTTTGTCATCTGCCGCGTTATTCTTTGGTATTAACTCCATATGGTCCATAGGTTCTTAATTTATTAATAAAAAAAAAAATATTACTTTATTGAAAAATTTCAAATCATTTGCTTACTATGTTTTCCCAGAACAATTTTTCAATTGCTAAAAAAAGACCCAAAACTGAAAAGCGTTGCAACTCTTTTAACTCAAATCAGGCAAAGAATAACACTAAAATATGATTTTCAATTAATTTCAGAATATATTTCTTCATTATCTTTTGAATGTATTTCTGTTTTAAGTGCACAAGATGATTAATTTAAGAAATTCAAATTTTATGGTTTTTAAGGCTTTTGGACCTCAGTGGAGTTTCTTTAATTAAAAGAAGATTGCGCTTTATTGATTACTTATGTGTGCAGAAAAGTTGATGCTTCTTTGATGAAAATTTTGGTTTTATTAGTATCTTAAATATAAGTAATTTTCTCTGTATTAAATACGCTTCAATTTACTAGAATCCCTTCAATATAATATGAGCCACGTCATGACAAAACCAACATAATGGGTTTGCGACCAGCATGGATCCAGACCAACCTGTGCATCTGCGCAGTCTGATCAGGATCCATGCTGTTAGCTTACAAAGTCTTTATATATAACAAGTAGTGAAACTGATAGCAAACAGCATGGATCCTGATCAGACTGCGCAGATTTTTTTTTCCTTTCTTTTAATTAAATATTCCAAATATGAATATTCTAGCATTAAATGCATGAGGAAAATGCATGCTAGGTATGCAATTTTTTTTTTCTTTGAATGAAATATTCCAAATATATTTTAATGTTGGAATATGCATCAGTACATGTAATGATAACAAAATATTCACAAAATACTGAAATATTCCTAGACAAAAGAACACCATTTATTAATTGTGGGTGTCACATGACATTTGTTTTACAGTAACTATGCCTTACTTCTAATAGTATGTTTCCAGGCAGATATTTTCTGATTCTAATGGTACATATTTTTCGCTGTAACTCCTGACTTTTTCTAATAAGCTTGCAGAAATTTTAACACAAATTTTCATTAAAATATTGCTATGAAAGTTTCTGCAAACAAAACAGGAAAAGTAAAAGAGCTACAATGTAAAGTTATAACTTATATACTATTGGAATCAGAAAATATTTCCCTGGAACATGGTGTATGTTTATAAGTCAAATATAGAAAGATAAATCAAATTAACAAACTACATAAGTGGTGACCCCATGTTACCGTAAACAAATGTCATATGATCACTCACCCTGTTATTGCAATATTATTATTATTTCTTTTTTTTGTGGAGTTGGGCTTATCGTCGCACTAACGCAGTATAGGTCACATGGCAATTTTTCAGCTTTACTGGTGGAGGAAGACCTCAGGTGCCCCCCTTGACATTATTTCAGGCACAAACAGGCACCCAAGTAGAACCACCAACATTCTGTAAGCTAGCTGGAAAGCTTTCTCACATGTAAAATCCGATGCTTGCAAGTCTTGAGTCTACAAGAAGAGAGAAGCAAGAGATATAGAGTCAACAACCTTAACCATTTGACCACAGATGCACCAAATATTATTATTCATCTTTGCAAAACCACACAACTGAATTAACAAAATATAATGAGGTTACCGTCTAGGTCCTGTCTAGTGTCCGCACATACTGCAGTCATATATAACTTTCTCAGCTGACAGTCAATAGTATCAAACACTGTCGGGTAGAAGATCAATCGATGTTTCTGCCGAATACTGGGATGTATCGTTACCGTCTTGCCTCCATGCTGTAAAACAATCATGATTATTATACCTCACGTAAACATTAAATTTTACTATACTGCTTCATGTGACATTACATGATAATATATACTGTGTCGATGTGACGTAAAACCCCAAACAAACAAACATGATAATATTTCGATCTATCATTCTGGAAACGAATATCATCCAGTCATTAATTTTAAACAGTATTCTCCAGGGGCAAGTTATTTCATATAGACTTAAGAAAACATAATGCTCCCTGGCCGCTCTGCTCACGTAAACCTTTTGCTATATTAAAATGTTTTACTGGTTGTGTAACCAGTAAAACATTTTAATATAGCAAAAGGTCAATAAGGTGATAAAAGATTAATCGTTCACTTACCACGTTATACATTTGGGCCCACTGCGAGGCTAAGAGACGATGAAGCAGGTTCAGGGATGGATGATCGGTCATATAACATAATCTTGTGATGAGACCATTTTCCTCTTGCTCGCTCAAAATCTTGCCCTCAAACTTGCGCTGTAAATAAAATGATATCATCTCTTGTTCTCATGTGTATTGCTTGTTTGTTGTTATTTTAAAGGTCAACACAATCATATGAAATTGAAATATAGGGCATAACTGTGTCTTAGTATTTCTCAAAGATAAAATAATACAATAAAATATTTTAATTTCAGTTCTATCAATTCTATCATTTAAAATCTTACAAATCATTATATATCTGGTGACACACTACTTATAAGACAAGTATTGGTTTGTAAATTAAAAATGCACTTTTTTATTGTTTTTTTAATATACTCCCCTCTCTTAAACTTTTTCCTTATTTTTTAACAAATGTAAAAATTTTAAAAAAAAAAAACCAGGGTTTTAAAAAGGATCTCTAAATTTTAACAAAAAATGTTAAATATTTTTTTACCCTTGTTTTTTAAAAATGTTTTCATACTTTATGCCAAGCTTGGGTTTGACCACACCACGATATTGTAATAGAAGCCTTTTTCCCGAAAAAACCCAAACATATTTGCTTTTGGCGACCAGCAGGGACCAGCCCAGCCTCCCGCATCCGCGATTTGATCAGGATCTTTGCTGTTGGGCTATGGGTTTCTCTTTGTTAAAAAGAGTTTGTAAGCAAACAGCATGGACCCCTGTTTTAAAGACTGTGCAGTGCGCAGGCCCTTGGGTCTGGATCCATTGCTGGTCGCAAACCCATTATGTTGGTTTTGTCATGACACGGCTCATATATATTGCAGGTTATAGCTCTTCACCTTTAAAGATTTGCATTAAATGTTATTAAAACATTTGCAAAGTTTTCGTTTTTATCTGAGGCAACAGATTTTAACAGTATTTTTAATAAATGATATGGATTGCCAATCTAAATAATTAAGACCCTACATTTGCCCATTAAAGATGGTTCAAAGAATGTATACTTGAGCCAAAAGGTGCAGGTCACGTTGAAAACAATTGTTTATATACTACAGATTTATAAAACAGCACAATTCTTTTATTTCAGGTAAAATGAAAATTATTGCATACTTTTACACTAGTCATGTATATAAACTCCATTTAAATCACTACAGTGTTTAAGCAGTACCTCTAGACATTTGCAGAAATCATGATCACAAAATAGAAAAATATTGCTTTTTACACAGATTTTTACAATTTTTCATTCATTATAGTTTTTTAAATCGGTGTGAACAGATGAGTTAGGCATCTTAAAGTGCATTTCGGTTGGTGCGAAGGCAAGATTTTAGATTTTAACATTTGAGCCCTGTCATGACAAAACCAACATAGTGATCATTCGCGCAGTCTGATCAGGATCCATGCTGTTCGCTTACAAACCCTATAACAAGTAGAGAAACTGATAGCGAACAGCATGGATCCTGATCAGACTGCGCGGATGCGCAGGCTGGTCTGGATCCATGCTGGTCGCAAACCCATTATGTTGGTTTTGTCGTGACGCAGGTCATTTAGTGTGGTCTCCAAAACTTTTTTTGTCTCACTCATATAAATTATACGAGGGTGTCCCAGAATATCGTGGACTTTTGCTATAACTTTTTTATATTTTAATGCATTTTTTAGCAAATTTGTACACAATACCTTTAACATATCCTTAATGAATATGTCCATTATTTTTAAATTTCTAACATTGCTTCTCTATATTTTACGCTGCTATAGTAACGCAGTATGCACGGGCGGGGCTGTCCAATATTTTGTATTAATAAGTTGTCTTTACTTTCGTATATCTTGCGTATTTATACGTAAAAAATGGCACGACGTCGTAAGCATATGCAGTGATGTCATATGAACGTTCGTTTGAAATTTTGACGTCATAGCTGTTTCCGTTATTGTTTACCAGCGGACAACTGACAACCGTTGCTCTTGGATATTTAACAAAAAATGGCGTCCACGGATTACGCGGAACATCGTACTATCATCAAGTTTTGTGTTAATCTTGGGAAGACGCCAACACAGAAGCAGGAAATGTTGGAGACTGAAAAAGTGAGACCTCCTGTTTGTCGATCACGTCGGAATGGACTGCCCCGCACCCGCTACCCCTTGTCTCATTACCCTGCCCACAGACACTGATCCAGTTGCCGGACAACTTTGAAATTTTTTGTACTAATGCAATAAAGTTGCATTTTGTTCATGTTAATTTTGTTTGTTTTTTTTTTCAGTAGTTTTTGAGTTACAGCAAAAGTCCAAGTAATTCTGGGACACCCCTCGTATGTCATGATTACTCAATGAAAAATGACGTTACAAAAATGCAGTATTATAATAATAATTTGTGACATACTTGTAGATGAAGGACAGTATGGAAGATCACACAACTCATGGTAGACATCTGATGTAGCATGGGGGGCTTAAATATCTGAAACAAATAAAACCACTTTCTTAGCCATATTATGAACTTCATGAATTTTGTGAACTTTTTTCTGTGATAAACCAACACAGCATAACATTAAGATAAGTTTACTGTATAAAACTGATGTTTTGATTCTTCAGTGATTTCTTTTTTCAATTTTCAAAACAACCTGTGGCTTTCTAAAGAGGAAAATATAGCACAATAAATCAGGAAATGGGGTAAAACCTGAAAAAAATTCCAACAGGTGAGAATCGAATGCATTTTATGAAACTTTATATTTCAATTCAATTTAACATGTAGGGTACATAGCAGAAGATATCTATAGGGACAGCAGACAATTAAATTTACATGCATCAGCTAGCTGATATAAGTCAGCTGTTGTTAAGTCATGGTTCTTGTGAAGAATGTGCACAGGGCATTTCAGTGTAAAATATACCTATTCTTGGCTACGGGAAACAGCTTTTGTTCGGCTTTATTAAATAACTATATGTTATTAGTCCTATAAAAAAGCACCTGCCACGTTTAATAACACAATGACCTGCCTTAAAACAGTGCCAATATCTATATAACTTTTCGGCCCGAGCCAACAGTGATATAGATATAAAGCCTGCATTTGAAGTAATTTGATTAGTTAGTAAAGCAGGGCCAAAAAATGATATAGATTTCTGCAAGAAACTGGGAAATGGCAGCCATTTTGTTTATACTCGGTCTATGTGTAGAAGCCAGCAGGTTGCATAAATTAAACAATATATTCTCAGTTACATTTAAAATTAAAAGTTAGAATAAAAATAAGAAGAAGTATCCCAGGATTAAATATGAAATATTATAAGTACATGTAGTTATTTAATAAAATTGTCAACAAATAAGTGATTTGATATTGGCCCTGTTATTTGTCCTCGGGTCAGTCATATTGGCCAATACGACTGCCTACGGACAAATAACAGGGCCAATATCAAATCACTTATTTATTTACTTATATTAAAATATAGGGATAAAAATCCCTGCTCTTACAAGTTGTCTCCAAGGTTTACCAATATTTGTTACTGGTGACAAATAACAGCCATAAAGAAATAAAATTATTTAATCCTGAGAGGTCCTTATTTTGTTTAATTCATCATTTTCATTGATTACTTTGTTTAAAATATTATTCTATTTCTGTAGAGTCAATCACAGAGCAATAATATCTTGTAGTAGCTAAAATTCTTCAATAAGTGATACTTTTTCATGAAACTTGGACCTTACCATTGGTGAAACTTCTGGTTTACATTTTACAAGTGAACTTAGGTATTCTATAATTCTGAAGGTGCCGGAGCGTGTATAGACTGGAATGTTCTCTACCAGGTACGCAACAATCTGGCGGATATCTTGTGGCTCGTATGACATCTGTTTCTGAACATTCCTCTGTAATGAAACATAATGTAATGCTATAATCTAATCTGCAGATGTATATAGAGTTTCATACAATATTTAAGAATAATTTTGTATTTTCTTTTGATTCAGGAGTAACAAAACACTAATTTAGTTACATGCATGTTGTGGCTTTCTAGCTATAATTTGTAGAAAACATGCCCTAGACGCCACTTCATATATTACATGCCTTTTTTCCCCTATCCCACGGGTCAGAATATGGGCCCATTCCCCCATCCAAATTATGGGTTTTTTTCCCAATCCAAAAAAAATATTCCCAATCTAGAAGTCAGCAATTTGAAAGAAAAAGTACCGCATTTTCAATTTTGGTGTCGCGAAATAGCGTTACGGAATATTTTCATGTTTTGTTAATAAAAACAGGATTTTTAATTGATATCAGTTTTACATTTGTACACATTTAAGCCTGTCCTTGTATTTTGGATATGACAGAAAATTTGAACAGTTTAAGTAAGATTTATTTAGATTTATTTTAACAATTGTAAAACCTTGAATGCTAGCATATTTTCCCGCATATTTTCCCAATTTAGCAAATTTCACGATAACCTTCTTTCCCAAATTGGAAAATTTTACGACACAAATTTCCCAAATTGGTCATGTGGCGTTTTCACAAAATAAAGGAAAAAAGGCCTGCATTATGTCAGACAACAGTTCACACTTGTGTGAATCCAGCAACTTTCTGTAACTTAACTGTACAGCTTCCCTAAAAGAAAGAGAATCAATGACCTTCGAAAAACTCACTCACATAGAAAAATGGAGTCAACAGGGACAGACAAATTGTAAAAAATTACTGCACAGCAATTCGGACATAACCTCTACCAATATGGAGCCAAAATGACACCACTGCATTAACCAGGCTGACTGGGGGGGGGGGGGGGGGGGGGAGGGGGGATAGGAAAAGGCTAAAAGCTTGACTCAATCTTCCTACTACCTGGATTTCAACTGACTGGAGCATAAAGTTTGTAAATACAGATATAAGATGATACCAACAGCTATAAAAATTACTATTAATTTAAACTTACCGGAATATCTTGCTCTGATGAAGTGACATTTTTCTCCCCTGAAAAACTGTTTAAAAAGTATGGGATTAGACGATCTAATCTATGTAATATAACATGTCAAAGAAAATTATCTGAGATTTAACATATTGTTCCAATATCACTCAACAGAATTTCTAAGATCAAATAATGGAATAAAACGGGAAAAATTCAGAATAGTATTGATGATTCGGAATTATTAACACAATATTGGCATATAGTTCTTCATCTGAATTTATATCAAACAGAGTTTTTACTTAGAGGATTTTTTTTATTTTTTCTCAATACGATGTACACATAAGGAAAAGTGATTCTATCACCTGTCATGTTTTTGTTTTTGAGAATCAAAATAATCAGATCAATCTTGCTTGATGGTCATCTAAAGATCAAAGGTATTCAGTGAAATTTTATCAAAATTGGAAAATAGATTATAACAAATGAACATACATTTTTTTTAAATTGCCATGGCAACCACAGAACTCCATATATAAATTCTAAAAAAATACATGAATGGAATCTCTCATTACCTTCCCGTTGATGAAAGAACTTTAGCAGCAAGGAGGGCATAGTCTTGGAAAACTTCTGTCCTTTCCTGTCGTGCTAACTCACAAAAGTCGTCACAATAACTCAGTAACAGCCCCTACACAAAATTATATTTAAAAAAAATACTTTAATTTCTTATTCTTTTCAGTACTTATTGATACAAGTTGATATTGGTATACAATACATCACATTAAATATTTCTAGCTAGTTTTAAGCAGAGAATAAAAACTTACTTTGCATGAATACAAATCAAGTCATAAATATGTCCCTATTAAGTTTTTTAGTCAATAAGTAAGAATTAGTCAAATAGAAGCAACTTTCACGGAGCTTTGCATGATACCTTTCAACAGTCCATGTTATATAATCTATGAATACTTTAAAAGAATGTGAACAAATATACATTGAAAACCATTCACAGTATAATAACATAAGTAAGACAGAGAATTTCTTTCAGTTTCTTTACAACTCAAAAGATGACTTTGACTTGTGCTGTTTTTGTTTTTTCTTATATTTGTAAAAGTAGTTTAGTCCTTTACATTACAACAAAGCCATTCCTTTAATTTATTCTTTCTAAATCATAAACTACAGAAGTATATGCCAAGATGACACAAACTACATATAAGCATGGCAGTAGTAGAATATACCCTTAATTTAGATTTTAAACTTTCAGCCAATTTTCTGAAAAAAACATGTAGAGCCAAAGATTCAAACTGCTTGAGCTTTAGTGAACTTGTCTTTAGGGGTGTGGATCGTCGGATAAGTGACGATCCGATCCTAACCACGATTCAGCACTTACGATTCAGCACTTACAATTCACAATCGAACCACAAATCTTTTGTTATCAAGACACCCATAAAAACATGTACATTAGTTAAAAAAAAACATGTTTAATTAATAAAAAAAACAATACTAAACATTAAACATATAAAATATAAAATAGATTTATGTTTTTATTCTTTGGATGAGTATTTTTGTTTTGCTTTTTGAAATCAATTACTTACTAGCTCAGTATCATGGTACATGGTCTTTAACCGGCAAATTGTGTTTTAGGTAAACTTCATATAATTTATACTCAAATCGTATTTTCTCGATTTTAAGAATGTGAGATAAAGTGAATGTATATAAAAAAATTAGATCGTGATCCACGATCTCTGGGCTTACGAATATTCAAACTCGATTTTTCACTTTGATTCGTGATTATCCGAGTAATCGGATACTTGCCCCAGCCCTACTTGTCTTTAATCCAGACAAAACCATTCATCATTTTTAGGAAATAATTTAAATATGTGCTGGCTGAAAAACCATTTTTGAGGAGAAGTTCAAATTATGTGCTGGCAAAAAGTACAGGCCATGATCACATGACATGGACATGCCAACAGATCTTGGCCTGTATTAGTTGCAAGGGTAAATTCTGTAATGAGCAGCAGGCTATGTGTAAATTGGCACTTCTTATAACCTGCAGAAGGCTATTGGTTAACAGGTGTTTTCTCTTACCTGCTGAAACTCCTCTAGATGTATAAGACACTGACATGCACATGATCGCAGTCTGTGACTGCCGGGTTTGGGTTTTTAAAAACCTTTTGGGGTTTATATAGAAACCATTTCCTTGAAAACCGTCTTCCCACGGGGGTTGTTTCCCTGAATAGAATGAAAAAAATTAATTTAAAAACCAAAAACAATTAAAAAAAATATAACTTTTACCCTTTTAAACCTCATTAAAAAAAATTTCCTTTTTTTGGGAAAATTTTCAAAATGTGTACAAAACTAATAACAGTGCAGACCATTATCAGATAATACCATGATCAGATGACACACGTGGGCCTACTTTTCTTGGTCTGCACTGGTCACATGGATAGATTCTGCATCCCCAAGCAGGTTATGGATTTTGTCAGTTTCAACAAAAGCTACATGTAGATAAAATTGGCAGTTATTAAAACAAGAAAACAAGCATTTAACTGTATAATTATAAGCTCCTGCTTACTTCTCCACTTAAACTGTTTAAATGCTGTGGAAGGTGAATGATATGATTGTTATAGTCCACTACATTATAAACAAACAGCTTTAAACATGAAATGTTTCCAAAACAAGGTGCTGCTGTCAACTCAAACTTTAAAAAAATCCTTACATCTTCACTCCATAAATTGAAATGACATTATGCCCATCCAAGTGTCAATGGTGAGTTCAACAAGTATGCAAAATAATCTATAATCCACAAAACTCATGGATATTTCTAGAAATATTGTTAGGAATGTATCATAACATTGAATTTTTAAAGAGAGTGGGGCACCCTTTTTATATTAATTTAGGTATTTTTTTTTATTTCATTCTAAACATTTTTTCGTTGTCAATTATTTGTCAATCATCATTATAACATGAAATCCCTTGAAATATATTACTAATTCAACTCAACTCATCAGCAAAGAAAATGAGCATAATATCACTTTTACAGCCAATCAAATTGGCCAAAAATATCGATACTCTCAACAATTAGTACATACCTGTTGTTCTAGTTGCACAATAAGACTGGTACAAGTTTCCAGGATCTGACAAACTACCGGCCAATTTTCACCCTTGTCTACTAACTGATGCTGTATATCCAGCAATGATGTAACAATCTGGTCAATACTTAAACAGAAATAATAAAAAAATCATATATGAAAAACCTATCTATAAAATGAATCCTAGAAATTTTTCACAGTTAAAGGTATATAAATAAAGTAAGTACACATGTTCATATTGAGTTTTATTGCAAAACTGCTGTAAGTCCTTTTTTTCATACAAGTTACTGCAGTTTTGTGGTCAACCCTTGAATTATTCAATGTTGGTTTATATATATTATGACACTTAACCATTTAAATGTAGCTTAATGTACTAAAATCTCCTTATATTTTATTATTCTATGAATGGGCAATATTTCCTCCTCTGACCACCCCAAAAAAGTATCTCATAATCTACTAAACAACATAAAATTATTTTGACTACCTACATGACTGTATTAACTAAAAACACTGAAAAGAACTGTTCTCACCTTTCTTCAGTGATGCCTAATAAACCATATTCTTCCAAATTGATAAGCAACTCAACTTTGATGCTGTTTTCTATTGTATCATCATAGAGTATCTATACATAAAACAAATATATATAGTTGTATAACATTTTAATTCAAATTATATACTGTAAATCATTCTTTCAATTGGAGTAATCATTAGAAGTAAATGACATAATCAAGGCACCTGTCTACTGTGTTAACATCTAACTTGAAACACTTGATTAGTAAGAGTTTTTTCTCCTTACCACACAATGCAAAAGTCAGTTGTAACCCCTGCACCCATCATCAGAGAGGGCAGGGTTCGACACTAACGGGGTCCCGGGATTCCGAGGATCCCAAAAAGTCGGGAGGGATCCCTGTGATTCCTAGCTGGGGATTCCGTTGGGATCCCTGAAAAATTGCTGTGTAAATTTTTGAAATTTTCTGAATTAATGAATCACAAATATTCAAGAAAAGTGGTTCAAGAAAGAAAAGAAAAACCCCGCCGGTAAAATCTACACTCTTGAATTATGTACGGCTAGATTTTCTTTGAGCAGTGACTGCTATCAACTCATTTGCGATAAAAAAATGACAAAAATGTTTTGACTTAAGAAAACATTCTTGTATAATTTTATATCATGCATTGACTTCATAAAATAGAGTTGTGAAAATTCAAAAAAGAAATGTAATTATCGTATAATTATTACACAAGCGATGTGTACTTCAAATTTTGTTTGATCGGCAATGCCGGCGGTAGCTACTGTACGTTTGTTGTTTGTTTTTTTATTGCCAAAATTCGGCACTTGTGACCATTGTAAATTTTTGTCAAAAATTGTGAAAAAAAGATAACTGGTGTATTTTTTCTCCCTACAGTAGACTACAGCAAAAGTAATAATTAATAAACAAAATAAAAAGAATCCATACTTTTAAGTTTAAAATCCTTTTTGAAACTCACAGCCTTCAATGCTAAAAAAGCATTGTCTAACTAAAGTCTAAGGTCAATCAAGGTCACGCATTATTTACCGACAAAAAATACAAAAATCCTTACGTGAAACATACAGCAAATGACGAAATATACAGCAAATGACGTATATATTTCATCTGACAGTGCTTTGAGCCAATCAGGTGTTGTGAGCTACATGACTGCTGTATGGGTGAGTGCCTTTGATGTGACAGGTGTCAGAACTTACAAAAAAATCAATACACAGGGAGGAAAAGGGATCGGACATTTCAGTGTAAAAATTGAGAACAATAAATTTGGATATTCCCACATCCTGTCATGGACTTGGAGCAACTTTATCATTTTTAAAAAAATGAAATCATTTAAAGGTACCGTACTTGTAAATGCAAACAAAACTGTTTCTTGATATTTATATTAGCTTAAGTAAAAAATTATCAAAATATTTAATTTACAACAATCTATGGGATTTTTTCCTTTTTAACACAAAAATGTAAAATGAAATCAAAATATTTTCTTAAAGTGATCATAATTAAGAATTTCCTTAAAAATGACATGAAGTAAATAATTATAGACAGTTATCCATACCAGACCTTTCTGAATATGGAGCCTAATCATTACCTGTAAACTTTTAAAGATCTATACATTATGATAAGTGGGCTCTATTTCAGTGAAACCCTTGGCTATCTGGGAAAATGTTTCCCCAGTTCCTATTTTAACTTCAAAAATTTCAAACCACCTTGTCAAGTCACTTGCATTATACCTTCATTTAGATACAGAAACTGGTTCACAAATTATTCAACTCCAGGGAGAAAACAGGTTTTAGCAAGATAGCTATTTTCAAAATCGAACTCTTGTTCAGTGAGCTTAATGTTATTCTGTTTCCATGTTCATGTAAAAATATACTTAGCAGTCCAAAATATATATTTTATATATATATACTAGTAAAGTTAACACTTTGAAACGCTTTAAAACTTAAAATAGCCTTATTTCCAAAGGGCTCATAAACTACATTATTCTGCATCTGAAACAAGACAATATATCCTGTATGTTGTCTCAAAAATGAAAAGAATTTGAAATCGAATTGCTGCACTCTCTTGTTATTCTTCGCCTCCATATTTTACTATTTTGATCTGAGGAATCCCTGACATTTAGGAGGAATCCCTGAATTAAATCTCAGGGATTCCTATGGGATCCCTGGTAAAAACAGTTAGTGTCGAACCCTGGAGGGTGGGGCATATTGATGAAAATGGAAAATATGGTCAGATCAGCACCTTAGTAACCCCTGCCCAATATAAACTATAGGTCAACTCAGCCCCCTATGGATTATTTATTTCACTGGTAAAGTGAATAATGAGATAAATTAGTTATATTCTATTTCCATAAATTATTTACAAAATCATGTTCATCATACATAAAATTTTAAATGAAGGAGATTAACAAGTTTTATTGCTGTATGTTTATACATGTTTATTTGTATATATCATTTGCAGGTAGCTAAGTAATATTTCTTTTAACCTTATTTGTACAAAATACTCTCTATGTAAATACATCAATACTGATAGTAACAATATTTCTGACTTATAAAAGACAAAAGACAGAATTTAAAATAATGGTGATAGCTTTCTTTTTTGTAATAGTCCACTGCCTGGACCTGTGCCATGTTAGTTTACTTATTTTTTACTTGACTCATAGTGATGCTTTATTAATAGGCCAGCCTCTCAGTTTTCTTCTAGATAGAAACACTACAAGATACTGTATGACCAAACAGTTTACGACCCAGGAAAATCAGCCATATTCTTACCTTACCTCTATCTTCACATTGTCAAATCAATGTTCTGCACCAAAATAGCAGGAATACTATGTTATAATTAGTGACAAAACATACCAAAAATATATTTGATATTTTTCAAAACAAAAATTTTATTTAAATCAATTCATTGTCGGAGCAAATATATCAGAAGTAGCATGTATATTTTGCATATTAGACTAGACAAACAACATATGAAAGCAAAAAAAAATATGTACAACAGCATTTGTATATTCGTTTTTAGAGATTCGATGATGATACTGTTAATCTTTCTATAGCAATTATGCATATCCGAGCACTATTACATTTGGTCATTCAGCAAAATTATGAAATCTTAATTGTCATGCAAAATGCATTGCTTTTTTCAAACCTTTAACAAATCTAAAGCGTAGAATTCATCTTCAAATCGCTTGTTTATCTTTCCTAATGCACGTTCTTGACGAATTTTTCGTAAAAGTGGATAAATTTCATTTCCGGGTTTCGACATTTTCGGTGTCGTACAACTTTTGCAGCATAACGATTGAGTTTAGGCAATACACGCCTAAATGATTATTTTTAATAAATTTAGTTGTAACGCTTCCAATCTTTAAGTAGTCAATGTTTTAAGTTAAAATAAAAAATTCTTTTTTATGTGACATTGCACAAGCACTTACCCTTGACCAGCTTAGAACAATGCCAGAAAGGCCTATATTTTGGTTAAAATCAGAGTCAGAGTTATAGGCCTTTGAAAGTGACTCACAAAAGAGACCTATTACAAATAGGCCCTATAAAGCTCTATGCCACAATAATAAGTGAATACCTACAGTAGTTTTGAAAGTTGATGTTGCCTGCAAATCTCAAAGGGCAATAATTCTGTCAAAATCAAGACTAGAGTCATGTTCCTTGGACAGTGAGCTTCTATAAGAGTGCGAATTAATAAAAAAAATATTCATAGGAGCTGATAGATATGATGCTGCACAAAAAATTGTATGTTGCCTTAATGCATGCAGTCTGACCAACTTTATGTTTTAATCTTGCTTTCCCCAAAATTGATAATGGACTGTTCCAAATGTGGAGGTAGTCAAGGCCTTTTAAGAAATTCTGCAGCTTAAGGTTAACAAGAAATGTCGATATGCCCCCCTCCAATCTTGCTCTTGACTCACATTATTGGTTATTTTGTTATAGAAACTTGCAATAAATGGGTACATGGAAGTGTTCAGTTATAGAAAGAGAAAAATATGAAGACTTTGTGATAAATAGTTTTCAAGATAATGAGCGGAAAACATTCTGACATTAAAGGGCCCTGTGACCTTGACCTTTGACCTAGTGAACCTAAAATCAATAGGGGTCATTTACTTGTTATGACCAATCAATACGTGAAATATGAAGAATTTGTGATGCTTAGTTTTCAAGATAATCAGCAGAAACCATTCTGACATTTAAGGCCTGTGACCTTGACCTTTGACCTCAAAATCAATAGGGGTCATCAACTTGTTATGACCAATCAATATGTGAAATATGAAGACTTTGTGATAAATAGTAACCAAGATAATAAGTTATAAACATTCTGACATTCAAGGCCCCTGTGACCTTGACCTTTGACCTAGTGAACCTAAAATCAATAGGGGTCATTTACTAGTTATGACCAATCAATATGTGAAATATAAAGAATTTGTGATGCTTAGTTTTCAAGATGATCAGCAGAAACCATTCTGACATTTAAGGCCTGTGACCTTTGACCTCAAAATCAATAGGGGTCATCTACTCATTATGACCAATCACTATGTAAAATATGATGGCTTTGTGATGCATAGGTTTCAAGATAATCAGCGGACACCATTCTGACATTTAAGGCCCCTGTGACCTTGACCTTTGACCTAGTAAGCCCCAAAATCAATAGGGGTCATCTACTTGTTATAACCAATCACTATGTGAAATATGAAGACTTTGTGATAAATAGTTTTTAAGATAATTAGCGGAAACCATGTGGTCTACCGACAGACAGACAGACGGACATTAGCAAAACAATAAACACCCTCTTCGTGGAAAGGGGCATAATAAATAATGAATAATTTTACTTTTTAGCTATCACACAAACAGTAATTTTATCTCAGGTTAATGTTATCCTCATGGCCCCCATTGCAGAGTTCTTTCTTTGTTGCATCATGAAAAACATACAGATTTGAGTTATATATCATTTGCATGGGTTGATAGCATTACCTTTAAAGAACAAATAATTACAGAGTAACTTTTTCAGAAGGCTTGAAACAAGATTGGCGACCATACAGAAAATGTGAAATTGAAATAAAAATTAGATTCATTTTGCAGTGCAGTATAAAACTTACCTAACAAAACAGTTATTATATATAGTCAAATAATATGTCATGCTGTGATTTATTAAATACATGTATTGTCAGAATAAATTGTAACATGCCTTTGAAAATAAATGTGAAAGCACGATCAAAAGTTTTAATTTCTACAACTTAAAAGAATATTGTTTAATATTAAATTTTGTCCAAGAATTTTCATGTATGTCAAAGAAAGAAGGTTTTTTGTGTGTGCATATCCTACAAATGTCAAAATATCAAACAAATATTGCTTATATTTCCTTGTATAATATACCTCAGAGAATATTTTATTCATAGTTCGCACAGTTCTAATGTAATACTATCTGAAAACTGTTTTTATTATTTTATTTCATTTTATGACCATGTTTTACTTATTATTTTCGTTATTATTGTGACCTATAAATGGAAAACAATTAAAACAATCTATTTTAATTATTTTATTTCATTTTTGGTCATGCTTTACTTACAAATTTCATAATTGTTTTTTATTTTTTTAATATCGAAAACAGTGAAATTGCAGATGAGCCTTTCGATGATCTTTTTGATGTGGTTTAAGAAGAAAATGAAGAAGGAAACCCTAGAAATATTTCTGATTATTCTTGGAAACAAGTTATCAACTTGAAAAGGCAGAGAATTTTACAAAAATTAGAAATAAATAAAATTTAAGGTCAATGTAAAAGCTGTTGCTTCACTCAATCACCAAGAATTTTGTATTTCCGTGGAAATGTTGTTTGTTCTACAAAACAATTTCATTATAGTTATGCTTATTTTGTTGGTTTTTAGTATGACCATTTTAACACACTTTTAGTTAAACCTTGGCGATCAGTCCACTTCATCAGCCTTCCTGGATAACTAACCAGAAATTATCAATTTCTCCCCAAGTGACCAACTAGATGAATAACATAATTTGTTCCAATGATTTGACTATTTTTCTACCATGTACATGATAGCAATACCTTGCAATTTCCTTGTTATCATTGAACATCTACCAACTGTTGTAATGGACTGACATTGAAAGCCATAGTTTGTGGTAATAATTATTACAATAATTCTGAAACATAGCTTGAAATTAATTCATACGAGTCAAAAAATAAATGTTTAAGGACCAATTCGCCAAATTGCTCATTCCATTGATTCAAATAGGTAATTTTAAATTCATATTTAGTAAACACGAACCAGCATATTGGGACCGTGTTTGGAAACTAGAAAAATAGACTTTGAAAACACTAACTTGATTTTACCCAGATATGAAAGTAAGATGTAAACTCAATTTTTTTTTTTTTGCACTAAATAGACTTATAAACAATGGACTCATTGGCATCAACGATGTTAGGAACACGCAGGGGCGTACTTTGAGGAGAAAGAAGTTCCATAAAAGACACTACACCTATGGCGTCCTTAATGTCAAACTTTTGTAATATCTGCTGCGACGGATCACTCTTCATGTACATGCTACAGACGGCATAACTTTGTTAAATGTTAATGTTTTATATTGATTATTTTTGTATTATGTAGCGCCTTATGTTGTGATTTTTTTTTAATTATGAAATGCATTAAAAAGTTAATGAATCATTGACAAAGTCTGGTTAATTTTTGATCATCTCTCGTATATCTATGTTGTTACTAACTTCATCTGTCATCCCAGTTTATTCCACCGACAGTGTGGACATGAACAATTCAAAGAAACCTTAACCAGTCTGCAATCAAGGGCAGCAAGGCCTCTTGCGTGGAGGTAAAACACTGATGTGGGGTGGGGGGACAGCAAAAAGAGAAAACAGTTTTATGTAAACATACATTTTATTGGCATTTAATAAACTACAATTTCTTGTACACAAATCTAACAAAATGCCATAAAGTAATATGCAGACAAAAATTAATGCATTAATTGTTACACGACACTTTTAATACTAGGGCAAGTCCATTGAAAAAATGAAAAAAATAAGTGACAACAATCTTTTACACATACACACTCTTCTCTTTAACACTTTAAACTTATTATATCTATAATTATGTGTTTTAAAACAATCTATGTCTCTACACAGTGGAGACCCTTGTGTAACAATACGTCATGAAATCAGAAGGCCATACAAGGCCCAGAGTCAGTTTCAACTGTTATTTTATACCATCAAGTACTTTTATTTTATAGTCAACAAAAATATGTTCACAAAAAAAGTTAACAGAAGATATAAGTTAACAAGAAGTTCATTACCAAATAAAAAAAAGAGAGAAAAGAAATGTGAATAAAATTTTAAAAAAACTTTACTGATTGAACTTTTTTCTTAAAAGCTCTTCAATGAATGTATATCAAATTAATTTCCTAAGGAAGTTATATCTTAACATTAACAAAAGAAATTGAGCCAATCACATAAAGATCTTTGCTTGATCAACAGTTTAATTAAAAGGTATACTGTAAGTGTGTCGCCTTAGTGCAATAACACATTAACTCCTATTAAATTATATAAGGACTTAGCCTGTTACTGCACTAAGGTGACAACTGGTTTATTAACATATTAGATATTGGTATATTCAGAAATAAGGTAACTATATAATGTTGTGAATATACAATATTCAACATTTTCATAGATTGACAAAGAATATCATGGAGCATTATACATGCTGTATGTATATACAATGACACTGTTAGATTTTTAACCAAATTTTACATGTCAAGAACAAGATGACAAAATTCTTGACTTTAAAAGGCATTGCCAAAAGGTTTTTTTTGCCTTAGATTTATAAGGACTTCTGAAAAGAATTTGTTTTTTTCGTCCCATTTTTCTTTACAAATGTTTGTGTGCTCTATCATAAAATAATTGTCAATATTAATGTGTGAATTAGATTGTCCAAATAGATTTTTTCCATCTATATTTTTGTAGTATTGAATAATATTTAGTAATTTTCTTCTAAGGGAACATAAATTCATGCCTTTAAATGTGAGAATGAATCTTTTTTATCTTTCAGACATGAAGGTTTATACTTCAATGTCAAAATTCAGATCTTTTTTTTATTCACCTTACTTTTAAAGCCATCACCACTGACAGAAATGGGGGAAAATATCACTTACAGAATTGTGACAGTATTGGGGTATTGTTTCTTACAAAATAGTGGGAAAAGAACACTTACATTAGGGGAAACTGGCACTTATAGAGTTGAGGAAAACGTCACTTACAGAGTTGGAAAAAAATGCATACACAGTTGTCAAAATTTAAATTTGTGTTATGTACCATTACTTTGCACATAGTTAAAGACATTTACAGATGAATTCAAAATAATATAACTATGCCTGAAAAAAGAAAGAGAAGAGAAAAGAAGTACAATATACCTAGAAAAAACTTCTCCCTCCTCATGGAAAAAAAGAAATACGTTCGTTTAAACCTTTATTTTCCTATTAAACTTGAGAGTTCTTATAAGCAAAAAAATAATAAGAAAAAGATTTTCGCATGACCACAAATAATTATTGGCCAGGCTGTCACACAGTGTTATGATAATAGGGAATACACTTCTACAACTAGGTGTATGATAGATTGTTTGATTTTAACTATCCACACTTACTGGCTGTGATTTATGTATATAATTTGTCATATACAAAATGAATTATTTATTACCATTATCACCAGCACGACAGATCAATCACAGAGGCAAAGCCTCTTCATTACTTGTAATAAAATTTATGTTTTTAAAGGCCCATTAAGACTTAAAAATACTGATTTTTTTTTTTTTTTTTCAAATGCTTTTTAATTTTGGTTTCCATCCCAAAAAAATTCTTACGGCCATAATATTTTGGCCATCTTTTGCTTCTTTTGTGTTTTATAAATCACATATGTGCCCTTTCAACAGGAAGAAAATTTATTCAGATTCTGAGGCTTGATGTGCCTTTAAACTATTTAATTCAAGTAACATCATCATCAAACAATAACACAGTTAAATTATAACATTCCGAAAATCTTTGTACTTAATTTTTCGACAATATAATTAACATATGTCTTACCATTTTACCGTCTTTATATTCACAGCTGATCAATTAATTCATGCTAAATGATTACACTTTAAAGGGACATGACTCCAGTTGTCAAACAAAACAAAAAACAATGCTCAATTTATGACACTATTTTAGCATATTTAGAAAAGCAAGGTGGAAAAAAATCCTCCGTTGTTTTTCCATTAAAAATTTCTGTAGATTTATAGAATAAATTAAACCCATTTATTTTATTTTTTTCTGTCATAGATGCTAACAAACACAAAGTCTTATTTGATTTTTTGAAGTTTTACATTACAGCATGTCCCTTTAAAAACCACCTGACATTAAATTTTTTTTATCAAATGTATTCTTTCCTGTTTAAACGACTGTCAATCTTGAGTTAAACACAAACATACTGGTAATTAATAGTGCTGTGGCCTGTCACATTAGTGATTCCACTTCCATTCATTTCTTATCTGATCTTTATCTTAAAGTGTTTATAATAACAAAAGTAACATATTTATTTGTTTTTTTTCTCCATTGAAAAAGCCTGAAAATAAAAGCCTTTTCCCCCCAACTTATAATTCCCAGAAAGTACGAGGATTTCCCTCAAACCAGCTCAATTCTTCAAGTGTGAAAAATAAAACATTATCATCTGAAAAAAAATTAATGTTTGTTAGTAAGGTTTGTTAATTCTTCAAATGTTCGTATGGCAACCACCAAGCAATTTCTCCACATTAAAGTAGTATGTGCTTTCTAACCAAATGTAAAGTTGTATTTCTATTTTTTCTAATCAAATGTAAAGTTATATAAGCAGTGTATTGATTTAATGCCATTTCAAGACAATATAGAGATTTTATACATTTGATATCATTGGTAAAAGTTTAATAATTAAGTATGAATCCAAAATTTAGCCAAAATTATGACCAATTAAGCCAAAATCATAACAAATTTTGCAAAAATTATGACCAACCTTGCCAAAATCATGACCAATTTAGCCAAAATCATGACCAATTAAGCCAAAATCGAGACCAATTTAGCCAAAATTATGACCAACCTTGCCAAAATCATGACCAATTTAGCCAAAATTGTGACCCATTAAGCCAAAATCGAGACCAATTTTGCCAAAAATCATCCTGGAAGGAAAAATATTCATCCCACACTTTTTACAAAGATAAATTCCACAACATGTATTTCTGAACCTTAATGTTCTCTTCTTGACAGACATTTACACAAAGAATTTCCAAGAATCAGACACTTGTACAGTTCACTGTTGCATATAAATGAAAAAATGTAGATAACACAAAATCGAATTGAAATCTGATCCAAAAAAAATATTAATGTTAACAAACATACATTGGTAAATTGTATTTAATTGCTCTTGATTTGATTGAAAATTAAAACAAATAAACTTTGATTCGATTCGTGTATTTTTTGTTGTTGAAAAAATACAAATTATAATATTTTTCTTGTTGTCATGTTTTTGTTTGTTTCATAAGTCATATGGCACCAAAACAGGAAAGATGATTATGGCTAGGCTCAGTTGTAACAAACTTAAAGCAGTATTGTTATGTCAGAAACGTAGTTTTGAGTAACTTATTAGTATACAAGTAAATTGACGTACACAAGTTTTACCAAAGTATGATCAACTAAACAGTGACTACTTAAAATGTTAACAATCACATTCTATTAAAAGTCAAAACACATTTCATAGGCTAAACTGTTGAAAATTCACAAAATTGATTTTTTGATTATGAAAAATAACCGTTAACTCTCAGTTATAAAAAATTTCAAAATAAATGTGCAAGAAATTCTTAACAAAAGGTAAATACTATATATCTATTTGTATATGCTCATAAGAAGATAAATGAAGATTTTTTTTTTTTTAAATAATGTTTATCTCTTAAAACCCACTTCAATTACCAAGGTTACACTTTACCAAGGTCATATTTTATCAAGATAACCTGAAGGATATAACGACCACGAGGATAACCGTTCTGAGGCTGACAGCGATATAGTGTTATACAAACAGCAAGGTGAAAACCATGACTGTCTAATGGGTCCAACACATGAGAGGTATCATTCCTTTATCTTAATGTCAAACCTTTCCCTGCTGATTATGTAATCAATCACTCATCCCTGGTTAGAAAACCTACGGGTTTAGTTCATTTTAAATGTTTTTTTAGACATTACGACATTTGTTTGTTTGAATACTACAATTATTGGTTGACTCACACGTGTGTCAGTTGTGTACCCGGGCTCCGTGTCAATATTTGTGTCAACAGGAACTACATTAATAAGATAAAGTCTTAGCTCGCACGCAAATCGGACGTTACCTCTTAAATGCATTAACCCAGCGGTGTAGCCGCTTGTCAACTGTAACGTGTTAGACACAGTGAAGTTATCGGCACAGCAGGTCGTTTTTATGACAACTCTACCACTTGAATATAATCTTAAACTCTTTAAAACCCAAAGACCATTATCTCACATAAACACAAGTTTAGAAGGAGTTTTCAAATCATTTCATCCACTTAAAACTAAACTGAATATTATATTAATTTCTTATCTGAAAATATCAAAAATCCAATTACATAAGAAATTTATTCTAAAACGAAAAAATCACTTGGTGAAAAAAAAACAACACAACAACATCCATATACATTACGTCATCACAATTTCTCCATCAATTTTGCAAATATTACTAGAAAAAACAATCATTTACATCTAGATATTGTTAACTATATCTGCCCTTTTTGTCTAAAACTTATGAACATCAACACAGAATCATATCAAACTTGGACCTGACTTTAAATGTAACATTTCACACTCTACATGCTTTTCAAAAAAAAAATATAAAAAATACCCAGTTACTCTATGTATTTAATACACAACACTAGCAATACATGGTATCCCATAGAAATCATTCATTCTTTTCAGTTTCTCTATTCAACCAAATTGTGAAACACTCGATTTATGTCAAATTACAACCGTAAAGTTTGTGTTTTATATGGCAACATGCAAACTTTTTGGCATATGAAAACACCAAAAAAACAACAACAAGAATCTTACTTGTGAGCAGCCACAAATCACTTTATGACCCTGATTAAGTTGAAAGTTATTATTAGTTAAGAAAAAAATCATCATTTGGAGACCAGTCTCCAAATAGACCACTGCAATTGGCTGAATTTAAATTTGTGTCAATAAACATCCAATCAGATGTCTAGAATTGGGACTGGTCTACAATTTCAAAGCATTTTTTTTACCCTTGAGGTAAATGAGCTATGGTTGAGTGAGAAACAAGCATTTTATTTTCTCTAGCATACATTATATACACTGGAGCCGCGATATAGCGCTCATCGGTATAGCGCTTATCTCAGTAGAACGCTCATATGCCTTGGCTCCCAAAAAAAAAATCGTATTTTTCGCCCATTATATTTTTTTTTCATGTATATCAATACCGCACCTTATCCACTATAACGCTTGTTCAATGTGTCAGTCGAGTGCAATAAACAGTCATAATTACGTCACTCATGATAAGAAGGTGTGAAGTCATACACAGGTAAGCGTTAATCCGCTCTTTTGTTCATTTTGAACTGTTGATCAGTCAGGTATCAAACTGTTAGCTAAGACATGCAAACACCGACGATTTAAGTAAATCACCCAAGCATACAATTAATTTTAAAAAGCATGCACTTTCGATCTATCTGCAAAAAAGTTGTTGAGGATGACTGATTTTTTTCACAAGAGACAGCAGGAAAGACGATTAATTTAGTCCCATCCACTAGGTATCAATTTTCATGACCACACATAACTCACGTTAACACCGCTGTTTTACTGGAAATTTATAAACATTCATTCGTGGTTTATATTTTTAATTCGTAAATTTCATGTTTATATTAAAGATATTCAGTAATGCTTTACAAAATAATTAATAATAATATATAAAAAAGCTTGGACTGATATCCATTGGAAGGTAAGTAAACAATCAATTCCACTAACAAGCGTTATATGTTTCGGCGGTGGGTGGGGTAATGCGATATTTTCGCTATAATTACAAAATGAGCGTTATAAAAAGTTACTCGTTACAGCGCTGTCTTGAGATCATGGACCCCAACATGAGCGCTATATCGCGGCTCCAGTGTATTGAGTAATGTTTCAATACAGATATACATCTGCACATTAATGAACAGTTTTAACTGGAACTACAGTATTTAACTCACGAAAAAAGTTGAATGTTTGCCATTTTGAAAATTTCTGTCACCTGTGCACAGATAAAATGATTTTAGGACCAACATACATACATGCCTGACCCGGCTGATTTACAACCAAGCTTTAAGTGTTCAGTAACAGTAAATAAATGCAAAATTTTAGAAATCCACCAATGACTTGGCTAGTTTATCGAAGTCCCACTTACTAATGTATTGACTGAACAGAATCTAAAATGACAAAGCCATGTTTAAACTAATAGACAATGTACTAAGAGAACTTGGTCGTGAGCGTACCACGGTTTTTCAACTCAACAATGTCGTAACCAATGATAACCATAGAGATAAAGTTACACCAGTGCCGAGTTTGTACCGTTACATGTGAATAAAATTATTTTGAAAAAAAAAAAAAAAAAAAAAAATGTGGCAGACGACATATTACAGATTATGAAAATGGTATGGTGAATGCACATGGTAAAGGGGAATGGTGGTGGACATGGATAAAATGACAGGGAACACATGATACTGAAAATTGTACTCAAGCACCTATGTGCAACTTTAATTTACGTTGCACGTGAAAAAAAAAACAGCATATTTATACCAAAACAAGTGTACTTTGTCAAGTGTACTTTGTCATGATAACACCCTGGCTAACCAGTATTAAATTCAAAAGCGCGCAATACCTTGCCTTTTGAAATATATAGATGAAATATCTAGGACCTTTTCACTAGTACGGGATTTCACAACAGCAAAGATAGAAGAAAAAAAACATTACATCACTGTACGAGATATCGAAAATAGCCACTTGTATCTATATAACACAACATTTGTACATAGTTGAGAACAGCAGAACTCTTCAAATAAACTTTCCTCCATTTTTTTTCTACATATCTTACAAAATTTTTGAACAACCTGCTGTATCTCTTCTGTTCCTTTAAATACAGCACTTTTTTTGTGTGTGTGTTTTCTACAATCCTCAAATCCAACTTCCCATCTTCATTCAGCTGCCACTAATTCACAGAGTGAGGTACTATTCACTGCTTTTCTCAGTAGATCTACTAAGAGAACGCAACTATTCACTCCATTTAATCTCCATTAAAGGGGAACAACTCCTCTATAGGTTCACAAATATGTTTAAAGCTAAGTAGCCGGTTCACATATAATTTTGAAGGAGATTTTTTTTTTTTGTACATCAATGGCATAAGAATTTTTACAGGAGGGGAAAATCCACTGGAATTTTGTACAACATAATGTGGAACACTTGATATATTTGTTTTCCCCACTAAAGTGCCATAACTCAGAATATAACTTCATACAGAGTTGCCTTTTTATCTCCAGAGCCTGTTACAATATATTTATCATCTGTTGAAATGTCACAACTTAACACTGAAGAAGACTCTTTTGACTGAAAGAAAAACAAAACAACACATTTAAGTTGAATTATATCAAATATTCATTATAAAAGGATCTTAAACATTTAGTTATATTATAACAATTTAGTACTATCCATAATATAACGATTTTAGGCCAAATATTCTAACAAAGTGGAAAGCAAATAAAAAGTTTCACGTTGACATTTTTCAAAATGTTTTAATAATGGCCTACATTAAAGTTTTTGATCAATGACAACAACGTCATTGCAACCATCATCATAGCTCTATTTTTTCTTTGGAACAGACAAGCTAAATGTTCTAAAATCAATAAATTGTATACAATTTTTAAGAAGCTTAAAGCATTTTTCCAAATGACAATTTATCCAAATGGTAAACATGATCAAAGCGTTTTAATAGCGTTCATTTTTTTACATATTAAATGAACAATTATCCAGGAAAAAAATGACAAGAATATTATACAAATGCAACATATTGGTTAAAAACTTGCCTGGTTAATGGGAATGTTTTACAGTTTCTGAGAATAATGTAAAACACGAATTTTTTGCACCTTGAGGATTTTTGCAACATAAATATTCTCTAATCAAATAATGAATATCATATAATTTAACAGAACTGAAAGTGTAAATGAGAAAATATTTAACCTCTCCTATAAGTCCAAAATATTAATTTTGCCAAAATATCTGATTTCACAGTAAAAATGTTTGATTATTTGCAAAATGTACAAAAACCTGTTTCATTTATTTTCATCAATAATTTTTTCTTATAACAGGGTTATTAAGTTATAATGAAACTGTTTGAAGGGAGGGGGTTCGAGCTTTACTGTTGGAGAAAGAACTCAGATGCCAGTACAAATTTTACTTAACCCTGAAGTCTGCTAGGACCTAAAGTGATCAGCCTTTGCCACCAGTAAAAGAGCGAGGCCGGCCTGCATCTCCATGGACCAAGCTCTAAAGTGTGGTAGCTTAATTTTTGCATTCTAATATTAAAATCCCTTTTAATTTTGAATGGGGTGCTACCCAAAATCCATAACAACAACAAATGTGACCATAGGACACTGATACTCCCTTGTTCCACTGTTTTGTCTTTCTACTGAACGACAGAGTGACAGTTCGACAGCATGACCCAAGGACATGGGCAAATCTATATTTGTGTTAAAGCATTGACCTATTATGCAAACTTGCTAGATAACTCCTAATAAAAACCTTAATAAAAGTCTATCAATTTTCTGCAAGCAATCTAGATGATACAACAAAAACCTAAAATAAGTCACGATAGTATTTACCTGAAATATGCTAGCTCCATACGGAGTTCGCCATGCGTTTAGCAAGTTGTCTTTACCCGTACTAACAAACCATTTACCACAGTAGGCAAACTTTAGAGAGAGTACGCAACTTTCATGTAGATGTAACTGATATTTATCTGGCTTTGTGTGGTGAAGTACCTCTACATTGCTACTCTCCATTCTGCAAAAACAAAAAAAGAAAATTAAAATTTATCGGCTTGTTCCGTTTCGTTTAAAATCATATTCATTCCAAGATATTTCTGGCTAGCTTTACCGGTGGACAGAGTTGAAAAAAATCCACATGACACTCATATTATGCATAGAATCTGCAGCAGAACAAAAAGATATGTGTGGTTTGCTCATCTGATAGGAAACGTGAAAAATCTATGAAGCAAAAGACTGCCATGATAAATATATTTTGTATGATTACATTAAAAATTTTACCGAAAGAAAATTTGAAACCTCATACAGGATGAGTGGCTCTGAAATTATTTTTTCTTTAACCTGCTGAATTTCTTAAATGGACTTTTCCAATTTCCATTTTGGAACAGTCCATGATCAATTTTAGGTATATCAAGGTGAAAATCTGAAGTTAGCCAGCCAACAGTATAGAGCCTGGTCAGACTGCACGGATGTGCAGGCTGGCCTGGCTCTATACTGGTGGCAAAGACTTATCATTTTCGCCTTCAGCTTGGTAAGGGTTAACTAACCCTGAGTGATGCCTTTCTCTGCCAATTATTCTAGGCTTCATAAGAGCAACCAATCATTACCTTCTGTCATCTAGTTTACAGAAAAACAAATGAGGTTCAAAAATTTGTTAAACTTAAAATGTCAAAATACAACATACCCAACTGCAAGCCATTCCCCTGTTGGACAATATCCAAGGGAGAAAATCTGTGAACTGAAATCATGCTGCTGGAGTTGTCTACCCTGTAACAGATTAAGCATCATCAAGTTTAGAAATATGTTAATTGGGCATTAAAGTACCCACAATTCACTGTGTTTTCATACTATGGAAAGACAGCTTGATTGACGAACAATGCAAATCTATAATATTATGCCTTCAACCCAAGAAATGTACACATAAAAAATACTGCTCTAAGCTGTAAAGGTTTTGTCATTTTCCATGCATTATATTTCAGGTCCAGGTTGGCAGCCTGGGTAGAACCGCCACTTTTTTTCCATCCCGACATGAAAGAATAAAACATCCCTATTTAAAATTCAGCCTGACAATGATGAGGAGCAAGTAATACCTTCACTTACAACTCAATCAACGAAGCGTATAAAGTAAAGTCTTTCGCATTCATTCTTTTTTTTTTTTAATTTTCATGATAGAAATTTCATTTTTCGACAGTTTTTTCAATTCAGAAAATAACTATATTAAACCTGTTGATCCTCTTATGCTGAAAACAAATTACTGTCACAAATGTTGAACAAACCTCTCTGAGATCCCATGATCGGACTGTATTATCAAGCCCACCCGTCCATAACTTGGTACCGTCTGGTGATATATCTATACAGCTGGCGCCATCTGTGTGACCTTGAAACTGCCTGACTAGTGTTTGGTTGTGGAGATCCCAGACGGCAATGTTACCATCGCTACAACAACTGAAGCACACTTTGGAATCGGGACTGATGGCGAGGGCGTAACATGCAGGAGCACTCGACGTAAGCTCTGCCTTGATTCTTGGGGTCGGCTGTAATACAAACACATTCATTATTATTATTTCTAAGTTCAATCTATATAACAATGTCTCGTTCATTCTATAAATGTACCTTTCCTGTATTACACAAAAAATAAAACAACAATAAACAAAGAAAATATATTCAATTTAAGTAACCTCAATCATCCTATGTCCATAAAAACTTGATAGTAACCAATTGAACTAACAACTAACTAACTATTTTTGATGAATATCAGAAGCATAAAAACTGGATAAATCAGCTTATTTTAGATCATCTTCAACATTAGGGGTTTGCTTTCTTTGCTTTGTTTGGTTTTACAGCGCAACAACACAATTTAGGTCATATGGTGCCGAAACAGGAAAGATGATTTTAGCTCGACCTCACGTGCTGGAGCTAAGAGATGCATAAACTCCAGTAATTCATACCCACTTAGTTGCCTCTTACATTCACACAGGGTTTGAACGGTGGCTGCAATTTTGGTGCCTCAAACCGTAAAGACAACCCCTCAGCCACAAGGGGCTCAACATAAGGATAATGACAACATCTGCATCGGTAAGCTTTGCTCATTCTGTATCTATATCACTTGTAAGCTTTAGTTTGCAATCAATGCAGACCAATGATTAGCCAGCACATCAGATGCCGGCCGATAATGGTCTGCACTGTTTGCTTATCAAGTCAGAATGTATTTTGAAATTTTCGCTGAAAATGATGAATGCTTTAATCAAGACTGAAAGATAGACATGTCCCTTTGAGATGTTAGGATTGGTAAGGGTTAATCAAACTATAGCATATAAAAAAAAATCCCATTTTCACTCCATCTGTGGCAAAGAAACTTTGCGCACAATGAGCATTTTTCCACATTATACAGATTAAAACATTGATATTTCTATAAAAACTGGGAGATTTTCAAACAGATTCTTTTATAACTAAGACAGGTATCGATGTGAATTCCTTAAAAAAACTCCATTGTCTAGCCTTATCAAATGAACATTCTCTTTTTTTCCATTTGATTTCATGAAAATATTGTCACGTCGGTCCTTTCTTCTTACAAAATTCTGATTTAATCTTAATCTACTTAAAAATTAGCACTCCGTCTTTAAAGGCAGCTGTTATCTTTGTATGAATGGGTTTTGACTTTTGTGAAAGAAACTCAAGAAAATCTGAAAAACTTTCAACATACATTAAACAGCTGTTCAAAATACAACAATTAAAACAGCCATGTAACATATGCATCATTATATAAAAAATCGTTTTGCATTTTAAAGGTATTTTAATGCATATTTAATACATGTGGGAAATGAGGTCATCAGAATATTTTCACAGTGAGAAAGAAAAAGAAACAATGATATGTTTAAGGCCTTCCAATAATTAATTTTTCTACAGGTCTTACTATAAATAAACAGAATCCATTGTCAAAGTTTAATACCACAAAATATGTACACAAGATAAAAATTTGAAGGCTTAAACTTCACAAGCAGGTCAATTTTTGAATTGCAAGGTCATCTTAAAAGTCAAAATTTATTTAATACAAAAACTACATGTAAAGTAAACTGGACAGCAAAAACTAAAACTGTAAGTCATGTTCATTCCAGAAGGCTAAGTTTCGCCACAATTTAAAATGTAGTTCCGGAGACGTTGTTTTAAGAAATTGTTGATAACAACGCACAACACTGGACGGACATCAGGCAATCACAAAAGCTCATCTCTGAGCAGAATATCGTCACCTTAGTGCAATAACTGGTAACTCCTATTTAATTTCGAAGTACTTAACCCATTACTGCACTAAGCTTACATTATGTTCAGGTGAGCAACAAGAGAACAGAAATGGTGTTAAAATTACCGCAGCTAGATCCCATATTGAGAGTGTGCTTGCCTCCCCGCCTACAACCAGGGTACGACCATCTTGTAATAATTTTATAGACCGGATATAATTATCTCTTTGCTGAAATAAAAACAAAAACAATTACACATAATTTCGGTGAATTAAAAACTTTTAATGAAAGTAAATGTGTTAGCTTGGCATCTAGTTCAAGTTGGGTGTATACAAATGCTTTCTCTGTTAAAATAACTTCTCACGTAAATTATTCCACCTTTCCAGATTATTAATAAATATGGGCAATTGCATTGCTAGAAACCATTGATGTGAGAATAACAACTTTACAGACTGGTGTTGATTAAAAAGTTCTGTTGGTTTCTGGTTTTTACTTTCTGCTTTTAACACAACTATGATCATGTCTCAGGATAACTAACCAGAAATTACCGATTTCTCCACAAGTAATTACTAATTCAACATGATTTTCTGACTAAGGAGTAACAAAAATACGACCATGATTAGACTGAGTGTCTGAGATCAATTTTAATAAAGTCCAAAATACAGATAGGATGGTCCCCTATGGTACCATTGTTCTTATTATTTCCAGCAAAATGTACAAATAAAAAGATCTTGTATTAACTATTTTATTGAGTTGTGTTTAACTGTCGCATCTTGACTTCAAAATACACATGTCATTCATAGAATAACTCTATGATTTAAATTAGAAACATCTATGATCAGTCAGCCATGTTTTGAACGGGAGCTTAAACAAAGAGTACTATGATACTGTGGTATGTAAATTGATGGCCCTTTTTGACTTCATTAGAATTTTTTTCAACAGAATATGATGTCACTACAGTTTCAGCAGACGACCTTTACATATCAGAACATGAAATTATCAGCTTAACTGGTAAATATGGGGTACAATAAAGAAGTATTCTCAACACACACGGGGAGCTTTAGATTTACCTATCATTGACAGAAAATTATTTGAAATGAAAATATTTCTAACAATTTTTATCCGAATTTAAAAAAGGAGCACCACTTTCATTTTCATGGTGAAAACAGTCGATTGGTGGTGTTCCGTGTGTAAAGAAACACATTTTCTGATTACATTGGAATGGGCAAGGACGCGGTACCTGCGGGGAGTACTATATATCAACAGAGTGTGTACTATCAAGCTGGTAACAATAAATATGGAAATACTTACAAGACAATCTAACTGTGAGATAGGGCTCTTGTTTCCTGGTTGACTGATATCCCATACTTTTACACAACCCTGTAAAACATAAAGAAAAATATTAACATTTTTACAATGAAAATAAAGGAACTGGATTAAATAAGTTTTTTAAAATAATAAGATATAAACCAAGTGCTTCGAAATTTAACATAATGTGTGTATCCAACTTGCTCCGTTCTGCAACTGAAATTGTTCCCTTGGTAAATAGGGCAGCCAATGATGGAAAATTTTGTATGCTTAATATCAACAGTATACCAACTCAATGGTTTGTACATTTGAATAAGTGTAATAAACCGTTATCATTGTGTATGTAAGCATATTTTATACATCACAAACACAGAATACCACAAGAAAGTATGTTTTCTTATTATCATATCTTATAGATTTCAGAAAATTAAATCCAGTATTCAAACTAGGCAAGAGAAAGGGAGTAAAGTAACTTTTTGCCTTTACACCAAGTAGAGTGATATTTTCACAAGACATGAAGAAATAGGTTTTATATTGAATCAATATTCTAAATTGTAAATCAATATTGTATCAATTATTGATTATAGATGATATATCGATATTGCACAAATTCAGCCAGTCAAGTTTTAAGAGACTTCAAATGATGATCTCGCCTACCTTTCCACCTGTATATACATGTCGTGTTGGATTACTGATGGTCACAGCACAAACAACTTCCCCGTGATTTAATGTATTTATTTGTCTAGCGTGTCGTGGTATACCAGGACCAATCAGAGCGTCCGGTGGGAACGGTACCGGCTGCATCTGTCCGTCTGCACTGACATGGAATGAGTAAGCTCTGAAATACATATTGCACACTCAACTATTAATTTAAATCTTTTTTTTTTTTTTTACTTTTAAGTTATCAAGGAAAGCTAAATCTTAATTGCAAAACACAGTGCAAAAGTTTGAAATAGATGTCTCAGGCACTCAACTAATAATTTAAATCTTTTCATTATTTTAGAAAAATTTTAAGCTATCGAGAATAGCTAAGTTTTAATTGTAAAAAATATATTGCCAAAGTTCATAAAAAAATTCTGTTATTAAACAAAATAATTGTACAGTTTCCATTAAAAAATGAAAAAATAAATAAAAAACATATCCACAATTATCACGGTTATATTTCAGTACTTAAAAGGTAGCTCTTTTCAGGCAGTTATTTGACTCCGAATATGAAGGTTGTGGTTTATAATAGTTTATAGAATAAACAGTTTATAGCCAAGGTTAAAGTTTTTTTTTAACTAAGAGACTACTTCTATTGTGTCAAATTAACTGTCATATTAATTGTTCAAAAACCATAGAAATATCTTCACTTTTCAGAAATAAATAAAACAGTATATTGTAAAATGACTCCTAGTTTAGCTAGAACTGACTGTTTCAAAATCAAACCTAAACGAAAGAAGAGGAATTTAGATGGCGCAACCATCTTTTTTTTTTTTTTAATTATGACCTTCAAGAGATGAAATTCCAATTTAATTGAATTTAAATTGTTGAAAACTGTAATTAAAAATGAGTTTTGCATATTAAGCAGAATCGCACAATAGAAAATCCGGCAAATTTGATCAAATACAAGCAATTACACAATTATCTCCCCCATATACAATTAGATATTGGAAACTGAATATGCATGCATTTTAACACTTTCCTTTCGAAACCCACACCATTTTACCTTTCAAAATATTTTTTTAAGGCAGGTAGCACAAATCTCTTTTTTCCACCCACTTCAAAAATGGACCCTTGTGAATTTTTGATTGTGTATAATTCAAGAAGAAGCTAAATTTCCCTGAGAATACTAATGACAAAGGGCTTTATTACTACAAACAAAAGAGAGGATAGGAGATAACAAACTTACGGTTTTCCTCCTGGAATGTTTCCGTTTAACGCAGGTCTTGTATGCGGATGAAAGTCCTGGAAACGGAAATTATATTTTAGTTTATACCAATTTATTATAGTTTGTGTTGGGAGCTATAAGCTTATTGACACACTCTCGGATCCGTTCCTGGAACCAAACCTGTACTTAGAAAAAATATTATATAACCACTTCTAAGAAATGAGTGTAAAGTTTCTTGCTCAGGGAAACAACAGCAGCTTGCCCTGACAGGGTTTGAACCCACTTGGCCAGCAATTCTTAGATTACTGAAGTGTTAAACACTCGGCCACTCCACCACTCGCCTATCATATTTTGATTACATTGTTTAAAATCATTCTCTTGAATTTCGCACAAAGCAATTAGGTAAAGTTAAAGCAAGGAAAAGGGTAATTTTTTCAACATAAATACTGACCACCTTTCTCTGTGAAATAAATGTACATCGACAAGTAAATTAATTTATTAAGGACATACAATGCTTTCATTTGTATTACTAGGCAGTTTATCAAACCCAATTGTGACATCATCCTGCTCTACTACTGGTATATATTATTTGTAAATGATTTTTCATATTTTGCAGTTTAAAACAATACATCTCACACAATATTTTCAATAAATGCAGAAGTCATTTCAACATAATAATGAATGCATTACAGATTATAAACATTGTTAATTTAATAGGGTAATAATTCATACCATAGGAGCTCTGGGATAGCTGCTGAGTGCATTAGGTGAGATGTTGTTAACATGAGACCCAGAGTACGCTGGACTCAAGTCCGATGGCATGCTTGGCCCTGATGATGGCATGAATGGGTAGCCTGCAGCTGAAATATACAAGAAAACAGACCTTGCAACACTAATTATATTTCGGCTTATAACCAACCGCAAGAATGATAATGTATGCAAAATGGGCAGGTTAATATATTTCTTGGATTATACACCTTCACGTGTAATTGTTCTTTAAATATTTGTGAATGAATGTGGTCCCTGAATTTGCTTACTTGGGGACCACTCACTTTCTCATCATGGCTGTGAGTTCAAATCCTAACGTCTTTCATCTGAGGAAGCTATCCAGCTAGCTGATAGGTGAGTGGTATATTTTTAGCTATCTCAAGAAAGCGTACAAATCATCATTACAAAGGGAAATCCATTGCAGATTATAAGCATCAAAAGTACTCTTGTTTAGGGCCGCAAAGGCTTATCATTTTGCAGGCTAAAGGTTAACAACAAGGCCAGGGAGGCCCTGCATCTACTACATGATATAATGTCATGACATACCTAGATGTGGTGGTTTAAGCACAGCTCCAGGCTTGAGAGGTGCTGAAGGTCCAGGTGTTGTACTTCCTGAACTTGTTGGAGTGCTGGATTTTGGAACAGGTGTGGCAGCTTTTTCACTCTGTAAATGATAGAATACAAGTATGAAAATGGAAAACAAATAGTCTGTTAAAACTAAACTTTAATGTGAAAACACCGTCGTTATCCCATTTAGGACTCAAACCCGGTCACCTTGCTCAAATGAATAGATAGGCATTATAGCAGAACCTTTGACATTGATCATTAACCCATTTAGGGCTCGAACCCACGGTCACTTGATTGTTATGAATAGGCAGGCATTCTAGTATAACCACTGACATTTGTAAGACAGCGTTTACTAAGAAAGTAATATTTTGATTTCGGTGCATAATAAGTGCCCTAGTAGTTTTATCACTTTATCAACTTTGCAATTTTTGCTCATTAACATGCTTAGAACATGGAGGCCAGATGACAGACATATGAAACAAACAAAATAGCTCACCCTTAAGCATAACATGCTCATCTCAGCTACCTACATTTGTATTTAGCAATTGTTTTGCACTTTTACTTCTCTACATTATGTTAATAGATACAAAAACAAACCATGATTTCTTTCAAAGCAATACTTTAGATATTTGTGAATATTTTTTTGTTTTGTTGTGAGCTATAGTTGCCATGGTTACCTCTTTATTATGTTTATTAGATGCTGATGATGAGTCACTCCGTGGGCTGGCACGATCACGGTCTCGCTCCTCTTTTTTATGGTTCTCAATCACCGATGTTTTCATCTTCTCACGAGGTGAAAGGTCACCATTCATAGGCGATGTGTTCTCCTAAAATTATTTCACAAGTCATTGCTTAAATGAGCCGTGTCACGACAAAACTAACATAGTGGTTTTGCGACCAGCATGGATCCAGACCAGCCTGCACATCCGCGCAGTCTGATCAGGATCCATGCTGTTCGCTATCAGTTTCTCTGCTTGTTATAGGGTTTGTAAGGGAACAGCATGGATTCTGATCAGACTGCGCGGATGCGCAGGCTGGTCTGGATCCATGCTGGTCTCAAAACCATTATGTTGGTTTTGTCATGATGCGGCTCAAATACAGATAAGAAAGTACAAAATAGTCTTATAATAAGTAATCTTTCTTCTTACAATCAGTGTACTAGAGTATATTACATCTGACTGGCCATCAAAACAATGCATCAAGTCACATAAACCTAAACAAAACCATTTTATGACCTGCCGCAATAACAGGTTTACCCCAAACAATATCAATCTGCAAACACGTGCACTCTTGCCAATACAGTCGGCATCGTACTTGCGTCCACCTTTATTAAGCGACTTTTAAGCGACTTTTTTATTAAGCGGCCGCATAAAATCCCTCCCGATGATTTTTACTATATAATTTAATTCCATTAAACGACGATTTTATATCGCGGCCAGCGGCCACTAAATGTCGGCCCAAATGTACAAAATTAAGTGTTAAAGTATCTATTAAACGGCCGTGACAAACAATCGTCCCTACGGGTATTCTCACCTGTGTAATCAGCGAGTAGGTTTGATGTGTACAAGCAAACAAACAAATATTTTTCATGGTCATTGGTCACAAATAATTGTAGTTTAAAAAATAATTGAATAACAATTGCAATCGTTTCAAAATCGGATTTTCCGATCGTAATATTTATTGTGACATATTTTGTCAGAGCAATAACGTATCACAACACCGCATTTGCATAGTTTTGTCATGTGCTCAGAGTGACCTCCCTTATCGAAAATGACGTCGGAACGAGCGAAAAAATGACAGACAACTAATAAGACCGGATAAATTGAATGAGGAAATCGTGCATGGAATTGAGTCTGAGTAAATAGCAAATGTCATCGTTTGTAGTCGAAATAAAATCATGAAACGTAATGGACTAAACATTACAGAAACGAGCTGAGGGTGTAGGTGCTCATCTGATGCTTTATAAAATACATGTAGTCTACCCAATTAAATATGACCCTTCGAAAAATAATCATAGATCTCTAAAAACCTTATTGAATTTGAAATCAGGGTAGTGTGAAAACTAATTGCTGAAAAATTCAAGAAGTTTAAAACTCATTGTATAAAAAATTATCTGGAGCTCTGGCTGATGATTCGAAAGTATGTTTAGCAGGAAATGTGTAAATATGCAAGACAATATGCTTTGTTTCATGGTCAAAATGACCTGTTAATAGTATTATGAGGGTAGATCACATTTGTACACAAATTTCTACTAAAAACAAACACATATTGATTACTTTTATAAAAAAAGGCATAAATGTAATTATAAAACTGTAATACATACATAATATTGTACAGTTTTTGTTTTTATAAAAAGATGTTATTATATCAATGACTTGTAATAAAAAAGTCTCGAATTTTCCAGAATTCTATTGAGAGACCACTTTATTAAGAGACCACTTTTTGGCAGTCCCTTGAGTGGTCTCTTAATACAATGTCGACTGTATACAAAATTTTTGATACTAAATTCTTAACATTTAAATATTAAAATCCCGAAATTTAACAATGGACTGTCCCAAAACCGAAGCAGGAACAATCCATTCATAGTAAGGATTTATACAACTAACAGCTTACGATTTCTTTCGTAACATGTCTACAATGTATCATTTTTATAGCACTATAATATCGTACTGGATCACCCAACTGACGGGAACAATGAGCCAAACTGATTACATCATCACACAAACACTTCTGTGTTAGTAACACATAGTGACTGTGATATGCAGATATAAGAAAAGTTTAACATGAAGTTAATTACCCCTTCCTTTCCGACATCCACCACGAGATCTGTGTCACTTTTCTCTCCATCACTCTCCTGAAACATGTACATAGCATATGTGTAATGAACGCTGCAACATATGTGTAAAAAAAAATACATAAATACATGTGTATATACAAACATGTAATAAACCTTTGAAATTGCATGTTATAAATACTGTGCATAACTATGCTTCTGTTATTATTCTGTAATACTCTTTATCAGTGAATGAAGACTATAGGTGCCCCTTTCAAGCATTATTTTTAGCACGCACAGGCACCTGTATAGAACCAACGGCCAATCGTGACCACACTGAACACCTTTCTCAAATGAAAGATTTCAAAGTCCCTGATGGGGTTCAAACCCACAATGATAATAGGCCAAGTGTTTGGAAGACTGCTACCTCAACCACTCAGCCACGATTGATCCATACATAAAATTGCATAGAACATTGTACACATAGAAGTTATATCTTGAAAAACCATTGTGCAATTTGATATACATCGTACACACGTTTTCATGTACAAATATTTATTCAAATGTACTCATCTTACACTACATGCATATTATTTGTGTAAATGATGTTTATTTGACAGTATATACAGATACCATATTGTAATTAATAGGTCTTCTGACATACAAATGCACACTTCAAACAATACATTAATTGTTCCGTGTTCAAATATACATCCGTACATGATGTTAGGCGGTGTTAACAACATAGCTATATATGCCATTAATTTTTTCTTAATTAATTGGACGTTTTTCTTTCTGTTAATATGTAGAACATCTTCTCTATCCTAGCTTGAATATGGCAAGAGATTTGAGCCTTCATAAAGCAAGTTCCTGGAGTAAAAGTGCAAATGTCATTTGAAGAAGAAAGGTTTTAACCCCCCACTAGGCTTGAACTCTGAATTCCTGGGGTTTAAAAAGAGACACATTTAACACTCTGCCAACACTGTTTGTTATTTTGCTTGGTATCTTACCAGTAATATTTACATTAAGTGGTTATTCAAGCTAACAATAAGAGATGCGATGGCCTGATGGTTTGCTTGCCTCTCAACCCAGGGACTGTAGGTTCGAGCCCTACTGCAGTGACAGCTATGATTCCTCATATGTCAAAACCACTTACAGTAGCAGACGAAAATTAGTGCTCCACGAATAATGATGATTTTGCAATATGTTTTAACTAAACAATTTGTGACCAAATATTCATCTAAACCTAGTCAACCACAATTTCTTTCAAGGCTTATGCTTTCATTTTTATTTACACTGAAATTTTTTCTATAACAATTCAACTTCAAGTTGAATCAGTTAGTGGTAAACAAACAATAATACATCATGTACTTTCATATATAACAAATAAACAATTTCGGATTTTAATACTTAAAGTACTGACTAATCAATACAAATATGCTAAAGTACATTTATATTGGGTTTTCAGTTGTTGTTTTTTATTTACTTAAAAAAAAAAACAACAAAAAACACAAATTATAAAACATGTCAACAATAATTGAATGGGTGGGGGGAGCAAAATTTAGAGGGAAAAAACACACACACAACAAAATCATCCTTTATATGCAATAGAGAAAGACGACCGATTCATTCAGAATAATTTCAGAAAGAAAATCATCTCTACATTACAAATTTCCATCAATGACTGTAATTAGAGAACAAAATGGTCGCTTATTTCTCGTTTTTTTAACCTCAAGTTTCCAATTTAAAATAAAATTGGAATACATTTAATAGCGTTTTTTTCATAATGGCGTAGCAATAAAAAAACCAACATGTTATCATTCTTCATTTCAAATTAGTTTGACTTTTAACCAAGAAGTTTTCTCTGGGAAAAAAAAAAACAAAGAAAGGAAAAAAACAATAAAGAAATCTACGCACAATCGAAAGTACAAATATCAAGTACTTTAAACAAAAACGACGGTTACACCTACTTTTTGTATCAAATACACAACACTAACAGCAGTTTTACGCTATATGCTCAAAATATGTAAATAAATTAAACCAATGAAGTGAAAAAAAACTCGGTATGTAAATCAAGTCGTGAATCATCAGACAGACAGTTCCCATCTGTTTAAAGCAACTGTTAAATATATCAGTCGTTCTGTTGTCAATATGCTTGGTTAAACATGCATACTGAGGTTAAATTACAAACACTTTTTTTATTTTCCACGATGAATATCCCGTTTTCACCAATTTACTACCTTGCGGCACTACTTTTTCTGTCAATACAGGTACTACTTTCCTGCCCATTGCAAATCCATATCACTGACCTCAATTTTGGGTTTTGTTGGGTTTTTTTTTTTTTGCTTTTTACACACAAATTTCTATAAAATCTTTCATAATTATTAACATCTACAATATCAAGCTTTCGCAATCTTAACCACAATTAAGAAAACTTATAATAATAATATGTCTGTGATTTAAAAAAAAATAAAAATTTTCATTACAAACTAACAGTTGAGGTAAAGTAAGACGGTAATGACAAAACCACTGAATGTCTCCTATTTTCAATTAGACAAATACTATTAAGGTATTCATTCTAAAATATAAATTTAAGCAATTTTTTCTTCTCTTTTTTCTTTTTGCTTATATATCTCCCCTTTTATTTAAATTAAATTGAGAAAACAAGGTAACCACCTCCTGTTTGTCTCAACAGTTATGTTCTTTTATCGAAACTTGCAAATTTTACCTTAATTCCTCTTTTCCACCTTTTTATTTCACGAATTCCTATTTACTAATTAACAAAAAAGCTTAATGTTAGAAAATTTGTACTTCTGCCCCAGAGAATTCAATGAAGTATGTTATTAGGTCGAGTGTTCAGTGGTGACACTTGCTTTGTTAAGTTTAGGTAGTATAACAACTTTCAAACTGTTACAAGCAGTGATAGGTACACCATGATTGCTTACTATTTCAGACATGCCAACACAACTACCAGGCTGTTCACTAGCCATGAAATCCTGAGGGTCATTTTGAAAAAGTTTTACCGACTTACTACAAGGTCAAATCCCCATGATTTTAACAAAATTTGACCCTCCAGTTAAAATCCTGAGGGTCAAATCAGGCCTTTTTGAAATTTGAAGGGTCGAGGAGTCATTTTAAGGGTCAAACGGACACCCTGACTACTACAGGTAGGACCTCAAACCTTCCATACATGTAAATTTAAGTTTAACGAGTGTCCCTCCACCCAATAACACACACACACAAAAAGGAGCTCTTGCTATCAAGTACAGATCCGACTTCATCACTTACTATTTCAGACATGCCAACACAATTACTACAGGAAGAACCTCAAACCTTTGATAGATGCAAATTTATGTTTAACGAGGGTCCTTCAGCCACACCCTCAGCCCACTAAAGTACACAAAAAAAAGCTTTTTCTATCAAGTACACTCCCTGACCGTCAATTATTGCCATGATTCTGTTGGCATAATTTGAAGATTGGCATAATTTGAACAAGTTATAAATAGATCCATAACTTTTATCTGTATTTTCTCTTAAAATTCAGCCCTGTTTTATCGTGTTCTAAGGTGTTTATGATATCTAAAATTAAGACAACACTGGCTTTTACCAGATGGTCCAAGATTTCAATACATCTGGTGATAATACGCCATCAGCAATTAGAATAGTTCGAGAATTCCGCACAATGGGAACAAAAATTGACAATCATTGCATTCTAAGGCAAGAGGTATTTTTGTTTTATTTTGGCGGAAGGGAGAAATGCCTAAAGGCTATAAAATGTGGGTCCCCCGTAATGTTTCTTGTCAGACAACCATCTAACCTGAGCTAGTAATTTCTTCTTATAACTGACAGTGATTTTCTAAAAGCATAAATAGTAAGGTTTCATTACATTTGCGAGAAATTAATGCAAAAAGTAGTTCCAATAAATTGGGTTTGAAAAAAAAAAAGTAGTTCCTGACAAAAAGAAGTGTTATATGTGTATGAATACCTGAATACCGAAAAAGTTGTTCGTGGTTTCATGCTATATTTATATAAGATTTCTTTCTTCATATCATTAATCAGTGGCCACCTTAATAAATATGTGGTTAACTTGCTTGTGGTTAGATCTTATGCGTGTAAGCACAGGCAATACTTTATCTAATGGTTTGTGGTAATTATATAAAATCAAATCAAGGATATATAAAATCTTTACAAGGAGTTATTTTAAGATTATTTTCCCCAACTGTTACACTTCTTAAAGTTTTTTAAGATATATTAATATGTTCAATTGATTCCTCTTAAATAGAAACTTACGGTGCCTTTCTCTTCCGGTCTTCGCTTTTTTGCCGGCTCGCCAGAGACATCTGGTGGTGAGTGACTTCTGGGCCGATACTTGTCCCGGTCAGCTGGTGAGGCAGATGATCTCTGAAAGGTAAATAAGTACATATTTACATATATTAGTTACATATTTGTAAAATGTTTCACTCTGATTTCCATAGCAACCATTCTAATCATCATTGTTTCTGCCGTTAATGTCAAACATTGTTGAGAAATTAAAGAAAAAAATCATATAAAATAATTTTGAGATCATGATGGCGAAACAAAAACTATTTATGACGAGAACAAATTAAAATCTAATACTACCCCCATGACACCTCAAAAACACCCAGAAGATCGTGCCACATGTACTTTCTTCTCTCGGGCATGGAGAAACAAGACCGTGTCATATTTTTCCAGCTTAGCCTTTCCTACTCTGTCTCCCTTGTCAATAACAAGTTATTTCTCCCATTCATTCATAATCCCAAACCTCCATGCATAATTCAGGAGCGGTGTTAAATTTCAATAGAGAGTTGCCTCCCTTGGACCACAGCTTGCGTTATTGGTAAAGTAATTATAGCCTCTCGCCAGACAGCCAGACCAGTATTTCAACATAAATCCCATCTAATGTGATATTGATTTTCTGTACAGTATAATCCCTGAGCAGCGTTTCTGCCAGCAGTGCTAGAGAAGTGTTTGCAGGGAGGAATTAGTAATGTCACACCAGCCTACATCGTAAGAATGGCAAGGGGAGGGAGAAAAAATCTCTGCGCCGCATACACTCCACATACAGAGAAGAAGGAAAAAAAAAAAATCTGTGCACACACAATCATCATAGGCAGGAGTTGGAACTGGATCAGTAGATACAGACAGTTTTAAACATGTGAAAGCATTCATGTCAATGAGTGTTTGTTTATCTATAAGACTTGAAAAAGATAGGTGTATGTAACTGGCAGATATGTAAATATTTATCTCAGCCTAGTGTTAAGATGAGGGATACAGTGCAAAAGTCCAGATCTTGATTTCTGACAGAAACTGAAGAGAAGAAAAAAAAATCCAGAGCATATGTGAAATACTGCAGTAAAAAAACTTGGAATATCTCCATAGATAATCTTTATACCACCTGAAACATCTGCTCAAAACATCATTGTTTTAAAATTTCAACCCCATATACACCCACTTAATGTGTAAAATGAATTGGTCCCATTTATGACTTTGATATTAGAACACTCAATCTTTCAGTTGAAAATACTATAAAAATTATGCATACAACAGCAGCAAGTCTGGTCATACTGTAGTATCAATTAGTGGGTCAGGCTGAAGTATCAAGTTGGGCCAGGCTGCAGTATCAAATGTGGTCAGACTATAGAATCAAGCATGGTTAGACTGCAGCATACAGTTGGGCCAGACTGCAGTATCGAAAGGAGTTGCAATATCAAATCTGGTCAGGCTGTAGTGTCGATTGTGGTCGGACTGAAGTATCAAGTATGGTCAGACTAAGTAATTTTGGTCAGGTCAGACTTTAGTATCAAGTCAGGTCAAACTGCAGTATCAAGGATGGTATGACTGCACAGATTTACCTCTTTCTATAAAGTGTAGTGAATTTAATTTTGTTTACCCTTGCCACTGGATAAATAACCATGGTCCAGCATCTATGACCGACATATGGCTTTAGACAAGTCACTACCTCCACTAGCACTATTGGTATTAATAATACAAGTACATGTACAGATTGAACAAGCATATTTCTGCCTTATCACAACATACCATCTCATCTTGATTTCATATTGCACTTCACAGCTAATTTCAGTCCCCAAACAAAACACGAATTTAATCAGCTGTTCAACACTACAGATCATTGACTGTATAAGAAATTAATTTTATTGATCATTAGATAAATGATTAATATTCACTTGCTTTTTTGAAATAAAAAACGAAAAAAAGTTATGTTATAATATAACACTACTCTTCCTAACAAACGTCAATCCATTCTTACAATACACTTTTAAAAATTTTCTCAATCAGAAAAAGCATAAGTTAAGAATTTGTAAGAAATACATATTTTTCAATACCCCCCCCCCCTTTGCCATCCTCTTAACCTCCCCCAACCCCTACAAAACCTTTCCAAATAAATAATAACACACCCTATCACCAGATGGTACAGTCTGAGACATTCTTTTTAAGAACCCCGTAAATAAAATAAGTATAATCACAAAAGCCATATAGCTGGTACAAGACAAACTTGCCAAAAACCTAAGCCCACTGGCTTTATAACGTGCTGTATGAAAAAACCATGTTCAAATTATTTTACCAGGCTAGATTTGTACCACATGCATATCCCATCAAAAACACAGAGATGTTTTCTAGCCTATAACATGTGATTAATTAAGAAAACAGATCTTGGCTCAGCTGAAGCTTCTGCTGCTATATGATCCTGCCTCCACTCACTGTCAATAATATGAGAGAAGAATTTGATAACCAATCAACTTACTGATAAAACACACTGGCACACACAGAGTGGGGTACCAGTCTGCAGTGGATAGCAGTCTATACTTTCCTGTTTCGTTTTATAAGTGGGTTTTTCAAATTTTTTACTGTTTTGCGGCTAGATAGAAAATCGAGAAATCTACTAAAAGGTTTCAAAGTTTGCTGCTTTTTTTTTTCTCTTTTTTTTTTTTTGGTCGAGTTTTTTTTTTTTTCGTTCTCCAGAAATGTAATATAAAGATAAGGTAAATTATATTTAGTCGTTAAAATTTATGAATAGAAACCAGTCAAGACAGCCGTTTCAAGAATAAACCAAAGTATTGTAGTGGGTAAAAATCGAATGTTGTTCTCAAAATAACATTTTTTTAGAAATTTTCGAAAAAAAACAACAAAAAAACTGTTTATTGTCATAATTATTGGTTTACAAATACAATTTCTAAGAGCAAGTTGGTAAAACATCATTTATCATTATAGTCAATAAATTGCACGTAATAAAAGGCTAATTTACATTCAAAAAGACTTCAACGGTCAGTTGGTCACTTGGTCAGTGCAAAATATACTCAACCCTTAACCTGCAGAATTTGAGTAAAAGTTTAACCCCAATTTGAAATTTGGAACAGTCCATTTCAAAATTAAAGAGAGATTATGTCAATATCAAAATATGAAAAATTGAGCTACCAACAGTATAGAGCCTGGTCAGACTGAACAGATGCACAGGCTACCCTGACCCTATAATGGTCACAAAGACAACTTAAATTTTTCCTTCAGCATGTTTTTAAACATTCATTAATGTGCAACTATCGATCAATTAAACCATTTAGCAAATTTTGCCATCAGATAAGTTCACGTCTACCATTTGTTCTGTATAGGGGGTACATATCAACTGAAAAACACTCGAAAGTATGAAAACAAGATGACAAATGGTCTGTTTCAAAGTCAACTTGTTGGGTATTTATTGGAACTGTGTACACAATTACAATATCAAACTAAACACTCCAGATATATTTACATTCTAGAACGTATTTCGAGTTCCTAAGAGGTTTCGTTTCTTTAATGTTCCTACTCCTATCTGAAGAATACAGAGACAAGTGGCTTTGTCAACATATGACTTGATAATACAAAACGAGAGGGGGGGGGGGGACCATTAGTCAACCAATTTGTGTACTGTTCCAAAAGGTTGTGCTTCAAGATATTCACATGTCAATTAAAATTTTCTTTTACAATTTAGTGAGACAAATTCAATAGTATCAAAGGTATGTAAAATTTGGCTGTTGTCACATACATTCCGTAATATTGGCATGTAAAAAATGTTCCCTGACAATAAAATCCTCAGTCACTCTTAGTGTCTGCTTACCTGTGCATTCAGGTCACTGACCACTAAATTACCATTAGCTTCTTCATTAGCAAGGAATTGTGAACGCTAATCAAATCTGGCACAAAATTATGCTACAGGAGCACCTTATAGACCAATGGAATGGTAAAATCTTGAACCAATTTCCAAACTGTCAAATACCACTATCAATAAAAAGGTCCATCCTCAAAACTAAATGGCTATGCAACATAAACATGTTACAAAAAACAAAAGGCTTGATTATGCTCAATACTCAGACAATGCTATAAAACTGCAATTGAAGAATGTCGAAAATTCTCACTTACAAAGATAAAAACAGAAGACATGCCTTGAAATAAGATTGGACCAGGAAAAAATACAAACAACTCTTACTAACGACCATTAACAACTTCCACATTTAACCTTTAAACCGACACTGTATCATAATAAAACAAATTTTTAGACCTTATCAAGTCATCATTGTTTACTTTACGATTTTTCAATTTTAATCATTTATTTGTTTTAAGTATCAACCATGTATCTAAACATTTATAGATTTCGCAACACTGACAGCTAGATTACGACCCGAGACTAGGTCACCCATGCGTGAAATAAAAAAACAGCCAAATAGTTATTGCAAGTTTTACAACAGTTATTTGAATGTTTGTGGTGATCTTTTATGTTCGCATACGATTATCCATGCAGGACTATCATCACCGTATCTGTACAACTGATCTGCCGTTCACTGTACCGTTAAATATTCCCTCAATTAATATTCCGTTTGATATACGACCAGAACGAAGAAGACATAAGCTTAGTTTTCAACGTACAAGTCACCTAACATATGTGGTAATTTTCATCCTATGAAATTATAAACCTATATCGGGATCAGTTTCTTAAGTATCAATGTAGGCAAAACAACACATGCGAATGACAATAAAAAATAGCTTAAAAATTGTTTATCTGTCTTGTCATTGTTCGCCTTTGGTAAAAAACAAGCTTGTGTTGACAATAATGGCAATTCTGACACAATTAGATCAAATCCACTCAACGCATCCTAATGTGTACAGTGTACGCACATAAAATTATGTTCCAAGCTAAAATAATTACAACTTGTATAACATCATGTAAACCTACATGTTCAAAGTTGAAAACAACATGGCCTGTATAATGTAAACCTGTATGTTCTTAGTTCAAATCAACACGGCCTGAATCATGTAAACCTTCATATCAACACAGCCTGAATCATGTAAATGCCTTAATGAAAACAACCTGTGTAACATTATGTAAACCT